GATGATGGACCCTTTGGCTTCTTTTTCTTCTCTTTTCTCCTTCCCCTGCCGTCATCTCCACCGCTAGACGCGTGGGAGAGGCTGGTGATTCGTGAATGGCGGACCATGACTGAGAAGACTGCAGCAACGGCTGTATTGTAATGGGTGGAAGTGAGCGAGCTGTCCCACGCCGAGCGGGAGCACAGCAGGCCTGAAGTCAGAAAGCAATCAACAGCCCGGCCACGATAGGCTCTCAGCCAACCAGCTACCCACCATGTCGGTAACACTGCGTGTCCGATCTAGCTGGATAGGGGTGCTGTATTGTCCTTTGAAATGCTAGGGGTCGTGCTGTGTATCTATCGAAGCAGGCCGTGGCCAACCAAAGACTTCCTTGGATGCTATCGTCATTCACCTCCCCATTCCCCGGGCCGCTGGAACAGGCTGAGGGGGAGACCGCCTGGCCGTCCCTTCGCCTGGTTCTATTGATGATGGAATCGTTCCATTGGCAGCTGGGGGCCGTGTCGGTGAGCTGACACGGTCAGACTGGCTACTAGTAGGTGAAGGCGGCGGCCGCTGTGATGACAGCCATGCGAGCTGGACGCAGCGAGATGGATCCCTCTAGACATGACACGCATGATTTTAATTGAATTTTCAAGTCGTGTAGGACCGCGTCAGGAGGGCATGGTTGGTTTGCTGGCGCGAGATGGCCCGTCCGGCTTGCATTCGTGCAGATTGATTTCCTGCTTCCAAGGGCTGAGGCGACGCTAGAAGCATCCCCTTGACCCGTCCCCACGGTCCAATGCTCCTGTGTGGCTGTTCAGAACTCTGATGAATTTCGCAGTGCCTATGCGGACTGGGTCTAGTAGGATTCGGCTCTCTGCTAGCAACACGCTCCTTTGGTGTACTGTGCAACGTTTGAACGCGCAGCAGGGAGGAGCGTGTAAAGTGGTTGCGGTATTATAATTAGCATCTGCAGGTTTAACGCATGTCGTAAGTCGGGACGGACTCATCAGGAGGCTCGGCGAACTAATCTTCCAAGGTTGTTACCAGAACGCAGCTGTGGTCGTGCATTTACATTAGAGCCCGTTCCAATTGAGAGTCAGAGGCTGGGTCTACTGCTGCACTGTATTCGTACTGTACACTACTTGAACAGACACGAACTGCAGTCGTAGATATCATTTCTGTCTCAGATGATGCGCTTCACTTCATTCCCTTCTCAATGCCTTGAGTACTAGGTCACCAAGCAGCGATGGCGGCAAGCCATGTTATCTCATGTTGTTGTTGGTAGAGCGCCGGATACGTGCATTACAAGTCTTATGGCAATACCAGGTATGCTGGTATGTTGCCATGACCATAAAGGGGCACTATATAGAGGCGACGTAATACAGTAGCAGTTTGCGCGTTAGTGATCCGCTTGACACGGTGCACAGACTACTGAATTCGCTGCAATGGCCTCTTCCCAAAACGCAACACGTCCAGTGCTCTTGCTACAAACCACACTGGCCTGATTTCCTGTCGCATGCTGCTAATGTCGGTCGACCTCGTGGTGTTTGGCCGCGGCTAGGTTAGTATCATGTGGGGAGATTCCCCATATTGATAAGGTCTTTGCTGTTGTCCGTTCGGTATTTGCATCCGGCGAATCATCGAATGACGACGCAACAAAGCAGAGGGTTGGTATGAGGGCGGCCGACGGCGAGACTAGTGCAAGCCTGGAGTGAAGAATGGCATTAGGTGCATATCTCCATCGATCTTGACTCTTGAAGGACCGGCCTCATGGCCACCAATGCCAATGCCAACACAAACAGAACACTGGCCTCGGTAGAAGCGACCTTTCAATCCATTGATACCATTGCAGAACAAATAAACAGACGGACGCCGGCTACTATTACTGGTCAAGGTGTCCAGCATAAATAAATGCTACTGACGTACTTTTACAGTTGATCAAAGGCGTTGTTGATCTAGACCGTCACAATTATTAGTCAAGGGGCATGTGAAGATACCAACGAATGTGCATACACATATGTAGGTCTGGTATGCGGCTTCGAAGCACAATGCAAACGGATAACCAAGTGAAATGAGACTGCGGCTTCAGTCTAGACTCAACCAACGGCCATCGCCAACTTGAAGTCTGACTACATCCTACCTGACTCTCGCCTGCCGGTACCAACGCATGCTATTACTGCGTATCCATCTCGAAACCCACACGTCCTTGATACTGTGTTCCTTCATCGCGTAACCGATTGATACATACAGTCTGGGTCTCTGTCTGGGTCTCTGAGCATCGTCACCAGTCTCCATACCCCGACCTCTTGAGTCTTCATGTCGGATGATAAATATAACACGATTCCCTGGCAGCCTGGGCAGTTATGGGAGGACATGACTCTTTGGCTCGTCCGATCACCAAGAGGCTTCTTCAATATCTGTTACCCGTTGATCCATGCAGTTATCCATTTCCCAGCCGAAGTGAGAGGAAGAACAACCAACCGACACCTACCCGTCAGCCCGCCAGCCCATACGAATCATTGATAGCCGTCGAGACTGCTCCACCACCAGTCAGACAGAGAGACAGACACGCTGACACGGTGCACGCCTGGACGCCCCAAGATCCGCCGGCCAAAGCAATCAATCAGGCAAGCAAGCGGACAAGCAAGCAAGCAGGCCGGCAAGCAAGGTCAAGGTTGCAGTGCTGCCTCGCATCCAGCACGGCGCAGAAGAGACCGTAGGTGAAAAGAGAAGGACACTGTCAAGACTGGGATTTCAATTGAATCGACAGTGCGCTGCTGTCATTGGCTGCCTGGTACGTGACAAGTGGGTATACTGGGATCCCAGCAGCTGACCTACAGCTGACGGAGGGCCCTACAGGCTACAACAGCCACTGCTCGCTACCTATCGCTTGGCGGCCTGGTTACGTCCAGCGGTGCCCTGTCCAACGACTCCCAGCCTGTCCGCTTAGTCTGCTGTAGCCCGCCTGCTAGGTACGTTAACGCCCCCTAACTAGCACTACTGGTACTGTGCACTGTACTGTGTGCGCACCCACCACACACCACCCACGTCGTCGGCCACTGATCTCTTGCATCTCACAGGTTCCTCCGCTGCGCGTTCCTTGCACCTGCAACATTGCTTCCTGGGCCCATCCCGGTCCTGGCACTGGTGCGGTCGTGCTGGTGGCCCTGGTCGGCCCTGGTCGGGTGCTACAGACTGGAGACTGGTAGTTACTGGGACGCTTCGCTCGCGGCCGTTTCTACATGGTATGGTGCTGGTGTCTTAAAACTACCAGCTAAACCAATCTCCCCAATCCTTTTTCATCTCCATACTCCTCCAACTTGAGGCCGTCTCTCCTCCTCTCTACCCTTCCTCCTGTCCTCTTCTCCCATCCGATCCATTCATTCCCTTTCTCGTCATACTTCTCCCAGACGATAGTCTCACTCATCACTGTTGACCGGAGAGAAAGAGAGGGAAAGGAGGAGAGATAATCCTTGGGCCGTGCTAGTCCAAGGGGAAAATACGGGGTCGAGTCGAGAGTCGAGATACAGGCAGGCAGAGAGGAGCAAATGATCTGTATTATTTGCTTTATTAGACAACAACCCTCCTTCTTGGCCTCCGATTGGAATTCCTCGCCATTTGCTTGACCAGGAATCTCTATTACCGCATTCCCTCCCTCCGGCTCCTCCCATCCATCTATCCCTCGCCGCTGTCAGGCCCACCAACCAATCGGTCGATATAACGTCTCCATTCCTCGGTCGAACCTCCCCTTCTCCGAACAAGACCAGGAGAGTCTCGCCTGTCTCGCCACGCAGCAGACAGTTCCATCCCATCCGCCGATTCTCCTTCGTGCCAACGGTACGAGGAATCTGACCTTGGCCCCTCACAATCAAGTGGATCGATCTATCCCCAGATATCGGCTTTTGGACTCTATCACCATAGAGTCTGGTACCGGTTCGAGGATCCCGCCCGCGAGCCCTATATGAACCCAGTCGCATCGAGGACCGCCAACTGCTAGAAGCGTTGCTTGTGTCGAGGTACGTCAGATATTGTTGCGGCAAGAAACTCCGGGTGCTTAATCTCCCAGCTCTCAGGTGTGATTCTAATTCTTGCTCTCTCCCTGTGCAGTTACATGCCGACGGATTCCCAGTGTTCCAACGGTATACTCGGCTCTTCACGCTCGCTTCGCTCTGCGTCGAGTAGATAGACTCGCCCTGTGGGACTCGTTAACTCGCTGTTCCCACACTCGTCCTCAGGAATCGCCCAAATTCCTGTCGATACATCGTGGCGGTAAGGGAGCCCCCAGACCCCCCTCGACCCCTCCCCGTAGCACAATTCTTCCCAGGAGCCCGGCGTCGTCGTCTGCCTCATACGTGCGGTTTGTCCAGGAACCATTGCCCATCCATTGCCTGCCCGAGACACCAGGCAGGACAGAGATCTCTCTCGCCGCCTGCCGCCTGCCAGGAATGATTCCCCACGGATCGCTGGTCGAATGAGGTTGGGTAGTGGTGGTTCCTGGTGGCCGCGCCTCAATGCGCCTCGAGGAGTAGAGTTCGGCCAGTCCGCCTCCTGGTTCCCGGTGCCTGGCTCCTGGTTCTACTGGTTTGGTTCCTGACGCTAACGATCTCCACTTCAGACTCCATTCATCATTCGACGTTTCTTCTAAACGGCCTCCTCCCACTCCCCGGGATCGTGCCTTCCACGCCTCAACCTCAACCACGATCCGAGGCACCTATTCGGCCACCGTCATTCATTTTTCTCTCGATATTGTTCACCACCACGCTCTTTAATATTTGTAATTCATGTCAACTGTCCAGCTGGAATAATACACTCCTTCGTCCTCCGTCTGCGACAATTCCGACCTAATACAGTCACCGACTCACTCATTCACTCGCTCAACCACAACCAACCCAAGATTCCTGGAGAACCTGACCGTCACTCTTTCACCAACACATTCAGCATCGATCAACTTTCATAAACACAGCATCGATCAAACATCATTATTCCGACTCGACCAATCTCACCACCACTCGATCACCATGGCGTACACCACCTCCAACTCTGCTGCGGACACCGGCTACTTCGTCGAGTCTGACGAGCCCCGACGCATCAACGTTAAGGATGCTGCGAGGATGCTGGCACGGAACCGACAAGAAATGATTGCTAATGACCTTTCTCGCTTGGCCGCAGAGGAGTATCTCGAAGATATAATGCAGCATTTGAGACATATGGAGGTCAGTTGTGCCTTTGGTTCCTACCTCTTCTCTGTTCCTCATCTCTTGGCCCAAACTCCCTCAGCATATCAAGGTTTTCCCTTGTAGTGATGCCTCAGGTACCTGTCGACTTTTGGTGTATAGATGGTATCTGCCTTGCCTTGAGTGAAGCCTTGCAGCTGGTCTGTGCGCCGGACCTGGGCTTTCCTACTCGCTCTCATACACAATATATATCCGTCATTCTCGTTACTAACAGCGGCATAGGATGAGACATTACCTGATGCCAACTTGATCGATATGCAACGAGAGATACAATGGTTCATGCGACCGTATCTGATCGACTTTCTCATCGAGGCACACGCCGCTTTCGCGTTACTTCCCGAGACGCTGTTCCTGACCGTCAACCTCCTGGACCGCTACTGCTCGAAGCGGGTAGTATACAAGCAGCATTACCAACTCGTGGGGTGTGCTGCCCTCCTGATCGCTGCCAAGTACGGTGATAAGAAGGACCGAGTTCCTCAGATCAACGAGTTGAACAACATGTGTTGCGGGCTCTACGACTCGGGCATGTTCACGCAGATGGAAATGCATGTGCTCAACACCCTCGAGTGGACTGTTGGTCACCCGACCGTTGACTTCTTCACCCAACTAATCGTCGCCGAGGAGGGTGATGACCGAGAGGTTGAGCACATGGCCGCCTACATCTCCGAGATCGCGTTGTATCAACGAGACTTCGTGTCGACTAAGCCCTCGATCATGGGGCGTGCCTCGCTTGCTCTCGCACGAGCCATTCTAGGACGCCCCGAGGTCAACGATGGGGAATGGGATCACGTCGCGAATGCTACTGTTTTGGCACTATCTCAACACTTGCACCAGCCATCGCAGAGCCTGTCGCGGAAATATACTTCACCGTACTTTTCTCGAGCATCGGTGAAACTGGCTGAGTTCCTAGCGCACCAAGCGGCCATCTCGAGACGAGCTCAACAAGCACCGCCGTCGCCCCCGGCAGAGCCAACCCTGTCATCGAACAACTCCTATATCTACAGCACACCTCAGAAGGGATGTGGTGCGGTTCCCGGCATGGCTGAAGGCTATATGACACCTCCTATCACTCCTGAAGGCGTGTGCTATGGCGCGGTGGACCCCATGAACAGATACGTCCCCCCTCGCTGTCCAGCCACTCCCACTCCACAGATTTCCAGTGGGGTTGGATATCAATCACACCACCAAGAGCAGCAATACGCCCCTTACTCGTACGGAGAATACAACACTCAGATGGTAGCATAACGACAGTGCTCCAGCCATCTCCACTCCCCATGTCGAGCGGATTATTTTCGTCCTCTGCGACTCATGGCGTCATCACCACCACCACCATCATCATCACCATTTCGAGATCATCGCATGGATGTGTATCATTGAAAGCAAAAAGATTGTTGCATAAACTGACGGTTCAGGATCATCTCCGCGGCATTAGCGACTTGTTTGACTTATATTTTTCCCTTTTTTTTATTGTTCATACCCATGGAGCGTGCCACACTGCATCGACAACCAGACAGACTGGTTGCAACCAACAAAAAAAATGGTTATTTTGCGAGTTCGGCGTCCACCCACACCCCGAAGGTCTCGGCCGCGCCCAAATTGCCAACACCGGACACAAAAACGGCGCGACGACGAAAGCACAGCACAAGTCTAGAACGGGAGAGGCAGTATTGGGACGAAAGACTGGCGATTTCGCGAACCACATGTGGGGGATTCGAGAAAAACATGGGACACATGGGGTGACTGAGAGCGCATGCCTCACGAATGCGGCATCGCGCTGATTGCTTTCGAGACGAGAGACTGAGATCTCTATCTACCCTCCTCGCACGGTCGAGGATTTGTGAGAGGCCCGCTTGCGCTCTACCACGTCACGCACGACACGATACACAACACATCAGCTCCTCTGAAGGGAGAATTTATTAATTCTTTGCGGACGCAGTTGCTGCGGAACACGCACTGGACGACGCCTTCGCTGGCCTATCGTTGATTGGTGACTCTACCTCCATGGTAGTTGCGTTGCCCTCCGCACGTACATAGTCAATGAAGAGTAAGAACTCTACAAACTGCCTATCATGTCTTTGAACTTGCTGTGTGTGTGGTGTTTCCGTCGCAACTCTTGTGAATCCTGTTGATTGCTCCGTGTCTTCACTGTTGGGATACCTACCCACTTCAGATAGGGGTGTTGCTACTATGCCAGTCAAATTGCTTGCATCGAACAATGTTTGCATATTCTGTCTGGGCCATCATAGGTACTTTTGCCCTTCATCGATGTTTGTCAGACTCATACACATTTTAATATAATGAGGATACTCAATTCGCATTCTTCGTCTCCTATCTAGGAATGCTGTCTCACTGCCCTCAGGGTCTAGAAGTCTACTAGTGATGTAATTACCACCTCCTGCTCATTGTGAACCCCGATCCTTGGATGTGGTGTCGTCGCACGGGATCAAATGCGATGGACGATTACTGTGACTAGGGGTTCGGTTGGATATCCGGCCATGCAATACCCGCATCAAGCTCAATGGAAATGATGCATTCGTTGTACATACTTCAATTGCCTGGATACAATTCAGCTTACTAGCTAGCTATCTATACAGACACCAATGTCAGATCCTGCCCACGATGAAGCCGAGAGACTGCACATCACCCAGGTGAGTTGAAGGTTTGTGTCTGGCTTGAACCTCTTAATAACCCGGACATGCGCCCTGGTCAAGTCGTGAGAGGAACAGTCTGCGAGGTTGAGGTTGCGCGAGTCTGCTGTGTGAGCAGCTACTCGTCCTCAAGCTGTGTTGGAGATACCATGTTGGACATGTAGGTGTTGGCTCCTGGGATGATCAAATTGGGGTTGGTCATGTCTGCGTCTATGAGCTGAGGGACGACCTTGACCTCTACCATGCGGGCTTCACCTGTGCTTAAGATAGGTAGTGGGAGGGTTTTTAGTGGAAGCTTCATCGCGAAACCTTAAGGTAGGTATGTTCAGGAAGAAGAACATGATCTCTGAGTTCGAAAAAGAAGACGATAAAGTCGGCTCTTGCTTACTCGTAGGTTGGCATGTGACCATCGAAGGCTGCTCTATCGATAATACATCGGTTGGCTGGAGTTATTAGTGGACCATGGACCCCAGCTAGCCCAGCCCGGTAACATACGGGTCTGAGGCTGCGTGGTGCACTGACCACCTCGGCTGGGGCGCACCTTCGCACAAACCTATCCCGAAATCAAAAAATTGTGTGAACCCCCTCCACCGCGAAATTTCCATCAAACCCTCCCAAGTCGACAGCAACCTCAGCAAAGCTCAACCCTGTGAGAGCCTCGCCAATTCCGCGCACTTCGCCTGACTAACGATATATCCGACAGCCAATCCCCCAATCTTTCCGACTTCAATCCAGCATGGCTGACCGAGGCGGTGCCGGTGCTGACCGAGGCGGTGCTCGAGGAGGTGGTTTCGGCGCCCGAGGTGACCGCGGCGGCGATCGTGGACGTGGTCGCGGCCGTGGCCGTGGCCGACGTGGAGGCAACAAGGACAGCGAGAAGGAGTGGATGCCCGTCACCAAGCTGGGCCGTCTCGTGAAGGCTGGCAAGATCAAGAGCATGGAGGAAATCTACCTGCACTCGCTGCCCATCAAGGAGTACCAGATCGTCGACTTCTTCCTGCCTAAGCTGAAGGATGAGGTTATGAAGGTACGATACATCCAACACTGAAGACACGGAGCGCGGATTGTTGGGGGACCCAAATTCTGTCGGAGGACCGCCTTGGAACAATTGGTTGCTGGTCAATGGATGAGTGCTAATGCCGATCCCGAATGCAGATCAAGCCCGTCCAGAAGCAGACCCGTGCCGGTCAGCGAACCCGATTTAAGGCCATCGTCATCATCGGTGACTCCGAGGGTCACGTTGGTCTTGGTATCAAGACCTCCAAGGAAGTCGCTACCGCTATCCGCGCCGCCATCATCATCGCCAAGCTGAGCGTCATCCCCGTCCGTCGTGGCTACTGGGGTACCAACCTTGGTCTGCCTCATTCCCTGCCCGTCAAGGAGAGTGGAAAGTGCGGTTCCGTCACAGTCAGAGTATGTCCAGCAGCAGCGCCACGAACAATAAATAAAAGGGTCACTAACAGTTTTCTCAGCTCATCCCAGCCCCGCGTGGTACCCAAATTGTCGCCTCGCCCGCCGTCAAGCGTCTCCTCCAGCTCGCTGGTGTCGAGGACGCCTACACCTCGTCTTCCGGATCCACCAAGACCCTCGAGAACACCCTGAAGGCCACGTTCGCCGCCATCTCCAACTGCTACGGCTTCTTGACCCCCAACCTGTGGACCGAGACGAAGCTGATCCGAAGTCCGCTGGAGGAGTACGCGGACACTCTGCGGGAGGGCAAGAAGTACTAGAGAGGGAGAGAGGAAATGTGGTTCGGGCATAACGGCGTGGACTCCTTCTTTGCTTTTTTAATCGCATTGGTTGCCGGGTATCAGGCAGGCATCATGACCACGAGACCGAGGCAGCAACAATGGCACCCATGATCTGACATTCGATCGTTCCTGAATACGTGCATGGTGCTATTGAAATTCGTCCCTACCCGACAAGGTATTTTCCGCCAAATTCGCCAGGACGAGTGTCCTGGTGCATCGGGCCCCTTCCCCTTAATTAGTTATTTTCTACCCTTCGGCATGGCTACCCGAGCACCAGGGTGCAGTTGTGCTGCTCGAGGTGGAAACAGCACTTATTCGACCTGAATTGTCACATGCTTAGCTGCTTCAGTACCTACTGAAGAGGGCAGTTGGCAACTGCCTGGAGGTCCTACAGTAAAGAGCGCCGAGGAAGGAGCACTACGGTTCTTGTCTTTTGTCTCGGCTCTGACGTGAATGGAATGGCGCCTTCCTCGACATTGCCACTATGATATGGGAAAGTGCAGAGGAGGAGAGACGTCTGCCATCATGCAAATCTCTCGGGGCGAGCAGCCCGTCCTCTGCTTCTCTTCTTCTCCCAACTTCATCACTCTTTTGGCCACCATCCTTCAGCCTTCACTCGCTCGCTTTTGGTGATTTTGGACTTCAATTTTGGCCCAATTTTGAACGTTCAGCTGCTACACCTCCTAATACACACTGCTCTACCCCGTCTGTCGTTTTGGTTTCTTTGGCTTGTCGAATATCCGTGCATCCTCCGACGATGCCCTCTCACTCCCCTTCTCCGCCCATAGCGAGGGTGCTCTTGGTGGCAATCCTCTTCGCCTTCGCCTTCCTCGTCTCGGCATCAGTCTCCTCAAACACTACTACGGAACCGTCTCTCGAAAAACGGCACTCTTCGCTCGACGTGGGTGAACTTGAACTGCCTGATACTCTCAACACATCCGGAACAGAGACAGACCATGATCTTGAGAAAAGAGGTCTTATAATGGGTGGTCTGACGCACGTCGTGAACCACATATTCGGATCCATTAATCCAGGAGCAGCAGATGCACTGGTTGCCAAGGTCACGGGTGATGTCGATGGCGTGCTTGCTGCCCTCCCCCTACCGAGCGTTGAACCGTCTTCGGGCGTGCCTCTATTCACCATTGGCCAGCCTACAATGCCTCTGACAGCCCAACCTCAATCGACTGGTGTTGAACTAGGCAATCTCGCAGACAGGCTTGGGGGCCTTCTCAACGGCATCCTGCCAGAGGAAGCAGCGGGCATCATCAATTCAATCACTGCGGAGGCTCTGAACGTCGTCGCTGCTGTCCAGGCCGTAGAGACAAGTGTTGCAGTACTGGGAAACGAAGTTGCCAGCAACGAGGTTCCACCACAGAACGCCCTCGACGCGATAGGAGGGCTCATCAGCGGCTTGGATTCGCAGATCCTCCACATTGTTGATGACATCACTGGCCCTTTGACTTCGGCCATCCCAATACCAGTAGTGTCCGAACTCGCTGCGGCGATCAAGGACGAGCTCGGTAACGTTGCTGGGATCGTCGATAATCTGGTGCCGGAAGTCGGTCAACTGATCGAACAGAACGTCTGTGGCCTTACCGCCCTAGTCGACGGCGTCCTCAATACCGTCGCCGGCCTCTGTGATGGCATGTCTTCTGCTGTCTCCGAGGCTTCTACCGAGGCAACATCTCCTGCTTCCAATACGGCTGCTCCCATGACTGTTGAACCGGCTCCTTCAAGCACCGCACTACCCGGCTCGGTGGACACGACTGCGGGTGGTACAACCGCTGCTGCCACTTCTGCTTCGCCGACATTGCCCCTTTCGACGGGACCTAGCACTGGCGGCCAGGGCGCGGCCTCGACTACGCCTAACGTTGGTGGCAGTCCGACCACGCAATCGAATGCTCAGAACACCCAAGGCTCGATCTCACCTGCCTCGTCTGCAGGTGGCGGTACATTCCCCTTACCGTTACCCAGCGCTTTTTCTACTTCTGGTGGTGGTGGTACATTCCCGCTGTCCAGCGCTTCTTCTCCCTCTGGAGGTGGTGGCACTTTCCCTCTATCGACCGCTTCTTCACCCTCAGGAGGTGGCGGTACATTTCCACTATCCAGCGCTTCTTCTCCCTCAGGAGGTAGTGGTACATTCCCGCTATCCAGCGCTTCTTCTCCCTCTGGAGGTGGTGGCACTTTCCCTCTATCGACCGCTTCTTCACCCTCAGGAGGTGGCGGTACATTTCCACTATCCAGCGCTTCTTCTCCCTCAGGAGGGGCCGGCACTTTCCCTTTGACGACGAGTGGTCCATCTAATGGTCAATCTCCTGCTACTGGTGGTGGCGGCACATTCCCTCTGTCGAGCTCGTCAAATGCCCAGTCTCTTGCTACTGGATCTTCTTCTGCTCCCACTGGAGGCGGCGGTACGTTCCCTCTATCGACCTCGTCAAATGGTCAGTCTTTTGCTACTGGATCTTCTTCTGCCCCCACCGGAGGCGGCGGCACATTCCCTCTATCGAGTTCATCGAATGCCCAGTCTCTTACTACTGGGTCTGTTTCCACTCCCACTGGAGGTAGTTACACATTTGCCCTTTCAAGTGCTTCGTCAAGCGGTCCGTCGAATGGTCAATCTCCTGCTGCCGGGTCTGCTTCTGCTCCCACGGGAGGCGGCGGTACATCCCCCCTGTCGAGTGGTTCGTCGAGTGGTTCGTCCAACGGCCAGTCTCCTGCTACCGGGGGTGCGTCCGCTCCCACTGGAGGTGGTGGTACATCCCCTCTATCGAGCTCGTCAAATGGCCAGTCTGTTACTACTGGGTTTGCTTCTGCTCCGGCTGGGGGTAGTTATACATTTTCTCTTCCCAGTGGTTCGTCAAATGGTCCGTCGAATAGTCAGTCTCCTGCTACAGGGTCTGCTTCTGCTCCCACCGGAGGTGTTGGTGCATCCGCCCTTTCGAGTGGCTCGTCGAATGGCCAGTCTCCTGCCACGGGAGGTGCCTCTTCTCCCACCGGAGCTGGTGATACATCCCCTCTGTCGAGTAGTTCGTCAAATGGGCAATCGCCGGCTACTGGAGGTGGTGGTGCATCCCCTCTTTCGAGTGGTCCGTCCAACGGCCAGTCTCCTGCTACTTCAGGATCATCCCAGGCGAATCCACAAGGTACAAACGGTCAGACGTCGGCTGTGCCCAACGCAGGTGGTACTGGTCAGTCAACGACGCCTAACACTGGTGGTAACGGTCAACCACCTAGTGCATCTAATGCTGCCGGTTCTGCGACACCAGGCGCCGCCACACCTACGGGTGCATCGCCTACCGCATTGAGTTCTCTTCCTTCCATGACTGATTCTGCACAGCCACGCGTCGTCGGGACGGCCACAGCAACTGGTGGTGGGGGTCCACAAACCTGCAACTGTCCCAATGCTAGCTCTCCTGCTCCCTCGGGGAACCCGGGTGCTCAAGGTCCATGCCCCGGCTCTGGCTACACTTGTGATGATTGCCTCGACGGGTGGTTCTGTCCACCACCGCAAACACCTGCGCAAGCAGCTCCGTGTGGTTACGGCTGGCCATGTGCTCATTGTGATGGAGGTTGGTTCTGTGTCCCTATGCCGACTCCTGCTCCTGGCACCTGTGCAGGTTCCAGCGGGCCAACAAGCAATAGCCCTGGAACTATCACATCTTCGATCCCTTCATCCACCGTTACTATATCGCAACCCGGCCCCACCTCGCCACCGGGAGGTTCTGGATCAAACTCACCACCACCAGTGACTCCTCAGAAAGCTTCAAACTGGGGTTATTGCGGCTGCTGGAATGATCAACCAAACCAGAGAGCATTAGGCGGAGACAACCGCGATCTCGGCCCGCTCACCAATCAAGACTGCGTACAGCACTGTATGGGGCAGGGCTTCGTCATGGCAGGTACGGAGAACGGCAACAGCTGCTACTGCGGTAACTTCTTGAACGGCACTGAGAGGGTCGATGACAGCGTTTGCTCTGTACCCTGTTCGGGCGACAGCACACAAGCATGTGGCGGTCCAAGTGCGCTCAGCTGCTGGAGCCATAGCGGTGAGGCGTATGGCTGGGCCAGTGCAGGGCCTCAGCCACTGGCTCCTACTGTCTCGCCTCCCACGGTAGCGTCACTGTTCATCGGCGGCGTCGAGGAGACGGTGATTACAACTCCGGCCATCGTCTGGCCTGCGGGTGATGAGAACGTGGCAGGGCTCCTCAGCATCTATGGACCACCTTCGCAACAACCGGATGGTGACTTGCCGAGTGGTATGAGTTTCCCTACACCGGTTGATTCCACTGCCACCCCCCTGAACCCTCCGGGTGGCAACCCGACTTCAATGCAGCCGTCAGTTACCTCTCCGCCTTCACCCGGTCAAGGAAGCCCACCGGGCGCAACAAGTCCAGAAAGCGGCGGTGGTACGGGCCCCAGCAACTTTGGCACATCGAGAACGGCTCCTCGAGGCGGTACTGGTGCTGGAACAACCCCCGGCGGTGACACGACAGCCCCATTGACAACTACCAGTGGTACTGTGCCGACCCCCAATGGAAGCACTTCTCCCACAAGTGCCATCAATACGACTCCTGGGACGAGCTCAAACTCATCTCCGAATGGTAACGGTGGTGCTGCACCTGGACAAGGGACTACTCCCAACTCGAGTCTGAGCGGTGGAACGAGTTCTCCTCTTACAACGCCAACATCGAATACCAATACTTCCCCAATTACCCCAGGCGGCAACGGTCCAACTACCCCTGGAGTCAGTATCCCAACGAGCCCTGGAGCCGGCGTCCCGACTTCACCTGGAGCCAGCGCCCAAACTTCCCCTGGAGCCAGTGGCCCGACTTCTCCTGGAGCCGGTTCTCAGATTTCTCCTGGAGCCGGTGGCCCGACTTCTCCTGGAGCGAGCGCCCCGACTTCTCCTGGAGCCGGCACCCCAACTACACCTGGGGGAAGCTCAACCTCTACTCCCAAAAGTGCTGGCGGCACTGCAACTGGTCAAGGCAGTCCTCCCAACTCGACACCTTCAGGAGGAATCACAAACCCGTCGACCACGACTCCTGGTACGCCCAACGGCCCTGGTCAGGGCACAACGTCGACCCCGAATAATGGCCCAGGGGGCTTGGGGCCGTGTGTTCCTAGGTTGGACTCGAATTGTACACCAACCGGCGGGTTCGGAGGGCTCGGACCATGCACACCTGGTGTTGACTCGAACTGCACACCCACAGGCAATGACATTAACCCGAGCGCCACTCCGACCAACAACGGTGGCAGTCCGGGAGGGCCTCTGGGTGGTGGCCCGCCGGGCCAAGGCCAGTCACCGTCAAACAGTGGAAACCCTGGACCATCCCCTACTGGCAACGGTGGCAGCTCATGCACAGCAGGTTCCAACGACCCATCATGCACCAACCCTGCCGGTGGTGGCCAGGGCCAGTCACCGTCGAACAATGGAAACCCTGGACCATCCCCTACTGGCAACGGTGGCAGCTCATGCACAGCAGGTTCCAACGATCCATCGTGCACCAACCCTGGTGGTGGTGCAAGTGGTCTGACTCCTTCGTCTCCGGGGCAAGGCACGGCTACAACGCCGAATGGACCATCTACAAGTCCGGCCGGTAACGGTGCCGGTGGTATGGCACCAGGTCAACAGAGTCCAAGCTCGAGCCCAACGGCCACGACTTCAGGCCCATCCACTACATCGAGCCCGAATGGTGCCGGCGGGGCAGCACCAGTTCCCTTGACGACGGCCCCCCAGGCATCTTTTACCTTTCCACCTGGTGTCGTTCCATACGGCCCCCCGTTGATGACCACATTGGCATCGATGATTGCTTGGAAATTACCCGATGGTGAGCAAGGCAGCCCAACAATGCTTCATCACGACTTGAAATACATCGAGGAAGATACGCGCGGGATGCCCTACCTCGAGGAAACTTCTACTACCGCCGCTCCCATGTCCATGTGGCATGCAAGATGGGACCGGATGCGACCTGTCCCTGTGTGGTAGGTTATGTCGTCGATTGCAGGTGACTGAGATGAGAGGAAAGGGTGTTCGGGCGAATTATATATCAAACTGAAAGGGAATGGGTGGCAGTTTTGTTTCTGTTTTGGAATTGGGTCTGGGCTTTTCATATCTACTTACCTTATGGGATCGGTGTAGTAATGGTGCATGCAGTTAACCCCTTAGAAACACTAGATATCCTAGGAGCTAGGCTAACGAAGAGGAGTATTGTTCTTCAACCCGAGGCATACTCGCGATGATGCGCAGCAGTACCAGATTCCATCTATCCATCGATCTACTCGCCAGCTGCACCTCTGCGTCCTGGGACAATTCATTGCTTGACTTATGAGCAGGCAGGCGAAGCGTAATTATGTATGCCCTCCCGGAGCAGCCATGGTTCCGCTCGCTGTTGCCAAGCCCGTCGGGTCGATTTCGCCAGAGAAAGGTAGAGCAGCCTCAGATATCCTATATGTATCTGGCCTAGGTGCTGGGAGGTATCACAAGAGACTTTTATAAGAGTGGTTTATTTTTATTTTTTTACCCCGGCAGATCCAATGAGCCTCTCGACTGAAAGGGAAATATAGCAGTACTTCTGATGCGATTGGGTATCTGGTCATTCACCCACCCACCCTATGAGCAAGTCTCCGCGATGCAGCGTAGCGAGCACACTGAGTAGGTAGAGATCTTGATGATCTCGGACATTCTTTGCAAGCCATGAGGTAGGTACCAAGTTGATATTTTAGACGACGAATGACATGTTGGTTATAGATCCAATGATATGATGAGCACTACGCCTCCTCGTGCATTCTCGTCTGTATGGACTGCATGTACGGCGTGTGTGTGCCATCTCCGTCAGGCTGCAGTCCTGTGATCCTGCTACCTGCTACCTGCTACCTGCTACCTGCTACCTGCTATCTGCGTTGAGAACCTATGTACAGCACCACGTGGTGTTTGTTCGTCTACCCAACGACGTTTGGTTGACAACACTGCCCGGCAGACAGATCATGGCGGTGAACTGACTGACCAACTGCTCCACTCGTTTCTCTCTCTCCAGGTCGTATGTCTGCCTTTTTCATTCCGCCGCCGCTGCTTTCTCCTCGCTTGCCGGCTCCTGCACCTGCACCGCCGTCGGTTCAGGTTGCTCCTCGTCCGGGTGGGTGCTGCGGATCATCCGTCGTCTGTCCTCGCTCGCGTTGACAACCTTGCGCAGCGTGGCCATGCGTCTCTCGAACTCGCCGACAATGCCGGAGTAATCCTCGCTGTCGGCCCGGTCCCGCTGACCGCTCCTGCTCCCGCTCCCACTCGCGCTGGTGTTGGTGTTGGCCTCGCTGGATACGCGGAGCTCGGTCAAGGTCGAGGAGGAGCCGAGGGCGCCGCTCTCGACGCCTTCGATGCGCAGCATCAGCCTGTCGGGGCGGCTGTTGTTGATGTTTCTGTTGTTGCTTCCATCACCGTCGTCGCCGTCCCCACCCCCGCCGTTGTTGCTACTGTTCTCGCCGTCGGACGACGGGGGCGAGATCTGGCTGAGCTGCGTGTCGAGCACGGCCCACGACGGCGACAGGCTCGACGACCAGGCCACGCTGTATTTGGTGTTGCCGCCCTCGGCGTCGTTGGTGGGGGCCAGGTCGAGTATCATGGCATGGTTGGTGGGGTCGGAGCCCGATGCGTCGATGTTGTGGGCGTCCGAGTGCTCGGCGAGCGCCTGCGTCAGGACGTCCGGATCGTCGTCGCTGAAGATGTAGCGCACGTGCGGGTGGTGGGTGGTCCGCGTCGAGGTGTTGTTCACGAGGGCGAAGATGGGCGCGAACGGGGGTGGTGGTGGGTTCGGGGTTTGGTGTTGTGAGGCAGCGGCAGCCGTGGTGGTGCCGGTGCCGGCGGCGTGGTGGTGGAGCGAGTCCCCGGCTGGCACCGGCGGCTGCTGCTCGGTTGCAGGCTCCGTCATCTCGGATGGGTGGAGGATATCGGATGGAGGTGTGGGAGTTGAGCAGGCTGGCGCATCGTGAACTCGGGGTTGTGATGGGAAGTTAAAGGATGCCCCCAACCTCAAGGAAACCGTCCGTTGCCTTGATGTGATGTGTGCTGCAGCTCTTCATGTGGGCGAGAGCTGCAGGCTGTAGGCTGTAGGCTGTAGACTGCATTGGAAGCCACCAAGGTACAGCCTACAGGGAGCTTTAAAGCTTCCAACTATCTTATCGGCACGTGGGGCGAGCTTGGCGTTACCTGGCAACATAAAGGGGCATGAGGGGTTTAGGAGTAATAAACCGAGCAAGCTGAAATCGATGAGATGACGAGATGACGAGACGATGGGAATCTGAGAAGCATGTCAATGTCTCGTGGTCATTGATATTTGCAACAGTAATATGCTGTTTCATGCTGTCTGTACTGTTTCAATGTCAGCACAAGGACTAAACCCAAGTTCGGCTCCTGTTCTCCTCACCACCACCACAATTTGATAATTGTAGTCAATACCAGACAGAGCCTCTTGGGTATCGTATCAAACAGTTCAAACGCCAAAAGAAGCAAGAATAGTGCCGTCGTGTGAAGCTTCTTGCGTCAAACCCCCCATCACTGCGGCTCGTCTGCCAGAATCTCTAACTGTTCATCACCCTCCTGCTGCGGCGCTGCACCATTCTCTCCTCCCCACTCGAACTCTGGGATAAGCTGTCAGCCTCAGGTCCACACATCAAGCAAGAAACATGGAAGGTGCCTCGTGACTCACTCTGTCGGCACATAGGGCACTGTCCCTTGGCTGAGTCCTGCTTGATCCACTCCATGATGCAATGCTTTGGAGTTGTCAGTGGGTGCAATTTCCATCGACAAGGTGTAGGCAGAGGCAGGTCTGGCACTGACCATGTGGAAGTTGTGTCCACACTTGCCCGACACTGACGAGATGATCTAAGTGTCAGCCATGGCACGAATGGAGAAGTGAACCCAAGATGATGGCTAAGGTACTCACGGAGGCTGCAGTCGTCTCCGGGAAATTTGCAGGTCGGGCATGTACCGTCAAAGTGGACTTGACAGATACCGCAGACATCGTCCTCAGGGAGGTCCCATCTCCAAGTCGCGACCGCGTTCCACTTCTTGATCTTGACCTTCATGGCCAACGCGTTTCGCAGCTGGTAGTGCTAAGGACGTCTCGCATGAACCTGTAAACAGCAAAGTAATTGCAGTTGCGGCCTTCTTAGTAGGCGTGTCTTCTCTGTGTCGTCCGTCCACTTGCTGGAACGGTGCCTGGTAGAGGACGGGAATTAACAACAATCACATGCAACAAATGCATCAAAACGCGCCTGCATAGACGCATAGACCAATAAAGTGACATCAATCGCACTTATCCCTTTATTGTGGATCCAGTGCATGGACCCATATGGAGTATTCTGGTAACCCCACCAGATATGTTGGAGGTTACCTGAGGAAGGCTGCCTGGCAACCCACCTGTTGCCCCAGGTACCTCACCACTGTAATTTAGGTATTTAGATCCATCTCGGATGGAATCCTTTCCATCCGACCTTTTAATGAAGCACCACCCAGACCTCTGATAGATTACAACAAGACTTGTGATTTGTCAGCATCTGGGAAAGCTACCATAAGGCACATTATCAGGCACTTATCAGATCTTAGGTACCCGTTAAGCGGTCCACTATAAGATAAGGTAGAGAGACCTTGCAAGTGCCAAAGCCGCTTATCGGCACTGCCAAACTGCTCGAGCTCCATTCCACTATCTTTTTAGGTCGTTGTTAGACTTCCCACCATCCGTCACCTCACCTGTGACGAAGCAGCTGTTGCCCAACCTCCAACCACCCACCTCCGCATAGCACTGTTGGTGAAGAAAAGAATAATAAGACGGTGTGCGGCTGCCTAGTGTAGAAGAGACAATTGGCACAACACCCCGCACCTGCTGCTCTCGATCCTCTGGCATAAAGAAAGCACGCCCTCAACATCCGCCCCCTTCTCACCATCCCCTTCTTCGGGCGAGGTGCCGAGCTGTGTTTGTTCTCCGTCTGAGCGAGTCTGAGCGAGCGAGCGACCAGACCTCACCCGCCCGAGCAACACAAAGCTTGTTACTGCTACTCTGCATATCCTACCCGCTTATCGCTGCAACTCCACCGACGCGCCGCCGGATCACGGAGCCGACGCACGACATCACCGACACATATTGCGTATCGGCCGCCGATCGACCTGCGTAAAGTCTCGGGATGGCTTCCTTCGCCGTCTTCCGCGCAACGAAAGTTGCCCTCCCTCGCCAGTCCTTCCGAACCTGCAAGATATTCACCATGGATGCCAGACGGAATTTCTCATCCTATCTGGTGTCGCCAAAGGAGCTCAACGAAGCTCTGAAGAAGAGCCCGCCCTCCCCCATTAACCCCGAACCCCGAATCGTCCCTCTCTGCGCTGCCTGGTTCTTGCCGAACGATAAGCGAAAAGGCCTCGAGGTCTTCCGAGAGAAGCGAATCCCCAAGGCACGCTTCTTCGACCTCGACAAGGTCATCGACAAGCGAAGTCCCTACCCACACATGCTGCCGAGCGCCAAGCAGTTTGCCGAGGCCATGAGCGAGCTGGGCATCCGGAAGGAGGATACTGTAGTCGTCTACGATACAAAGGAGTTGGGCATTTTCAGTGCGCCTCGCGTTGGTTGGACACTCAAAGTCTTCGGACACCCCAAGGTACATGTCCTGAACAACTTCAAACTGTGGGTAGAGGAAGGCTTTCCCACAGAGTCGGGCGAGTTCTATAGCGTGGAATGCAACCCTTACCCGATCCCCAAGATCGATGAGGACAAGGTCGCAAGCTACGAACAAGTGCGCGAGGTGGCCGAGGACTCCAACAAGGAGGGTGCCGAGGGCGTCCAAATTCTGGATGCCAGACCACCAGGCAGATTTACTGGCAAGGACCCCGAGCCGAGGGAAGGGTTGTCTTCTGGGCACATGCCTGGATCTATCAGTGTCCCATTCAGCTCTGTTCTCGACCCGACGACCAAGGCTTTCCTGCCAAAGGACAAGCTGAAGCAGCTCTTTGAGGAGAAGGGTGTCGATCCGTCGAAACCCATCATCTCAACCTGTGGTACGGGTGTCACGGCGGTGGCCATCGAGACGGCTTTAGAGGAGGCTGGACTCGGTTCTGCAGACAACCGTAAGGTCTACGATGGTAGTTGGACGTAAGTCGCGTGCCCCTGGAGCCATTTCATGGGTGGTGAGCTAATGCGAGATCAGCGAGTGGGCACAACGAGTCAAGCCCTCTGATAACCTGATTCTCAAGGACGAGTAGAGTTTGGGCTGGAAGAAGCAGTGAAGATTGGCAGACTGAATGTGATGAGATACCCTCCTTCCTAGGAATTCATTGTTTATAGTTGTATGGTTACGATGCATGAGCCCCCGTCGGATCATCTACGTCGTTTGCGATGTTTACATTGGGCGCGAGCTTCGGCAGGTGGGTTTTTGATTGTGTGTTTACCAATGCATGTGTCTTATCAAGGTCACGGTGTACTTGGGAGGTTGCGCGGGATATTTGTTCCGCCGTCTTCTTCAATGGTAGTGCATTCCCAGGGGCGTGGCGCAAGGGGGCGCTTGCTTCTCAACTCTACAGAATGATCGGTACCTAACACACGATATGGATACTCGCCTTCACTGATGATAGTGATCCTTTCCGCGTCGCGCTGATGAGAGCGACTGCTCTCATCGGTGACGAAACATGAGTGATGTGCTCGATGCAACCCATGGACAAACGAAAGCCCACGAAGGCGTCGGATCGGTACCTACAGTCTTCACTTGATCACGCTTGGTCTTCGATTTGAGGGAGCATTTCACAGCCTGCTTCTTGTAAACGCAATTTAGGTAGAGCGCCCTACTGAGCTATGAGATACTTGCACGCAGATCACAGTCAAAGATGGAAGGAATGTCTCTAGCCATCCATCGGTGAAGATCTGTGTGACTGTACGGGTGCAGACAACCGGAATGTCTGAAACATAGGTAGGTAACCTCCCTTTCATGGGGAGAGGAGGGGGAGACATCCACGTCTCATCACGCACCGCGTATCGTCGTTTGGCCGTCGACTGAGCTGCCCAATGGAGCATAGTGCCGTGCTGCAGGCTTCCCGGACCCCAAGGGCACAAATCAGAAGAACTGGAGATGTGGTGCCGGTGCTGCCGCGCTGCGCCTTTCGTATTCCCCCGCCGCGGACGCGTGGGCCAGGGCGATCTTGCTACCCCATTAGTGAATGTGTCAAGCTAGAATATGCGGTGCGACCTTCTGTCTGTCGTGTCGGATCGGCCCCTGCCCAGCTGAGCTCACGTAGACGTCAGAGCCGGCCATCTGTTTGTATGGACATGCAAGGAGGTGTTTACGTGTACATAAGATGCCGGCTGGGTCAAGGTGCCTCTGGCTATTCCGCGCGGAAGTGGCGGATCTCGTGAGCATAATTCGACCTCACAGCATCGAAACCCTCAATCAAGTCAGTCAGTCAGTCCACACTGCGTCTCTTCACGACAGCGATTGCCTGTTCACGCCTACGAGTTGACTACTTGCTTATTACTACACGATAATTAAACAACAATAATCATTTCAAAATGCCTTCCCTCCGCCCATCATCCCCCTTGGTGGTGCTGCTCCTCCTCCTCCTCAACAGCGCCCAAGCCCAAGAATCCTCCGCGACGGGCGGCACGACCGTGACGAACTGCTTCGTGCCGCCGTGCACGGTCAGCTTGCCGACCGAGACCCTGCCCTCGCTGTCCGACACGGTCATCATCTCGGACCCGACCACGACCGTGTCGTCGGCTTCGTTCACCGACACCGTCATTCTGTCGGATCCCACCACCACTGCCTCCACGACCGCTGGCGGGGGGCCTATTTCGATCCAGACTAGCATGCCTAGTGGGAGTGGGAGTGGCTCGGGTAGTGGTGCTTATACTACGGCTACGGTCACGGCGTCGGATTCTACTGCTGCTACTACTACCACCAGCACGGCCGCCACACGCACCGACACGGGCGACGCGTCGGGGTCGGGCTTCACTATCCAGACTAGCACGCCGGGCAGCAGCGGCAGCGGCGGCGACGGCTCGACTGTCGTGGTTGGGTCGACTAGCGTCGAGACTGTGAGTGGTACCGGGGCCGCAGGGGGGACCGAGACGAGTGCGAGTGCGGGTGCGAGTGCGACGGAGACGCCGGCTGCTGCTGGGAGGGTCGGCGCTCCGGGCGTGTTCTCGGGACTGGCGGGCGTGCTGTTGGCTTTGGTGGTTTGAGTGGGAGTGGGAGGTCCTCTTGGGCTCGGGCTCGGACTCGGACTCGGGGAAGGGGAAGTAACGGAGGGAGCGGGGGAATAGGTGGTGTGTTGGATGAAGGACAAGGTAGTAAAACTGTGCTGCGAGGGAAAGAGAGAGAAGATATTGTGGTGGTCATGGCTGGCGATCACTGGGTAGTTTGTGGTTTTGAATACATACACAATAGGTTGTATTGGACATGACGCGAACTTCAATGTACATATGGAAGCTACGGAAGTCAATAATCTTGGGCAACTTACTAAGCGAACACTGACCTATCATTTCATCATTGATATCTGCTATGAAGATGGACCATCTGCTGGTAGCGATGGATCTTGTGAGGGTGTGTGTTCATATCAACAGTCCTTAGCATACATACCATTATTCAGCACACCGGACCAGCGTCGTCGACCTGCTGCTTACTGCTGTTATATCTCTTGACACAATACTCATCTAAAAAGTGCTGGTGTCTCACCGTCCCTTCGATGTTTTTGGTCTACTCGTGAGTATTGCTGACCTTCAGTCTGCAAAGTCGGACTGATGGTCTTCCACCATAGCGGGAGAGATATTGTAGTTTTAGGAGGTGAGATACCCTATCATCAATGTTCTGAGATGCTCGGGTGTGACCCTTATTGCAGGCAAGCTGTGTGTTGCAATAGCTTTGGATACAGGCAAATTCAAAAATAAAAACAATACAATTATTCAAGTAGGACCATCGGAAGCTACAATTGGGGTGTATTGCCGACAATCCTCGCGCTCATGACTATGGTAATGGCTGCTCCTGCAATCATGCGGACGTGTCATCGTAAATCTCTTTCGAAAGGGAGCAGGAGTGGCTGGTCTTGGCACAATCATGAGCGATTCGACGACGATAGCATCACCAGCAGATCTTAGGTATGTGCATTCAAGATCCCACCTGTGTTTAATACCTTATAAGGCCTGGCCATCCACTATGCGTCCTGCTCATCAGAAGCGCACCATACACCAGATGTCCAAGCCCTGTGGCATAAGTTAAGGCCGAAGAAGGGTGACTACTTGGCAACCACCATCGCCTCTGCTGTCCTGACTGTGGTTGCCGGCAAATGGACTCAACCCAAGCTCGCCGACTATCAGCAAAATACTATTGAGCACTCTTACGGCTCGCTGACCCTAGGCTTCAACACACCGCCGACAATGCCCATACGGCCATTTCCAGCATGTGAATCCTCCCCTCCCTCACCTGGACCTTCAAACAACGAGTCTCAGGGGCATCCGTCCAATAACCCGGATCTCGATGCCACCTACAAGCTTCTTCCACGCAAGAACCTCACCGTAGATAATGCTGGTAGATTGTACAAGATGATCCGAGGAATGCCTCCCTTATTCTTGAAGGCACGTCGAGAGAGCGGCTACCACCACAAGCCCGAGTTTGTCCTTGCTTGTCCGCGTCTATTATGGTGTCACATGAGTTCCAGGCCAAAAGCAAACATATCTATCTTGAAAGCTCGCACCGTCGGCACACCTCTCAACCCATGTCCCTCCTACAAGCCATCCCCGACTGCTATCGACGACGACGTCATAGGGACTAGTCCACTGGTGACCGCCGTAACCCGACCCCATCACCACCGTGATCGCAAGCCTCGCCGAGTCCACGACAGAGAACACCACAGTCTCGAGTAGCAACATACCGACCACTAACTAGCATTGACAGTGGCCGGGACCTAACTACCGCAGGGGGCTCCATGAGGCCAGAATAAGTCCGCACGTCAGACCTGCGGCGCGCACAAGAACACACTAAGGTTACTTTCTTCGCCGGAGGGGGGAACCAGGAAGGGTCGGAAGCACACATGTCGAATCGACGTTCCCGACAGTGACTCCCGCGACCAAACCAGCAGGCGCGAGCGCAAGGCATACTTACTACGAGTAGCACGGGAACCTGCCGCGGAACTTTTTTGGCAGCTCGAGGACCTCGTCCACGAGATGATCGAGGCAACAGACATCAAGGCAGGCAAGGAACAGGTCGAGCAACGAATCGAGGTGTGCCTAGAGGTACGGTCTTGATGCGGCGCGACGACACTGACAGAGACATGGTAATTCAGTGCGGATGTTTTGATGGTGGCGTAGATACCTACCTGGAAGCGCCTTTCGATGCATTCGTTGGGATCGGACTGCAGCGATGATCGATGAAGGCGACTGAAGTGGAAGGACTGTAGGGGTTCTGATGTCACTGAGTTGATACTGGGGACGGATGCCAGACGCGGTAGCAACAAGCAGGTAGAATTGATCATCATCTTCTCATATCATAAATGCGCCTGATCGCTGCCTACCAACGTGACAGCACGATGGCCTTCTCCTCGCACAGTAATCAACAGGTGCTGCGTTATGCGAGAAGTGCGACATGATGCGACGCGGTGCAAGCTTTTCACGATGTAGCGGCGCAGCCCCACATACGAATTTTCGCAGGCGTGAAAACGGAGTCACCAGAATTGTGAGCAGAGGGACAGCACGAACCGAACGGCAACGGAAGCATCAGAGGAGCAGAAGAGAGATGGGAGAATCTTCCTCGCAACGCGTGACGAGCACACGAGAGCAATGAAAAAAAAAGTTTGTGAAGGCCTGTCAGACTTCCATCATCGCCCACCCCGGCCGCGCGCCCGAAGGCAAGACCGCAGGCAATCGGGGTTGAGATCATCAACACTCTCTATACAGCATCGCCACACGAGGTGCGCTGCCGCCATCCTTGCGGACAGGGCGAGAGTAAACGGGAGTAAGCCGCTGTTTTTCACTCTAGGGCGACGGGGATATTGCTCATCAACCAGGGTGGGCTCTGTGGCTCTTTTGGAGAATACAGAGTGGGACGAATACTATAGAAATGATTCTCTGAAGTCTGTGGTGCGAGGGAAGGAGAGATGGTTAGCAAGTGTCGCATTGGAAGGGAATGCAGGCGATGCTTGTGATGGCATCGCCAGTGTTTGGGGGTGGGTGTGCAACTCACATTGTCGTATGAAGAAGAAAAGAAAATCAAGAGAGCGAGGGCAGCCTGCGAACTCTTTTGTAGGCAAAATCTGGGCGGTGGGCGGCGGCAGTGATTACTGCCTTTCGGTCCGGCCGCCAGCTGCCTAGCGTACACCGCTTTGGCCTGTGCGGCGTGGTGCCAGGTGTCGAATTTTCTGATTGGCTGAACAACAATTGGGTTGCAGCCACTGAAAAATCTGTCTTTGCGTCCAATTTTTTGATTGGTCGAAAGTCAATCAGGTTGCACATCCCCTATCAGGGCCCGGCCGCAGCTGGCAGGGCAAGGTAAATGCCTCTCTACTTTCTTGCAACCGCATCTTAATATCAAAGTCTATTTTAGTATAAATGTACTTGTCAGATGTTGGATCCCAGATATGGTGCCCTTAGGTGCAGTACCTACTAGGGGGCTGTCAAGGGAACAGTGGATCCACTCTGGCATGGTGTAGTATGGTATTTAGCTGTAGATTAGCCCTACTGAGCCTACTTGAGAATGACAACAATATTTGCAGCGACCGCTCACACCCCCAAGGCTTGTGACGCTTCTAGAATCTCACAGTACAGTTATAATTAAGACTGATTGATTAAATAAATTGGTTTAATTTTAAGTTTCTAAATATTTACTTTTACAATTTAATAATGACTAGGTATATTTAATCGGGATTAATATAAAAACTTTATTGTGAGGATTGTGGTAGCAGTATAGTGGCAGTCAGGGAGGCTGCCAGCTGACAAGGGGTCAGGCAGGCACCTTGACAGAATAAAGGGATGGAAGCATCAGGAAAGGTGGCTTTCATGGGTGATAGACAAGGGATCTTTGGCTGGAGGATCAATGGATGGGTACATCTTTGTATTTTAGTGTGTATTTAGTACTAGATTGGTCCCCCAGACCCATGGATAAAACGCAACGCACTAGACCGATCATCACCCCCATGTTTTGACTCTGATGATCCGATATTTATATACTAAGTCATTTTTTAAAATTATTTTAATTATTAGATTTTTATTTATATTACATTAAACAACTAATATAAAATATATAAATAAAGCTTATATGCGGTGTTATAACGTATATAGCGTATTACATGACCCTTTTTAAAGCTAGTAAAGCCGCTTTTCAAAAAAGCGTTTTTATTTAACTTATTACAAAGAAGTGTTATAAACAGCATTTATTTTTAAATAATAATAATATTTATCTTGGAGTATTATTTAAATAGTCGGGCTTTTCCCGTGCCTTTTTAAGCCACTTAACACTAAGCTATTAAAGCAAATAACATTTTATAGATAATACTTACTTTTACGTGGTAAGGTTACTTGTTTTTACGTACTGCCTATGTGGTTGTGTTTTAATTAGATGCGTTGGCCCCTACTTTCTAGGCTGCGCGCAGCGCAAGACCGGAGCGAGCTGATGTTGGATTAAAGGTATGCCTAGAAGGCACCTTGACAGGTAGACAACGGAAACTAGTTGTTCCGTCCCGGTCCAGCCCCCTCTGGCACAAAACGGCCACCGTCGCACAAGGACACTCTAGACAGACAGAATACACACACACACTTCACTCTGACGATTGGCTCAAATCTGACAGCTGATAAGCTTGTTGTGAGTTGTTGACAGTGTCAACGTCTCCACGCGCTCCAAAGTAGTACTTATCTGCTAGACAGGATACCCAAGCCCACGTGTTCAACCAGAAGATGAACCGATGCAGCTTGACTTGAGCTTGTCGGCTTCCGACTTCGTTTGTTTGGAGTCTGGGCTGCTACACATATCTGCCTCGCGTCTGCATGTGTGCCATTGTTTTGCCAGGGGACCGACGGGGGACCCTAAATTCGTTGAGCGGCATTGCTGTCCAGGACATACTGGGCGACCAGTCAACCCGTCCAATTAATTACTAGGTAGGTAGGTAGGTAGGCAGGTCTATATGCAGGCAGCTCGGAGTGCTACGGGAGTATTGCTCCTTGTGAGATGACAAGAGTGTAGAGGAACATCCTAAAGGAGCGCCGCAGCCCTCACAGTTGAACCAGCAGACAGACACCTACAGACATGTCTCGCCAATTCCCACGAAGCACGCTCAGCCGTACGCACTCGGGCTTCGCCATGATCGACCCCGAGACCGAGCTCTTCCACCACAAGCGCGGCCGCGCCCAACACGTCGCCATCTCGTACGTCTGGAGCGAGTGGCAGCAGTCGACCGGCTCAGGCGGACTGCCAGACTGGCCGCTGCTGCGCGCGCGTCTACGAGAGCTCGTCGGTCCCGGCGCGAGCAGCTTCATGCGCGTAACCACCGGCCATCGCCTCAACTGCTGGCTGGACTCCAAGTGCATCGACCAGGCTTCCGCCGCGGACAAGGCATATTGGATTCCGCAGATGGACGAGGTGTACAGCGAGGCGCGGTGCACGGTGTTGCTGCTTCGTGGGGTAGATCTGGGCGTCCTTGCAGAAGCCGAGCAACGCTTGGCTTGCGATATCGACGATGATACACACAGCTGCCTGCTGGCGCAGAGTTGCACGGCATTGACGGATCTCTCCGGGCTGCCGGAGCTGGAAATGGTTGCTGTGGTACGGCAGCTCTGGGACGGGACTTGGAGACGGCGGGCGTGGATCTTCCAGGAGATCCTGCTCTCAGATGAGTATATCCTGAGCGGTGAGAACAACACGCAGCTCAGACTGTCAGATATTGGCGTCCTTGCGGGCTTGCTCTTCCGTCGACTACCGGAGAAAGGTTTCTGGAACAAGTTTTCGGACTGGTGTCGCCGCCTTTTGTGGCTGCGCAGGCGCTACTTCAACTACAATCTCTGTGCTGCCAGCATCCTCCAGATGGCGCAAGGTCTCGAAGCGGCCGTGCCGGCGGACAAGTATTATGCTCTGTGTGGTATACTGCGGCTCGAGAGTCTGTCGTACAACCGTGACCACACTGCACACGAAGCACTTCAGGCCGTCTGCTTCGAGCTAACGCGCAAGGGGGCACTTTCTTGGCTGTACGCTATACGACCAGCCATGCAAGTACCACCAAACAGTCAGATGATCGATGTGCGAGAATCAAGTCTTTCAGCATACGTCGACATCCACCAAGAGCTGAGCGGCAGCTTCTACGCCAAGCCCCGAGTGACCCCCAGATCGGTCTCATTCGACGTGAACGTACTCGGTACCGTGCGTAAAGTCCTGTCCATTGCGGATGTCCTTAGTCAGACCGAGCATATGCTTCAAGGCAACCCACAAGTCGTGGCTATTCCTGACGAGTTAGCCTATCTGGCGAACATCCCTATTCTACTGTTGAAAATGGCCCTCGATAGCACCCTTCCCCTCCTTCAGGGAACGCTGGCTGCTCTTCTCAACCGGGTGCTTGGACTTGGAGTTGATGCATCGGCCGCAGATATGGTCTGGCGCCTCTACACCCTCGAAGACGGCCCCGATCGCCCGCCATCCGACCAACGATCACAAGACCTTCCAACCAAGGAGCTCGCTATGTCCGCATCCTGGGCGTTGAATCGGCGGATCGCGGCGCTGGAGCAAGACTACCGCGTCATACTGTGGAGTAGAGACGAGACTACCTCCTCGTCACAACCTCGAGATAGTTCTGACTTGAAAGACTGTGCTATGGCCCTCGGCCTCGCACATGTGGTGGAAGCGGCCGGTGTTTGTCGCGTACGAGGGGATCAGATACTCATCGCCGCGTCTCTAGGCGGCGGCACCGGTGCCGAGATGGCTGCTCGATGGGCTGGAGCGTTGATCTCGTTGCGCGGCGAGGACATCAAGTTGGGTCTGCTGGATAGACTGGCCGCGAAGATGAGGCGGAAACCAGCGGGCGAGGGGAGGCCCGTTCAGCTGGATTTTGCTTTGGAGGGTTAGCTGATCGATTCATGGTTTCAAGTCATTGCCTGTGTTCTCTTGTTCTGACGGGGAGATCTGCTCGCCCTTCACGTTGGCTTTCTCATCGCTGACATGCCCAAGCTGAAGCCGGCATAGACACGTGTAGGACTCTTGGGCAGGCGACTCTCCGCAGGAGGTGGTATGTCATATTTGCAATTATGTTGAGTTGTCTCAGTGCGGTTTACGTGGGCTTATCCGTACAAACCTGAAAAAATCCGAGTCAAACTCTTAAGAACATTCTGACTGGCCAGCATCAGCGAATACTGCAACGGAAGAGACTGACAGCTGAAAGGATTATACACAGCTTGGTTTTATGCTCCTGGTTGTGTTTATATTCGCTGACATTGCATCGGTATGTTCCTCTTATGATACGCTCTGTTCTCCCTCTTTCCAGCAACTCGAACTAATCCTTGGGTGGGCTTGCTGTATCCTATACGGCGGTAAAATGAGATGCAAAAATAAGCAGGATTGCCATGACACGTGCTTTACTCAAGTCGAGGAATTCGGTCGGTCAGCCCCGAGTGACTCTGGGCGGAATCTGGGCCAATACGCATGGCTTCTGCAAGGATCGATCGCAGGGGAGACATGACAAGGGCGCTTGCTCAGCCTCGTGATCTCCATATCTCCCCAAACTCTCATCACCTTTCCATACTCGGCCAGGAAAAGTGTAAACCCATCTGTTTCTTCTTCCACGTCCTCTCGCGATTTCCGCAATACACCAGCACTCCTAGATTGGTCATCTAGCTAGAGTCTTCCTCATGCGGCTCTTATCTACTACAGATCCAAGGACCTTAAGAGAGTTCATCGGCGTTGCCAACGAACCCTACGCGATTGTCACATTGCTGAGCCCACGGTCCAGGAGAGCAAGAGGTCTCCTACCAGCAAGTAATCAATGGCAGCTTCTCAGAAGACTCTTCCGGCTGGCAGAAGGTTGTGAGATGCTGTCGTATTGCTAAAGCCCGTGGGTTGGACTGGGCGTGGATCGACACATGCTGCATTGACAACACCAGCAGCGCTGAGCTATCGGAGACCATCAACTCTATGTTCGCGTGGTATGAGGCTTCGTCAGAGTGCTACGTCTTCATAGATGGGATCCCTACTACCAGCCTGCCAGCCCTGGACAGTATGGCAGACGAGGACCGATGGATGCAAGGGCTGGCACCAGCCGAGATCCAGAACATCTTTGCCTTCACTGAGAACCACTGGTTTAAGCGAGGATGGACTCTGCAGGAATTATTGGCACCATCCTCGGTCACCTTCTTTAACGAGACGAACGATGTTCTTGGTGACCGCGCCCAACTGGCTGCCCTCACCTCCCACGCTACCAGCATTGACATCGGCCATCTCAAGCAGGAGACGGACTTCCACGACGCCAGCGTAGCTCAGCGTATGGGCTGGGCTTCGCAACCGCTGACCACCAGGCCCGAAGATATGGCGTATTCCCTGTTGGGCTTGTTCGGCGTCAACATGCCGCTCCTCTACGGCGAAGGTGGAGAGAAAGCCTTCAGACGGCTGCAGCTCGAGGTCCTCAAGCTCAGTGCGGACGAGTCACTTTTCGCTTGGGGATTGCGTTCTCCCTTGGGAAAACTCACTGGTATGCTGGCAGCATCGGGGCGGGATTTCGCGGGCTCGGAGCGTGTGGCAAGCGTACCTATCTACTCAGGAGTCCAGACACGGTTCGTGACTGTCGATCGTGGGATCGCGATACAAAGTCGTGATTGGCGCAACATCTTCTCTCGTTTCGTTGGGCTTTGGGATGGCTTGGGCACCGGGCTTGCTGGGCAAGATCCAGAGCCTAGGCGCAACATCTTCTCTCGTTTCGTTGGGCTTTGGGTTACCTTGGACTTCCGAGCCTGCTGGGCAAGACCCAGAGCCAGTCCCTTGGAGCATCATCTTGTATTGCGAAAAACAGCCGGACGTGGATGACACGGCCACAGTAGGCAGCAATGGCAGCCTGAATATCCAGGTTCGATTTCGCTTCCAGGAGGGTGTCTGGCGCCGAGAAGGCGCAGAGGTCTTTCACATTAGCCGGAGGAGGATATGGCTGGCACATAACTTTATCGGGCCATTGAAGGAGCGTCAAGTATCGCATGATCCAGGACGTCTCACCGGAGCACGAGGAGCATGGACTAGCGCGGTCATCTTACGGAACTCTGTTGTTTTTGGCGTAGGTATTGCAATGTTCATTCTGGAACTAATACTCGTGCTTCGGCTTGACTTGACCGTCAATGCCCGGGTCTTCTTGCTATGGGTGGTGTTCACCTTGTTCCGGGAAGCGTGTGGTCTTCCTACTGCCGTGTTCTGGATTGTGTTTTTGGCCGTTTTGCCGGAATAGGCAACTAAAACCTATGACGGCGTCTTCCTGGTTAGTAGCAAGTCAAAATGCGCGGAAGGTCACACAGTATACTGGGAAATCTGATAACCAGTTTCAGAGAAACATAATACTCAATAAAACTGCTTGAGTGACCCAAGGATGACAACGCTAGAAAATGCAACTAACTCCCCTTCTCCAAGCCAACCAACAGTCGAAAGTACTACAAAAGAAACGACTTGTCAGGTTCTAGATAGCCAGTGAGCCACCAGTACGACTTTTCCACCCTCTTCTAAAAGAGGTGACCGGCCCCATGGTCCCAATTTCGATCCAACGTCAAGTCCGGATTCCTGGAGGGTACCAATGGAGGCTCGGTTCAAATCTCTCTACTCCAAGACTCCGAAGTTAAAATCCTTACAGGGCGACGACGTATTTTGCGAGTTGCGAAGTGAACGCGAAGAGAATTGCGTGCGGGCTCGCAGGGTATAGTGATGGTGGTATCGCAAATGACGGAGCGTGATACTCAGAACGACCTCAGGAAGACGCGGCGGGAAATCATGTCAAACGTGACGGATGGTGGCTGCTTGAAGCCCCTAGGATATCATATCGGTATCGCTGCTGGGTCTCTTGGCTTGTGCAATCCACCGCTTAGCTTCTGCGTTGATCCTTGAGGCGATCAAAGGAACAGCCTCGTCTTCGAACCATGCTCGACTGTCAGGCTGTAGAAGATTTCGCTTTTGTGTGGTACTGGTACTGTTGTTATTGGTCGTCGCCTTCGGCTTGGTGAGAAAGTAAACCACAACAATGATCACGATGACGACAATAATGGCAACTGTTGCAAGTGTCAGTAGGCTGTCCCCAAGGACAGAGACGTGTGAATAAACATACCACAGATACCCAGGCAGATCCACTTCTTCTTCCGTGTCGCCCGCGCCGTGTTGACGGCAGTGCCTATCTCGACATTTCCCTTGTTGAGGTTCTCTACGACCTCTTCGCCCTTCTGCTCGATGACTTCCACAGCGGCTTCCTGCTCTACAACCAAGGTGTCCATTTGCTGGAACAGTTCGACGAGCTCCATCATCTGTTGTTCGATCTTCTGCAGCTGCGCGTGTCGGTCCTGGACGGCGTTCAAGACGGACTGAGCCTGACCACTGCGGTTGCTCTGCATCAAGGCTTGCTGGAAGACTTGACCGCCAGTCTCATCATCAACAGCAGCTCGCACTTCGGATTCGGAAGCATCTGGCCGCACAATGCGGTACTGCCGCGCCATCTGGTCTTGCGTCTTCTTGCGGAAATCCGACTCGACCAGCTGGTAGGCCCTTATAGCATCCTTCAACCTTCCGTCTACACGACGGACCTGCTGGCCAAATTTCTGTTGGTTCTCGGCTTTGCTCTTGAGGTAGCGTACTCTCTCTGTCAGAGATCTGTATTGGGCCATGGTCTCGGCGCCGATAGCATCGAGTTGGCGGTTTGTGTTGCTCGATGGGGAGGTATCAGAGTCGTTCACTGCTCTTTGTTGCAGCATCTTCAACTGCTCTAGGTTCCGATCGATCATGTCAATCCCTTGGTTGATCTCGGAGATCTCGTTCAGAGCTGAGTTGGGGGTAGCCGCCCCAAAGGAGCCAGCGTTCTGGGCGAGCGGCGCCATTTCGACATTGTTCGCTGCCATGTGTTAGTCCTGCGTGCGATTTGGCCGAATGCGAATCTATAAGGAACGTACACCCATAATCATCGCGGTAGCTGGGTCCTCCACCATTGCCCCGCTGGTCGAAGGGATTCTGTTGTCCGTATCTACAGTGATGCGCATGTCAGTCCGAGGTGGTCTCGAAGTGGTCTCGAGGCGGTTGGGTTGGCAATTGACGGTGCAGGACCAAGGGGGGCGACGAACCCGTACTGTGCCATAATGTCAGTATGTCGCTGTTGCTCGTTGAGGTTGTGAATCGTGTCGAAATGGAAGAAGCAGAGGATTCAGAAGAGCATTGAATGCGAAGATGGTATCTTCGAAGCTGGGTGGAGCATTGAAACGCTCAAGGGAAAGGGTGAAACACGTGGGACATGGGCGACTTACACTCATGGTGGTTTAGATACTCATGCGGTTGGCGACAATTCCAAGGTTACCAAGCTGTCGACGAGGTGGTTCGTTCGTTCGTGTGCGGTGTAACTCAAGAAAGTCAGAATGTGAGAAAGTCGGAAAGCAAGTCAAAGCAGAGGTTGTTCAAAGAAGGTGACGAGGGTGATGTCTGGCAACGGGCCAAAATGGACAAAGAAGATGGTGGTGAAACTGGATTGCAGTTGCCAGTCTGGAGAGGCTGAAGCAGTCAAAGGAGTCGGAGAGACGGAGAGACAGCTTTGTGACATGTAGCAACTTGAAGTGGGATATGTGGATCCAGTGGTGCGGGCTGCTCAGAAATAGGACCCCTACTAACACCCTGGACCCCTGAAACCAGCCGATAGCCAATCGCTACTGCTTTTGACAGCCAAGCACAGGCACCGTTTACCTGGTTTCATTGGATACCAACTGCCAACACTCAGACATTGTGCTAGGGGAACACCAACTGATCTACCTAACAGGTCATCAATGATGGTGATCAGAACTTATCGTTCCTCAAGGCGCATAAGGTAGCCTTGGACTTTTTGATACTGGCGGCGCCATTTGACTAACTTTGGAAGTCTTACCTAGATAGGTTAGTCAGTCGAGTGGGGCACGGATCTCGTGTAATGCAAGGGACAGGCAGTGGGACCCAACCAGCTTCTCCAGCATGTCCAATTCAGGAGGTCGGTCCATCGACCCTTCAAGTTTGCGCAGTTGCCGCGATACCACTCCTACATTCCATGTCCCGACTTCCTCTGCCATTGAATCGAGGCGTCATCTCTTCACGTCAGACATGTCAGAGAGATGAATACGAATGTGGTCGTTGCTGCGGTAGCACCGTAGCAGGCAGCACCCAAAACATAGTCCTGCCTCTCACCGTCAGTGTCTGTCAGCTGAGATTACAGCCACACGCCAACGATTTCTAGTTCTAAAAATTGCAACGGCAAGCTGCAGCACAGCACAGCGCAGCCACCTTCACGCTGCAAAAGCCAGAGTCAGACGACAGTAGCAACCGGTGCCTAGAATGCAGCTCTCGTCAAAGTCAAAACGAACGTCAGCACACACGACCCGAGACACGGTGGAGCCGCAACACTTGTCTCATCCGCCACGGCGATGCAACGTATCGGGTTCTTCGAAGATAAGATCGCCCAACGCTGCTGCCACTCAGGCGGCCGGTGTCGCAGGGCCACGCACGGGTGAATGCATGAGATCGTCTTCCCCATCATCGACAAACATGCGCGAGAGGGCGACCGCTGATTCCAATGCTAAGGTATGATGAGACGACCGCGTTTATGGGTAAGTTATATAGCCACCATAACATCCAGCGATTCAGCACCGCCGTTCCCTGACGAGTCTCGCCCCATGTTGCATACATGACCATCTTGACTTGCAGAAACCGCTGAGCCGAGCCAGAAGGCGAACAGAAAAGCAGCGACCGGGAAATCAGCATCTGGGTGAGCATACCGCGATACACTAAACCTCGAGAAGTCTCCGTACACCCCCTCGTTCATCAACCGAGAGTCGTTTTCATGATAATTGGAATAAGCAGTGTGGAATTAGCGACAAATGTGGCCCATTGGACTCAACCTGCTTATTGCAGGGTGCTTATTCCATTAATGCTTCTGAGGGGTGATTGTACAGCAACCAATAGTAGCCCAGTGGCGTCTCAATCAAGTCTCTTCGCAAGCTTCGTCAACATACATCCAACAAAGACCGGAAGCTCGACGATCATGTCCTTCCACTCCTTGCATTCGACCAACTCCTCGAAGATGCAAGCTGCGTAGTCGGCGAGCATGCCGCACATGACGTCGTCGACAGCTGAGGCGGAGAATGCCTGGAAGGCGTACATGATAAGAGCTGCGATATCACTCACGCGACCTGGGTAGAGGGTGAAGTCCTTCAGAGTCGCCCACAGCTTGTGCAGAGCAAGCTGCCGGAGGGTTCGTATGTCGTATTTGTCGGCTAGAACATAGAGACGAGCGTGAGCCAGGAAGATACCGCTGTAGTCCTCGCAGGCCTCGGCGTTCGTTCTGGGCGTAGAGGTAGGTGTCGGGGGGGAGTACTGCTTGTTCTCCAAGAAGGCCTTACCCGATTCTCTTTTCTTCGGAGACATAAGTTTCGCCTGGCAAGGGCCGCAATTCACATGTTGGTATCTACCGCAGTACCCACAGTAGGTGCAGGAAAAGGAGATGTGGCAGACGGATCACGTGGTATAGGAGGATCCGTGCAAGGGATGCCCATGACTCTTCAAGTCTTGGGCAGTACGCTTGCAGCCCACGCAAGGTCCCGATGTATCTGTAGTGGTTGCTTCGGTGAGTGCGAGAGAACCGAGAGAAACACAGTTATTGTCTGTCGTGTTCGTTGTCGCCCCAGAGGCCCTGTGCTGCGTTGCAATCTGGGAAGCGTCGAGCAGTATGTCAGGGCTTGGAGTGCCATAGTCGCCAGAATAGGCCCATTTGATGAATCGAAGAAAAGTGCTTTCGTCGAGGTCGTCCCAGACCACACAACCCTCCTTTGCCTCCTTCATAGAGCCGTTGAGGAGGCGGTCCAGGGGCTTTGAGAGAGTCGAGAGAGCAGCTTCGTGCAAGACGAACTCTTTCTTCTGCGGGCCAACGTCGAATTTGAACGTCTTCGACGAGAAAATCCTATGAGGAAATGGGTCAGCATACTTCAGTGTTGCAATCTGCAGCGCCAAACACGGTGTTCTAGAAATTCAGGTCAGCTTACTTCGAATAGTCTGCCATGGTGTTCGGCCAATCTTGGATGAACGAAGCTGTAAGCTGATGAAAGGAGACTGGTTCCTCAAACCAACAGTGCTCATTGAATGACGATGTTGACGTCCGAAGATGGTGAGAGATAGTGGCCAGAGCAAAGTTGACGAGAAGAACGCACTCCCCTTTAAGGCTCAGGGGTCTGTTTGCAATGTGCTGGCGCTCTTGGGCACCATTTCGAGCTGGCCTTGTTCTCCCAGGATGGTCTCAGGCTTCCGTGACCTCTGCCTTCCACGACCCCAGGCTTCCAAGACCTTGTGTCCAAACGACTGCGTTTGCATGCCGTTTGCAAAGGAGATGCGGGAACCCAGCCGGCGACTGTAAGCAGGATGCCTCGCAGTCAAGACTGGGTATATATCCAACAACACCGTACACCCCTCGTTCACCAAGCGAAAGGTGCGGTTATCATAAATTGGATAAGCACGCTGGAATAAGCATTGAAGATAAATGTGTAGATACAAGCTGCTTATTTCAGTGCGCTTAGTCTACGATTATTATCAATTTCATCGATGCCCGAGAACTAATGCGGGTGACTGTTCCTAGGTAGGTATCATTCAGGTACGAGCTTCGTCGAACTTCCCAGAAAGTTCCCATTCTTTGAACTTCAAGGTAGCAGAGGCGCGCTTTCGGTAGAGCATGCTGTGCTTAGGACAGAGAGGATGAGAGGCTTTCATTCCATCGGCAAGGAGAAGTGCCTCGGCGAGGTGCACATCAATTCGACGGACAAGGCGGTTCCGTCCAAGACAAACGGAACGGCAATGTTGTCGATCGCGGCCGGCCACGGTCAGGAACATGCGACCATCGATTGCCGGGCAGCCGCAGATTGGCCAATGCCCAACATGCAACTGGGGACGAGGAGGACGAGGAGGATGGTGGCGATCCGAGAGTCGTGAGTTGCGTGGTTCCGATGCTTCAAGGATGCCTACATGTTGATTCGCGTACTTACCCTACATGGATGTAGGTACTTCCAGGTTCGTAGTGTACTCATATCCGGCATGATTAAGACAAGAAATTCGTCACGTATTGAATCTCGAAGCATGCGCAGGATGGGGTACGAATGACGCTCGTCGCCCAGTAGAACGAGAAGATTAATTATTGGGTCAAGCCAACATTACACCATCTAGGTCTGTCGAGGACTGGCGTCGGCCACTGCTGTCGACGGAGTCCCATGATGTCCAAGAAGGTTGATGGAACCTTAGTCAAGATAGGGGCTGGCGACTTTGGACGCTACTCCAGCCGGCTACTCCTGAGCCCCTGGCGACGAGGGCCCATTCGAACCCATGATATAGGGCAGGGCCTTGCCTATTGCCAATGGAAAGACGATGAGCGCCCGTGTCAACTCCTCTTCGGTCTTGTAAATGACTGGCCATGTAAGGCCTGATTTTGCTCGCCAAATGCCAGTCCTCAGGGGCACTGGGTTCACCACTATACGCATTAGCAGTTGCGCCTCTGCCTTGCAGCATAGCCACTACATCCAACGACCTACGCACCAGCAGTGACTGCAGTGGGTGCTGGTGGGATACGCCTTGGTTATATTGCTTTGTCATAATCATCCACATGCTGGGGTAGTACTTGACCCTTTTCAGCCCAATCAAGGTCTGAAGGATTCCGACCAACCTTGCCCCTTGTCATTTTTTCAGAGATGCCATAGAATAACACACGCCCGCCCACTCCAAGTCAAAGCGTGCTGATTGATTCAGATTCACCAGTCTAGATAGCTACAGTGTTAGCTACCTAGTCCAAAAAAGTGTTGGTCGAGCCCTGCTCGTTTCCCCTTCGCTACGTTCCTTGCGCCGGCGCTCAGACGATAGCATATGCCGACGCATAGCTCACACTCGAGTCACTATAGTCCTCTACCAGGCTGCTCCGCTGGTACTGCACGAACTTGAACCGAAACTTGCCCTCCTCAGCACCATCTCTCGCCAGTACCTCCAAAGCAGCCATCATTACACCGATGGGATGTCGTCCACAAACCGTGTTATTCGTGTGCTGCAGATTGTCGACAAAGGCATTGTGGTTGCCCGATGCAATGGCGTCTATAGCCAGCTGGTCGACCTGCTTGATGCTCTCGTGGATGGGCGGATTCGTGGGCGTAGTGGATCTCCGCGTCAGAGACTGCAGCTGCTTGACATTGCCCTCGGGCGCGTAGGCGGTGTAGCTGAACCTCGAGCCCCAGTGGCAGAAGTCGGAGCTGATGACGAAGGCGTTATCCGGGTCTTTCAGGTAGGGCGCCAGCAGCTCGCCGAACTCCTTCTCCTCCTGTCCATCGTTGTTGCCGATGAGGATGGGCACGATGGTGGGGTACTCGTTCGACGACTCGAAGGTCTGCATCAATCGCTTGTAGATGTAGGGCAGGTGCATCTCCAACGAGTGCTCGTCGACGTCGTTGCGGCTCGAGATGTCCTGGAACTTGCCCGTGTCCCGCAGCTCTTGTACTATGGCCGCGTCGACGGTCAGGTCACCGAAGGGCGTCGCGTATTTGGCGAACTTGGTAAGGGCGCATCCAGGGAGATAGTATGTATGTGAGGGACCAAGAACAAAGATTCGCTTGGCTTTGCTCAGGTCGAGACACTTGTAAGCCCAGGCGGCACAAGGTCCAGAGTATGTGTAGCCGGCGTGCCTGTAGATGTAGAGGTCAGCATCATGGCGTCTTGGTACCATAAGGTTACAACGACAGCACATACGGCGCAATAACAACCTTGGCGCCGGGTATTGGAAGGTTGCTGTTGTTGATGGAGCTTGGAACGTCATCTAGGAAGCTATCGAGCTTCGCAGAGAGCACATCGCGGTCTCCATCGTACCAGCTGTAGGCATGGCTGGCCTCGCGCGTTCCGCTCAGCTTCATTGTGCTGATTAAGGGGGGACCAGAGATCTTAGGACTTGAGCAGAAAGAGCAAGTAGCATATCAAGGTGTATCGGGTATTGGGGATGATCGTCGCACTTTGTGTTATTGAAGAGAGAGCTCCAGGTTCTCGATGACATGCAGCGAGGGAGCACCTCAAGTACATATCCATGCCCCGCCTGTCCCGCATCTGTTGTCATTATCGATAAGTACCCGATGACTGGGATAAGCATTTGGAGAAGTAGGAGAAGTCGTCGCAGTCATCTCCTCTCCATTCACTCAGTAACTCTAAACAAATAGGGCCCGTACAGTAAACGAATAGGGCCCTAACCCAATCTGGAAGCCATCCCGGCCATTCAATTGGCTGCACACCGCCCACCACATCGCAAGTACTTCAGTTTGCGTGCGTTTCTACCAAAGCAAAGGTACCTACTATGAAATCGCCGGGTAATCAACGTGGTTAGGGTTAGGGTTAGTGGTTAGGGTTCGCCGGGGGTTTGGGGGGCGGCGCGAGCCCCCCATCTGTGAATGTGTCCTTGTGTGCGCTGTGGTAGTCGTGGTGGTGGTGGTGGTGATGATGGTGATGATGCACTGCGGTGTTGAGGATATGTGGGTCTGATGATGGATGCGGGTGCTGTGATTGGTTAATTCGGGCCCTATTCGTTTACTGGACGGGCCCTATTCGTTTAGTGTTACTGCCATTCACTCCACTCCATTCCCTTCACCTCAGTCATCAGATCCCAATCATGGCCACGGAGTCCAACACGTCCAGTTAAGTGTTGGGAATGAAAAAGGGCACGATAGACCAAGTGGGTGACATAATGACGTACTGAATTTAGGTGATCCGGATCATTGTGGCTGGGGTGTGGCTCGTCTACAGTGCCCGGGATTGGCCAGCCACCCCCCTGACCGGATACCACGTACAATCCACAACCCAATTTGGCTGAGCCAGGTCGTCTTGGTACTGAGATAACATTCCCCCCTTTCCATTCCCTTCACATCTCCCAGATGACGCGTCATGGTGGCCACCCTGCAGCCATCACCGCCGTAATTTCTCATGACGAAACTCGTTCTCTGAGGGGGACAAGTATGTGACGGCTCCCCCCAAAATCGAAGGCCCCAATCAGTCATTTCTCGCCAAGTGAATATTGACAACGGTGGACCCAAGGCATTCACACGACCTGTCTGTACGACTCTGACGTTCCGGTATCATGATTTGCTCATCTTATCATCAAGATCGACTGCTTGTAAACTTCCGAGGACCTATGCAGCTACCCAATTTTGTCATGGAAGAGCAAAGTCATGATCAATATGTTGACAGCCACGCGGTGACTAGAATCTTATATGTCAGCACCTCGTTGATTGGGGATTCCAGATAATTTAACTGTGTGAACCAAATTCATCTTTCGCAATGATTTCCCATCTCGCACTTAATTATAGGCGCTACGGTAGCTAACGGGCGCCTATACAACCCATGAACTCAGTGTCAGTCCACCCCCAGGGCCAGCCTGCCAGGGCTGTCGTCGGCCCCCGTATCCCCAAGCGCCACTCGTTCTAAACACAAAGTCCACGGCGAAATAGACGGGAGTGAGCCTTTTGAGGCCCACGAATACGTCCCAAGCAGTACGGCCCCTGGCGTCACGCATCTGAGCATCCGCGCCCGCCGCCAACAGCAAGCCTACCATGTCCTCGGTTACGTTCCGGGACAGCTCACCCCGACCAGCTGCTGCCACTACCATCATCAACGGCGTCAGTCCTTGGCCCGGCGACACGTAGTTGATGTCGGCAGCTGCGCCATGGCGGAGCAGGAGTCGGGTCGCAAGCAGGATCTCAAGTTCGTGGCCCTGCACTGCCAGGTGTAGGGGCGATTCTCCGCCTCCGGCTCCGGCGGCCGAAGAAGTAGTAGTACCGTAGTAGACTCTGACGATGACCGGCGGGTTCGCGCTCGCACGTCGGCGCCGGCTCGTATGAGCATTACCAGAGCCCTGGGCTTGGTCATCATCGGCCGTCGCATCCCATCCTTCTGGCTACCGGCCTCGGGGTCCTGGCGGGTTGTCCTTCCATGACGACTTGCGGCGGCCTATATCGCGCTTCGAGCAGCAGGTGGAGTAGTGTCCGCCCAGACTCGCTGTAAGCGTTCACGGTTTCCACACCGGGGGCCGCCCCCTCGTTGCCGTGGCTCAACAGCACTTGCAGACGAAAGCAGGGCTCGTCATGGAACGGGTCCGCCGGTTCGCCTGTAGCGTAGTGCAGCGCGTTGCAGCTTCGCTTGTCGACGGCCTCGACGTCGACGCTGTGTCGTAGGAGGGCGGTTATCAGCAATGCAGTCGGACTGTCGTGTAGATGCATCAAGGGCGTCCTTCCCTCGGCGTCCTTTGCGTTGGGGTCGGCGCCCCGATCCACGAGCATGTCGATAAGGGAATAGAGGGGCGAGAGCCGGCGCAACCTAGTGCGCCAGTTTCAATGGTATTGGTCACGGTGGAAAAAGAACGCGCACAGGAGGTGGAGAGTGCTGTTGCCTTCCGAGTCGATACGTGTGACATCGGGGCCGAGTGCGATGAGATGGGGGATGATTTCCAAGACCCGCTCGGTGACTGAGCCATCCTGACGTAGACTGTGCTGCAGCAACGTGTCGCCCGACGGTGTCGTCGTGTCGATGTTGCCACCGTATTGGATCAGTAGCTGTAGTTTCCGGATACCATTGGGGTCTGGCGTGCGAGGCCCAGGATCAGTCATGGCAGCGAACAGGTTGGCGACAAGCGATGGGTCATAGGCATGTTCAAATCCACGGATTGACCTCCCGGCAATGTAGAAGCGTCTTCTGCGCCGAGTATATGGCATATATTGGTCTGCGCCTCTCTCCAGGAGCAGCTGGACCAAGTCAGCCAGAAACAAAGTCGGTGTATGGCATGGTTCATTGCCTTGCCAGGCGTCCAAGGCCGAATCTAGGCCGCTGTTGGGAGATGCTCCTCGGTCCATGAGCATGGTGGCCATGGTTTTGGCCACTTCGGCACCGTGATCTCTTTGCCCCAAGCCATATGGCTTTGTATAGTAGGAAACCTCCACTCGGAAGAGGCTTATTTGCACCGACGCCGGAATCGAGAAGTATGCCAAGAGCGTCGATGTTGCCTTGTACGATGGCGCCTTCGGCAGCCGTTGTGCCGTCTTGGGCGATATGGTTTGGATCCGCCCCGAGCTGGAGAGAGGCGGTGACAGCGCTGGCCTCGCACTGATGGGAGATGCTGCTTGTCAGGACCGATACGCCGGATGAAGCGGCACCATCATCGAGCGGCCGCCGTGGTCAGCAAGAAGCTGTACCACCTCGCCCGTCCGGGCCAAGTGCATGGGAAGGAGGCCGTTTGTGGTCTTGGCGTTGACATCCGCTCCTTTCTTCAGCAAATAGTTAACGACAGAGGCGTGTCCGCAAAGGGCAGCTTGGTGGATGGGCGTCAACTCGAGATCTGCCCGACTTGAAGTCGTGATAGTGCCGAAGAATGATGCTATGTCCTCAACCTCGTCCACGTTCTCCAAGGTAGAGACTAGCCCATAATCAATTGCCCACTGCACCACGTCTTTTCTGGTTCGTCGAGTCGCATCCCCTTCAAGCCTGGGATGTCTACTCTTGATGGCAGCAGCCTGAGATACAGGATAGGGGAAAGACATGCTCGGTGTCGTCGATCTGCAAGTAGCCATCGAGCGTGGTCTTTAAAGGACAGGTGTTGAGCCACTTGGAGAAGCAGCTCAGGAGGAAAGTCGCAGATGCTTTGGAAGTTGGAATTTGGCATGTTTGGTTGGTAAAGGTGCGATACGTGAAGTAGGTAGCTCTAGGTATATGGAGATAACAAACCTCGGAGGATGAAATCAGCGGGCTTAACTCACCTACCTAGACGTCAGGGGCTGGGGCTCGGATCGGCAATGCACTATAGACAGGGGTCTTCCGGTCCCAGGGCGATCGTCGACTTTTCACGACGACACGGATTACTATCAAATCAACATATTACACCATGCATGGTGACCATCGACACGCTGTTGGGTTTGCCAGCCCCTGGTGTGCCAGGTTACTGAAAATAGGTACCTCCCCTACCCTGACTGAACTGAGATAGCCTGGCAAGTCTCTGATGCTACCCCACGGATCACTAATTTCACCAGTCACTTGTAAAGAGATAGCAGTAAGACTAGAAACTGTGTAGAAGTAAGACTGTTGTCCTAAAGTAGGGTCTTATCTGGTGACCTGTTGGCCGTATGGCGCAATGGTCAAATGCGCCTGGTTGTGTTCTTGTTTGTACGGTGGGCGACGAGAACAAGTGGCTTCGAATCCTGCTATGGCCTCCTTCTGACCCGGCTTGTGCGAGTCGATAACCAGCACACAACAGTGGAGAGGCCCCATTATCGCAGAGCCCGATAGCCAAGCAGCTTGTCTCCACAACACCAACTCTTGCGAGGTTTTTCCCCTTATGGTTTCCCTCGCCAGTAGATAACAAAACACCTACTTCACCCACCAATGCGACATATATCGATCGGCTACTGGAACAATGTGTACACCAGAGGACTGAGGTTTACTGGGTCGTTTTGTCACTAGACAGGAGGTTTTTCTGACAGAATCGTGCATGGGTATTGATTAAAACCCTCTGGACACTCCAGATTGGTACCGCTACAGCGAGGATAGGCTCGTGCGTGGATCTGAATGTATCTAGACTGACACCTCTATAACCTTGCGATGCAATGGCTCTGGGAAGCGTGGTTAGCCCTGTTGAGGGACTGCACCCACGATAAATACAATCAATCAATCAATCAATCAATCAATCAATCAATCTGGTGACCTGTTCATGTAATATGGCTGACTCCTGTCGTCCTGCCTGTGCTTCTTCTCCTTCCTCTTATTCTTCGCGTGATAATGCATTCTAGTCTGTTCATGTGCTCCAGATACAACCTGGCTAGGATCTGGACGCAATGCTGAGATGATCTGTTGACCAGGACGTCTGTGAACAATTCCTCCTTCAGGACTGTGCGGAGCTTGTCCTTGGCTGATTCATCGTCTACCAAGACACAGCGAAGTTGTGCTCCTTCCGCTCGGTAGTTCTCTGGAGCCTATTTTGCCGTCGCCGAAGGGTTCTTAAACTGCTGCGGCGAGGAGCGTAGCCCATGGGGTGAGAAAGCAGCAGCGGTCTGCGAGTTCGAGAACGGTGTCGAGGCTTGGGGAGTGGGGGCCGCAGGAGGATGCTGAGAACGCGTCCGGCCCTACTGCGAGGGATCTCCAGAGCTCTTCCTCCAGCTCGTGAATCTTCTTCTTGGTCGCAATGAAGTTGCATGTATGCTGGGAGCCCGAGAGATGCGTCACCAAGCGGTTGTCCTGTGTGAGGATTATAAATTGTTGGAGGACCGTTGATGCATCGGGATGAGTCTGGTTGGCCAAGGTGGGATCTGGGCGCAACGACTCAGTCTGGATGTAGGGCGCCTTGTCGATGTTGATTGTCGAGCTAACTAGGACTGACTAGCTATTAGTCGCTGCCGGCATGGGCAATGGTTGGACTTCCAGTATGAGCGAAGCAGATCTACGCATACCGTCGTACAGGACTCTTGTACCGTGCCATGAGCGTTATTGGCTGGTTACCTGCCGTCCACAGTGACCGAATCTAAGGGGAATGTGTCACTGGTAGGCTTCGAAACCCCCGAGCTCGGCGAGAAAAGCGAAATTGGTTGGACTAGTAGTAGGGCTGATATATATGAACCAGGGTATACCATTGAATATCATGATACGCCAGTTGCATTATATCTTCACGGCGCTGCTTGCTATCATAAGAATAGCCAAGCTCTTCATCGGGCTAGAGGTGAACACACACAAAAGTAAGTTCTTGTCGTATGGAACGTGCCAGCTTATAAAGATCTGACTCCGGGCGCTTAGGACTTTACCTGCCGAGTCATCCAGATCTCAAGTACGTAGTCACCATGGTTGGTTTGTGCAAAAGGGAGTTTGGACATAAAGTTTGCTCGTTAACTCTGCGACTCAATCCTATGGTAAGTCACTCGAAAAAGCTCACTTACTAACTAATGCCACCGCCCGATCGTTCGAAAATGACATCGTGGACGGAACAGAGAAACTATTCTAGCTATAGCACATGGTCTGGTCAATTGCTCAGAGAGCTCAATTCAGTGGATCGTTGTGAACATAACTGATTAGACTATCGGAACTTATGACCGCCACTGACTACGTCTCCGCTTTCAACCTGCGCGAAGAGGTGACGCCAGGCCCGCCATGCGCTTACTGAACTCTCGGCCTGTAACCTGGTTAGCGCAAGGTATGTAGACACATGAAGCTCCACAAGCCTGACCATGAGATTTTGTGTCGTAGTTTTCGTCCCGGTGATGCCGGAAGAACGTCCAAGTGTTCACAAGTCTTCTATTACATCAAGGGTGTTAAATCAATAAGCTTCTTTTAGAACGGTGTGGTTGTTTTTATAAGATCCGAGAGCCTCTTGCTCAATGTTCTCATGCAAACTCGCTGTCTTTATACTTTTGATACAGAATGCTCTCTTATAAGCCAGTGAGAATGTCACAGCTCGACTATGACTTTAGTTCTTCCATGTAAAGGAGAAAAAAAACTATAAAGCTATCTAGGAGACATGATCGGGTATATATAGGGGTTGTTCCTGTGGGGCTGTCTAGTGCCGTGACGGGGTAGAAGTCTGGATTGGTTGCAAGCTGATTGCAGGCCTGCGAGCCAGCGTATGCTTATAAGGAAGTGAGTCTTATGAGGAACATTGCATCGTTTGTAATTGATGTATGCGCTGACCTTGCCGGTCTTGCTTCTTTTCTCTGGTTGTAGATGTCCAATGTTCCTAGCTGGCCCCTGGGGAAAGTGAAGGTTGGTCCGAGCCCCTGAATCCAATGAACAGCGGCGTATCCCCTTCAACTAGGAGCATATGAAACCTGTAGCTCCAATAACACGATTCAAGCGGCAGTGTTCACATGGCCTGCTTATTCAAGTAAGCCCCAGCGCAAGTCCATCCAATGAGATTATATGGTTACGCCCACGTCCTTCGCGTCCTTCCCGTCCTTCCCGTCCTTCCCGTCCTTCCCGTCCTTCCTTGGTGGTACCTTATCACCACCCGAGCACCCACGGCCCCGTCAGACCCCAGCCTCCTCTCTATCGCAAAATAAAAGCCACGATCCACACAGCTAACGACAATAGAACGACAGGGCGGGACAAGATATTGACAGCCTCGAGGAAATAGTTGCCGAATTCAAACCTCAGCACCTTGAAGATCGACAGGATCGATAGCGTCGTCACCAGCAGGACATAGATGCTGTTCTGACGGAAGGCATCGGCATCGAAGCTGCACGAAGGCCTGAGGAGCCACCTGCAGACGTTCCGAGCTTTGCCGCTCATTCTTTCTGCGAGTGCTTGTTAGCAAACCGCATGCGCATGTCGTCGGGTAAGATTTGGCGAGGTACATACTCCATACACTCGGGGGTTCTGGAAAGTGATCTGCTGCTTTGAACTCTACGTCACTGTCTCGCAGGGTTTTCAGGAGAATCTCCAACATAGCCTTGTCGGTACTTTCCGACACCCACATCACCTCGTTATCGTCCCTGTGGTAAGGAATGGGCAAGCTGACAGAGGTAGCATTGCCCTCTCTCATGTCCATCATTACCCACCTCCTGGGGTGAGGAGATTGGGCATATTCGCGAGCGACTCTTAGCGGGGACTTGCCTGTAGATGTGTTTTCCAGTATAGCTGCGCCAGCACCCACGAGGACCTGGGCGGCAGGTTCCATCCCGCAGTGAAGAGCAAGCATCAAGGCTGTGTATCCACCGGCCGGAGGATATGGACGTATGCACCCTTCCTTTTGGTTCGAAAAGTCCCATACCCAGGGAGCATGATCCACCTCGTCGACCCGAGATTTGAAGGCTGGTGACTGCACAAGCTGCCGGAGGATACGATAAAAGTGCAAAGGCCGCAGCAAATCTTCGGCAGAATTGCCCTCAAGCCAGTGAATGCGCATGGCTGCCAGAACAAGCCAGTGAACATCTCCTGCGGTGGCGAGCGAGTAAGCTTCGTACCTTTGTATAAGATCTGTAACGATGATACGCATATATTCTGGTAACTCGTGTGCCACGTCCACCCTGAGGAGGTCGAGGCTCATTTTTCGCGTGAGGAATTCCAATAATGGGTTTCCTCGGATACTGTCCATTGGGGATGGACAGAGCGCTTGCTGTACCATACTGTCGATGAATCGCGTCCGAAACATCGTGTCCTCCACTAGCCTACTTCGCACCATCTCCGTGTGTGGCACCGTCTGATCAACGAGACCACCTTGGAGAACAAGATCAAATTTATCGTTGTCGAGACTCTGCGCCGTGATAAGTTGTCTTTCGCGTAAGGAAAACCCAAAATTGGCACCTGCTGAATCATGTCGACGCTGCCATGGTACGCGATGAACCTGAGTAAGTCTTGAGCGATGTTTCGACGGTGGGTTTTATCATTTGCGACAGCGTCTCGCAGCTCATTAAGAACATAATCCAGCTTGAACATGGAGGAAGCTGTCATGCGCATATAGGATTGCAGATAGTGATCGAGCAGAGAAGCGAGCTCTGGTCGAAATGAGCTGGATATTACCAAGAGCCAACGATCGAACGTGTAATCGACCGTAGCTAGATCTGGAGGGTCCAAGTCGAGGAATTCTCTTCCAATTGTCTCGGCAGAACAATCGAGTGCGACGAGGGAACCTAGATGAGAGGCACTAGAACGTGGCAATCCCACGCTGAAGGTAGTTATTGAGAGGTACCTCCCCGGGCTTGTGGTAAGTTGTCGAGGCCAGGTGAATTGAGCATGCCGCGCGAAAGTGGTGGCGTAAGTCACAGGAATTGAGTAGCCAGCTGCTTCCGATATCAGGAGAGGAACATACTAGGCGGCGAAATCCATGGAGCCTTGCAGCTCCGGATGTTCTTTCGCTGCATGCCAACGGTCTTCCTCGGCACGGCTGTAGATACTACTGATGATCAGATACGTGGGTCTCGTTGACCGTCATAGTAACAAAAAGACACCTAAACAGTTGCTAGGATGGAACTTCGGAAACTCACTGGTGCCAGCTCGAGAAAGAGGGGCGAAAGTTGTAATTCAGGAGCAATTGGATCGTATTGTAGTATTCGACGTAGAATCGAGCCTGGTAAGATGAATCCGAGTAGCAACAATAATATGCTCCATTCAATCTCCCTATGGCTGGACTCTCGTTGTCATGCCGCTTACATAACTGGTGGAAGTCGATGAACCTTGACTCTGGTTAGCATGTCATCAAATTCTTCAAGAAGGTTTATGTATGCAGTAAGCACATCTCGCTTGCCTCGAACATCCGGCACGTCTAGGATGTTCGCGTGTGAAATACGCCTCGTATCGAGCAAGACCCTGAGTTTCTTCGAGTCTGGGATCTTCGCATGCCAGTGCGTGTCACCGAGTTCTTTATACTTCCGTCGGGCATGCCGTTGCTTGCAGGGGATGAAACCCAGAGCGTCGAGCACGGCGACATCCTCGCAAACCGTGCCAGCCACAGAGGACAGCATTAGGAGAGGTACACTTCCACTGACGCTGATGAAGCATTTCCATTCGACTAGACTTCTGGAGATCCAGCTGAAAGGCTCGAACCTCACAGTATAAGCGAATGCTGAGCTTTTACTCGAGGTTCCTCTGGGGTCTGGATAATGGTTCATTACCGTGACCCGACAGCAAAATGTGCGATACTCCCGCTGGGAATGAAAATTGCTGCCATACTCCATCAATTCGTGTGAATGCTCGTTGTCAGTATATCTCGCAGGTCGGCGCGACCTGGGAAATTTAAGTCGTCGACCCACAGCTCCTGTTGCCTGTTGGAATCTTTCGTCACGGTCACACCGTGCATCCTCCGCGATAGCGTCAAAGCGGGAGAGCATGGATGCTTCTATGCTCTGCATGGTCGATTCGAATGAGGAATAGAAGGCGGTGGCTTTCACTTCATGTCGTGTGAGTGTCTCTTCGACGCCGGGTACAGCGACAGTCATGCGGGAGCTGCCGTCTGATTAGTTGAGACTGTCCGAGGTTGGTCGAGTGGCCCTTTGCACCTTTGCGCAGATGTCTCGAAGAAGAGAAACCGAGCCATCTGCGTGTCTAGGAGGTTGTAATACTTCTGTATGCTTTCCTCGTTGAAGCGAAGGCGAGTGTCCGTCTCGATTGCTTGCAATGACTTCCCCTTAAACCGGTTCTTTCCTACGTGTTGTAGCAGTTCTCCGAACTCTTTGACTTCGTCCACGGAGTTTGATATGCACTGTCGGAAGAGGTCGCGCAGGCCGTCGCTGATCTGTCCGTCGGGTATGCGGCCGAAGTTGAACTTGAGTTCTGCCATTGATTGCACATCAGCAGTGCTACAGGCAGCCCAGACAGTATCAGCTACCATACATACCCTCGATGAAGGTCTCATGCTGTCCCAGTCTCCTCCCAGCCGTCGTGAGGTCACTTCTGCCTTGCTTGATTGCCTTGTGGAGGGAACGCAGCTGTTGGTAGAATTGGAAGGTAGCTGTGCCGAGTTGGATTGTTGCTGAGGCCAGCCCCGGTAGAGAGCGCCCGCTGCGGCAATCGCTTCCATCCCGAACAAGATGAGTTAACGAGGGGACCGGAAACGAGGCGGCGACAAGGTGAAGGCTCACATAATAGCAGGTCGAGCATTCGACCCATGAGGAAGCAGGCATTGTAACCGCTGCGACCGCACGACGGCGCGACTCGGCAGGTTGAGGGTGTACAGCATGCATCATGCATGCTTCCAAGCCTCCCACACCAATCGAGGGCAAGGCTGCGTGGGACGAGCATCGCCACTCAATACGAAGCTGCAGGTCCAACGAATCAGGATGCGAGGAAGTGTCCCAAGCTTCACTTGAGCCCAAACATTTGATCGATGTTCTTCCCACGGCAGGTACAACTGACCAGCAACTTTGCTAAGCACACGGCCGAGGCCTGGAAATCCAAAGACTTATACCCGAACCTAACACACATGCACGTATTAGTCTTTGCTCAGATCCGCGAGAGCAATGTGTTTTGGTGTACATGTATGTGAAGCTAACATGGAAGATTTGGTGAGCCGCAAGATGATACTACCATCATCAGTGTTGGGTATTTGATACCAAGAAACGCCAGAAACCCATCACAAAGACCCAGAAGCGATCTGTATCCTGAAAGCACCAATGAAGACGCCCGAACACCAAGAATTCGTTAGAAAAACACTTGGCTCCTTATGCCAACACGCCACGCTCAATCATAGCCCAAACACACCTGGGAAGCCCAGAGCACGGCTGCCAGCACAGCACGCACTCAGCAAATAGAAACTCCAGACCCCACAGTCCACCCGATTTATCCAACCCACACCTTTCTCCCGGCACAATTTAGACATCGTCGCCGCTCGCCCAGGTTCGTGATCGAGCAGTGCGAGCACACGTGTTTGCCACAGGCACCGCAATCCACATCGGTGTCCACATCCATCGAGTCGTCGCCCGCATTGTTCCTGTCGGTACCAGATAGAGATAGTCCGCAGTCCTCGCAACTAGAGGGAGCGTAGACAGTTCGATCGATATCGAGGGCCGACTGGGCAGATGCGGACGTGCCCGGCAACTTCCAGAAGCTATGGAGGGAGGCCTGGGCCTGTGATGGCGGTGTGGCGGCCGCGGGCTGAACCGAGACGGGTTGTGTCGCGAACGCACTTGTTCCTTCCGCGTGGGTGTCGTGCTGGATCTGCTGGCGCTGCGCCGTGTATAACATGTTGAGAGTCCGTTCTGCACAAGTGTCGCGTGAGCAAGTACTCTTTGATGGCGAGCGTGGCACTAGTAGAACTTACGATGGATTTCGTCATCCGACGGGCGGTTGTCGCGAAAACGCTTCATGGTGCGGCTCGGGAGGTGGGCGGGCGTTGTCGAACTACCCCGTGATCGTGCTGATGACAAGAACCGTAGTGGTGATGTGTCCGTATTGGAGAAGGTGAATGCAGCCTCGTTTCGTGGCGGCGAGCTGAAGGCGCTTGACGAAGACGAGAAGGAGAGCTCAGACTCGGAACGCTTGCGCTTGAGGAGCATAGTGGCGGATTCGTTTCGGTCAGCGTCTAGCAATGTATCAATGGGACTTGAAATGGGATGCTGCGTGACTATGGTCTCAGGTGGGATGGCTCATGGGCGTGACGGACTCGAATTGGCGAAGCTGGAAGAGAATATAGGTAGTAGGTACTGTGAGGCCAGCTTGAAAGGGGGCTGGGTGCTCGGATGTCGCGATCAGACGCGATGAAAGAGTCGCCCCACCTTGCATGATGCATCTTCCAGCGCGTTTCTCGCGTAGATTGTGCCTTTTGGTAGCTTTCCCAGATGCTGACAAATCACAAGTCTTGTTGTAATCTATCAGTGGTCTGGGTGGTGCTTGATTAAAAGGTCGGATGGAAAGGATTCCATCTGAGATGTATCTAAATACCTAAATTACAGTGGTGAGGTACCTGGGGCAACAAAGGGTTGCCAGGCAGCCTTCCTCAGGTAACCTCCAACATATCTGGTGGGGTTACCAGAATACTCCATATGGGTCCATGCACTGGATCCACAAGATGACCAGGTCCCAATGCATGTAAGCAGATATGCACATACTGAACATAATTACCAAACCACCAGCTTGTCGCGAGCAGCCAGCCAGTCCAGCGCATTTGGATGCTTCACCACCCTATCCTTCGGACCTTCTCACCACGTACCCGCCCAGACTAATATCGTTACCTAACCAAGAGGTTATTTGTCCGGACGGGTAGCTCTGCGACTGCTCCCGCTCTCTCGCCCAGAGCACCAAACTTTTCCAGTAAGACCACGGCTGTTTTAGTTCCACTTTACAGCTCCAGGCCTGCCTACATCGCTCCAGGTATATGCGAATCTGGTTGCTCCAATTCGTACCGCAGGGCAATACGAGTCTTGCGTGAATCTCAAGTGGAGGACTAAAGACTATTGTATAGTTCCGTCAGCCATAGCAAGGTTTCCAGGCGTGGACGTCGCTTACCACCGCCGTACTCTTTACTTAGTTCATGGTATATGCGGGCAAGGGCAACCTCTTTGCTTTCTTGGACAGGAAATTTGCTGAGGAACATGGATGCTAGGGTGCCCTCATTCCACAGCTGCCGCATTTTGTCGTCCCGATGAAAGAGGTTGCGGAACTGCTCCTGACGGTAGAGCGACCTCTCTGCGTACCGTACCTCGGAGTTATATGCTGCTTCGGTGATCGGACCAGGGACGTGAAGCGAGTTGGGGCCGTCCTCATTACGTTCATGCAATGTAAAAGCCCGAGCCAGCGACTCTACCATCTCGTGGAAGCGCCACATGCGACGCACATCTGGAAGCTTCCACAACTTCGGCTTTTCGTCCCGGTTACTGAGGCTGGCTGAAAGGAACGAAGGAACGACTCAACCGCAACTCCATACTCTCTGGCGCCAGATGTGCGTGGATCAAGTTCCTTGATGGCAGCGGTCTCGTACGCGAGGGTTGCTTCCGGCAGAACGACGTCATGGATTCGGTTTCGAAGGATCTTGGTGGCAACGTATCGGTCCTCCTGAAAAAAAGCGTGGAGGCTGCGCGAGCATATCGGAAGGCATCCGAGCGCACGAGGGTTGGGGAGATACGCAAAAATATGCTGCTTCACCTCGGTCGGCAGACCCTCCAGAGTGCTCGACATGTTTGCCGATTGTCGTAACGTCAAAAAAGATTGAAATATCGAGTGAGGAGTTTCTGTTGTAGAGGTTCTTCTTGGGCCTTCTAAAGAGCTCGCGAGAAAGTTGACACGTTCACAAACTGAAGAAAAGCATCAGAGTTTCTCCATGGCTTGGTGGTTGGCGAATAAGGTTAACTACGTGTCTACATCAAGACAAGTCGGCACGCAGCATGTGAGCAAATCATCGTATGCCGATGCACGTGCAAGTCAACTCGGGGGCGCCCGGATGTCTCGTTCAAGCCGATGCACAGCTGGCACCGCACATGAAGGCAAAGCCGCCTGGTGGCGCGAAAGACAGGTTTGTGCCTCTTCGAGACGGCGTCCCTCTAGGAGGAACTCTATCAATCAAAAGTCAAAACACCCTCAAGGCGTCAATAAGGCCAGCCACTCGAGGGACGTGGAAGACAGTGACCACGACATCACTCAGGACTTTTCAGCACCAATATCACACGATGTTCAACTGAATCAGGTCAACTACGGGGATCAAAAGTTGTATGTCTATTGACAGGGAGCTGCTGAAGAAGAAATATGTGTAGTGTTCATAACACTCTCCCAGGCAAGGACACCCGAACGCCAACATGACGGAACTCTAGGAGAACAATGTTGCGAACTTTCAGAGCAACAACAGACCCCAACGGTACCTTCTTAACACCTGCCCATTGCTTACAGCAAGACAGCTCCGACCAGAACAGCGAGGGCTGCAACGCCCAGGGGCAGCACCGACGGCAACTCAACCAGACCCGGCGCCGCACTGTCAGTGTTCCCAGCAGCAGCAGCAGCAGCAGCAGCAGTACTCGAAGCCGCATGCGCCTGCGCAGCGGACGCAACCGAGTGCGCGCTCATCACCGCCTCGCTAGCCGACGCCTGTCCCGCGCCCGTCGCCGTCGAAGCCACGCTCTCAGCGCTCCTTACCGCATCGCTGGCACTAGACATCGCGGCGTCGGCCGCCGTTGAAGCCACGCTGTGCGCGCTGTCCGCCACCGATGACCCGTAGCTCTCGTACGACGACGCGATCGACGACCCGTAGTCGCTGTACTCACTGCTGTACGAGCTGGCCAGGCTCTTGGCCGAATCCGCCACGCTCTGCCAGTCTTGCCGCTTCTCGTTGTCGTACTGCGCGGCGATGGCGCTGGCTTCGGCCTGCGCGGAGCTGGCTGACGCGAGCGCGGCTGCGAGGTCGTCGTGCCAGTCGCGTTTATTGTTGTACTGCTCGGCGATCTGGCTCGCCTCAGCTTGGGCGGCGCTGGCGGCTGCGAGGGCCGCGGCCTCGGCGGCTTGCCAGTCTCGCTTCTCGTACTGTTCTGCGATGCGGCTGGCTTCCGCTTGGGCGGCGCTGGCTACCGACAGAGCCGAAGCCCGGTTGGCCTTCCAGTCCCGCTTGCCGTACTGGGCTGCGATGTTGCTGGCTTCGGCTTGAGCTGCACTGGCAGCTGCGAGAGCCGCAGCCTTCGCAGCCTTCCAGTCACGCTTTCCGTACTGCGCTGCGATCTTGCTAGCCTCTGCCTGAGCCGCGCTCGCCACCGACAGCGCCGAGGCCTTCTCGGCCTTCCAGTCACGCTTGCCGTACTGCGCGGCGATCTCACTGGCCTCTGCCTGAGCGGCACTGCCAACTGACAGAGCCGAAGCCCGCTCGGCCTGCCAGTCACGCTTCTGGTAGCTGCTGGCGATGGAACTGGCGCGCTGCTCGGCCGAGCTGGCCTCCGCGAGTGCGGACGACAGGCGGTCCTGCCAGGACTGGCGCTCGGCGAGCACGGGGGCTGGTGTGATCATGGGGTCGCGGGGTGCCTCCTGGGCGACGTTGGCGAGGGCCATGTTGGCGGCGAGCAGGGAGGTGGTGAGGGAGGTGGTGGGGAAGTGCATTGTGAATTAACGAATAGGTGTGCTTTTGGTCTTTATATTGGGATATTAAAGAATCGTTTTCTATTGTTGTTTGAGATGTGGTTGTTGAGGATTCTCTATGAAGCAAAATTGTCGAAGCTGGTTGCAGTCGGGTTTTTATACCATGTAAGCCTTCTTCGAAATTCAGAACTTACGAGAACGATGTTGAGTTCAGAGTCGTGAACATCACGACCCGCAGGGATCGTCGTTTACCCATCGACGATGTCCCTCTGCGTGTAGAACGCTGTCGAGATACCGCATTGCGGTAACAAGCCTACCGGTAGTACGTTGTCCTCTTTTTCCCTTTCGATCGCCTTCAAGCCTTCGCCATGCATAAGGCATGTGGGTATGTGGCTAGGCGTTGCAGATCTCACCAGCGTCCAAGCTCTGAGATCTGCTCAGATGAGATCATACATATGGAGGAGTTGCAGGCAGGTAGGTAGTCATACATAGACTCCCCTGGGCGCTTCTTTCTGCCGGATCAAGCGGACCGTTCGAGGCAGGCAGGGCGCCAGGCGCGGATAGTCTACCCCTTATGCAGCCAAAGAGGGTACCACACGAGTGTCCACACACACGACCGAGCTCGCCGAAGCCCCTTTTCTCTAGTCGTTTTCCCAACTACCGCACTATGACGGCACAGTATACAGTAGAGGCATCAATACATCTCCCATGCCCAAATCTATCTGGGACAAGCAAAGTAGTTACCGATGAGGTGCTCAAACTAGGCATTTGCCGATCTGACTATACCCTAGCACAGCCTCTACGGAAACTAGTGCGGTGCTGGCGGCTCGGAGGGCCGCCCTCCCACCCCTGGCGTCGAAGCCACTGCTTTTAGACGTGAAAAGTTGGAGCCCGTGGGTTCCCGGATGAGGTCTCGAGGATTCCGCTTCGGGATGACTGATCGGCATCCGTTGGCGCGGTCTTACTTCTGGGTCTACTGTGAGCCGTTCATTGAATTTGTGTCATCTAAGAAAGCGCTCCTGGAGTGAACTTTCTGTCTGGGTTTATGGTTCCATCAACTGAGTGTGCTAATCAGATGGTAAGATACCAGATAGCTTATGGCGGTTAATGTCGACTATCTGCTCTCATTAGCCAGGCCTGGTGGATGATGTCGGTAAGGTCCCATGAACGTCACTAGACAGTCAGGACCTGCACGCAGTAACACGAGCTCAGCGACTTAGTCGGATAGTAGAGACTGCGGCTCATCCGAACTGGCATATAGCTGCAATTTTGATGAGTGAACTGTAATGTACGTACGTGCACTTATTGCGTTGAAAGCGACAAGGTCTTGCCAGGCCCTCTTGTGTGACAATCGTATGACCCCTGCTACTTCCACTTCTGCGAATTACGTTTTGATGTTGACTCTAGATATTGTGCGACTTTTACCATAACAGAGTGGCTTGTGCCCTTTGCTGGTGCTGATTGTTTGGTGTCTGTCTCGTGCTTCACCTGAAGAGTAGGACAGTCTTGTTGCTTGCAGCAAATACGATGACATACGTGTAGAAGCTTTCCACTCTCGCTGGCTCGAATAGCTGGAGAATTGTAGTAAGTCATTACTATCCAGAAGTGTATTGCTTTCAATAACATTCGTTGGAGCGCCTGGGGCGGAAGCTGCAATAAAGGGGTATATAAAGGCTTTTTTAAGTTCGGTCTCCAACAGGAACAAAGTGACTACATACCATCTTCGCGGGTAATACACCCAGAAGCTGAAATACGGATGAAAATGTAAGCTCCGGCAAATACGATTTCGAGGGGGCTGGGATGGAAGTAGGATCGCTCCAGGGCTACAGCCTTGCAATAAAACATCGTCACACAACTGCCATCCTTCCCTGGTCGGTGGGGGTTCCATTTGCGTAGGGGTTCATAGACTTCCCCCAATCGCGTCAATTCACAACCAACACATCCGCATAGCCACCACCTATTTCAGAGCAAGGGGTCGGTGTATCTGGGAAATCGCCCCCCAAGTTGAAGATGTACGACCTCATGGCTGGAAGGTGTGCGACCTACAATGCACACTCCTGGACAGGGACCGTATAAGCGAGCAGAGACTAAAGTCCTGAGAAATCAGGGAACCAAATGTCTTCATAACACCACTACAGCCGTTTCACTGCCTTGGCTGCGTCCTAGTGACTTGCTTGTTGAACTTCCCTATCCGTGCGACAGGTACTTGGCTCGTTGAGTGGCAGTTATGGATCCATCAGCAGACCGGCATCAGCACAGCACCTTGGAGGTCGATACCGAGAAGCAGCATTACGATAAGTACCCAGAGGTCGACATTCAAATGCAGAGCTTGAACAACTATCCAGAGGTCGCGGTGTCGTACTACCCGGAGGTTTACCAACATCAGACAGCCTACACCATTCGCAAGGAGGTAAACCATAATTGCGCAGTTGTCTTGGGAAACTGTCCAGACGAGCAAGCAAGAATGCATCTACCGGGTACCGATTTCTGAGCGCAAGGTGTGCGGGCTACGCAGTAATACCGCCTTGATTGTGATTGGGATCGCTATTGTAATTATAATCGGCATCATCGCGGGAATGACTGGTGGTGTCTTATCAACCCGGCCAAAGGAACGCGACGGAGAGGCCCTAGATGGCGGACAATCCAAGCCGTTGTCAAATGATATACTTATATTGTTGCCGAATATCAAGTTGGCATCGGCGAATTTTATAGACGGGTATGGGAGCGAGAACTACCTCGTGTTCTAGCAGCTCAGCAACAAGGCAATCTACATGTCGGCGTGGGACTCGTCGCATGGAGAGTGGGTAGTATCGCCAGTAGTGGACGGAACGACGGTCAGCTTGGACGACGTCTCGGAGGGCACGTTGATCGGGATGGATATAACTCGCATCCAGGACAACGTGAGTCTTAAATAGTCCATCATGACGGGAGTATACACCAAACAGTCGTTGCTAACTTGGACGACTGTACTAGAAACGTACTGTGCACTTGTACTGGACGTCCCCTGATCCACGGGCCAAGTCTCTGGTCGGACCGGATATACCCATACACAGACTCTCGACCGTCGATGAGTGGCAGGGCACGAGCGCGAACGAGCTGTTCGCGGCTGGGGCAGGGTCTCCCCTCGTGTCTTATGGTCAAGCATGCGATGTGTGCAACAACCTTACATACTGCTTCGTGAGTAGAGTTTCCATGCGTTTTGATGGTCTTCTCCTCCCATCAGATAGCTCGAAGTTCCCGATCGCTCGACATACTCGCCAAAACAGGTAACAGCTACTGACTCCCAACGCTACAGTGGCAGAACGCCGACGGCTCCCTGGGAGGTGCCGAGATGACAAAACCTGGAACCGGATCATGTTGAATGGCGCACAAGCCACCGTGGCGTTCAGGAAGGTGGCAGTGCACCAACAAGGCCAATAGGGCATTTTTAGGCCACCTAGCCCACAGAAGGATTTTCACAGAGAGAGAACACAAAAACACAACACTCAAATCATATCAACCATAATGCACGCTGTTTAACAGATCACGTTCACAGGGCCTGCAAACCCACCGCTGGCGAGCAATACCTCGCTTGCGCTGACTTGCATCCCCTCAGTCAACCAGACCGCGGCCTTCAACCTCTTCTACCGTTCCGACGCGGGCGCTCTGGCGCAGGTGGAATTCGACGGCGGAGCCCGGACACGACGCTGAGCACGAAGACCCTGGGGCGAAACATCAGCGCCGAGACATCCATCACCGCCTTCGCGACAGGCATAAGCGCGCCCAACAACTCCGCCCCGCTCCGCTTCCAGGTCCTGACCGTTGACCCCTTGGCGAAGGACGGCGTCCATCTGACGTACTACGATACTAATTTCTCCGAGTTGAACAGCGAGGTGTTGGATTTATCTGACTGTGCGCCCTTGGCATCGATGGCTGTCAATAGGGGATTGAGGGTCTATTGCCTCGTGGAGAACACACGGGGTGTCGGGATTGAAGAGTTCGAATGGAGGGGCGATGTCAGCGACTTCACGTTGTATAATCGTATTGGAACGGTAGGAACTGTTTAGAAGCATGATGATATCTTTGGGCACTGAGAATCCCCAGGATGTCAGAGCAAGAACGTGGAGTGTACATGATGGGTGTAATCAAGTGATATGACTTCGCATGCCTTGCTAGATCAAATAAAAGGTATGCAAGCCCGCTCGCTTCCCCTATTTGCACACTCCTCGAACCTGAGCAGAGACCGTTGCTTCATGTAGACGCACTTGGACACCAGTGCCTGAGCGATTCTCTATCGCGTGATGAAGACGCATCCTGCCATCGCCCTCTTCCATGTTCTCGATGCGGTCGTACTTCTGACAGAACCGGGAGATGACATAGCCCACCTCTTGGCGGCCGAATTGCTCTGTCGAACGAGATGTCAGTCCCAACAAATGTGATGGCAGTGGGATTGGGATTGGGAAATACTCACGACCCAAGCATTTTCTGGCGCCCGCACCAAAAGGGATGAACTCCCAGCCCGGACGGTGCGTCTCCCACCTCTCGGGTCGGAACTCCTCAACATCATCGCCCCAGATATCCTCGCGGTGCTGCATCGCGTACAGCGGAATGAGAACCTGGGTGCCCTCGGGGACGAAGACCCTGGACTTGCCGTCGGGCCCGCCACCCCTCGGCAGCGTCGTGTCCCGAAGCGCAATGCGCTCGTTCAGGGGGATCACAGTAGCGACCCTCAACGTCTCGTTGATGACCCATTGGAGGTAGTTGGCCTGGCTCAGAGACCGGAAGTCTGCCTGCTGGTCACCGAAACGCTCAAGGATGCTCTCGTGCAGCTTGGTGTACACGGCCGGATGCCGCGCGAGGAAGTACACGACCCAGCCGAGCAGACAGCCCGTCGTGTCGCGACCGGCGATCAGCACATGGAGCGTCTCGTTTCGGAGCTCTCTGGCGTCCTGCGTCTCCTTCGCAAGCTCGTTCAGGAGACTGAAGCGAGGCGCTTTCTCGGGATCGGCGTTCACCTTCTCTTGCGGGTGAGCCAGGCGGTCGGCGACGAGAGAGTCGGCGAAGTCGTGGATGGTGCTGCAGTTTGCCTTGAACTCCTTGCTGTTCATAAGCCAGTAGAACTTTGCGAGCGCACCGCGCTTGTCTATCCAGACTTTGGCTTCGTTGAAGTCGTGGTCGATCTCTCGCCCGCCGGCGGTCCCCTGGCCTAGCGAGTTGGTTGACTGGCCGAAGATGAACTCGGTTGCCGTGTCTAGGGTGAACTTGAAAAATAGGGGCGCGAGGTCGACTTTTGTTGTCCATCCGGTTGAGGCGTCCACAGATAATTGCCTGAGCATGTTCTCCAGGTGATGTTCCTCGAGGTTAGGGTCACTGATCATCTCCCTCGCGAACTGGGGCCGCAAAAGCGCTCGGCTGTGCTTCCAGATTTCGCCGCGGCTCGTGAAGATGCCCTTGCCGAGCAGCGGCATCCAGCTCAGCTGCCGCGTGTGACTGATGTCGAAGTCGGCGGTGCCAAACAGCACCTTCGCGTTCTCCGGGTCGCGCGTGACGACGAGCTCATAGTCGAGGATAGGCACCTTGAGCGTGTGGCAGTCGCGCGATATGCTGTTCATCGTCTCGACCACGTACTGCGGGCCGCGGTCTTCCTTGGTCGCCCTTATCGACTCCCTCAGGATCGAGTTGCCGATGAAGTTGGTGTTGCGCAGCTCCGGGGGCGGCAGGCACCCCAGGGAAGCGGCCTTTGCATTGTTACGGCGCTTCTTGAGCTTCGACTTGACGACGGTCCATGTCACGAAGACGACGAAGAGCACGATGGCGCTGCTCGCGTACCTATGCATTGCGACTGGAACACACAGCTTCTTGGTCAGGTGATTGTGAGCGTGGAGCACACCAAGCAGTGAGGATAACGACGTCAAGTTGGATCAAGGAGACCTCGAGGATACGGTAACGCCGCTACTACTTGGGGCGTGACTGGGAAATTTTGATAGTGAACTGATGTGTCCGCAGACCTCGAAGCAGGCACATGCGCATACAGACCGAAGGGGTGAGACGTGAGGCCCAGCACTTCCAAAATGGTGTCTCATGCATGATCTACGCCTAGTTTCACCACATACCACCACATATGGCTGCTGCGCTCACGGCGCTTCGAGTCGTCGTCCCTTTTCGGGTATCCCAAGTCCCACATGCCCGGACTGGACGTCATCAACACTCTAGCACATCTTCCGGATCGTCGACTTCCGTGTGATTCTGACGCCGGTGTGGTGATCGGTGTCTAGGCTTCCCACTTCACAGACTATATATGCAGCTAGCCGTTGATCTCGGCGCCATCATCAGGGGCATGGCGCTTCCGCTTTAGGTCCCGATGGCAAGCAAGGAAGCTCCTAGCAATCGAACTCGTCTGTGGCACTAAGACAAGCACGATTAGTATACCAATCTATCGGCTTGCCAACAGGTCTACAGCAAGGCAATGCCTCGCTAGTCTGCTCCTAGAGCCACTGACGCGTAACAGAGAAGATAGGGTCCACAGGAATATAACAGGTAAGCTGATGTTGATCACAGCTGAAGTGCTTCCCCCCGACCCAGTTGTCGAGCTGAACCACCCTTAGCATCATCATCTATCCCCAAAGATCGACACCCGAGAAACCCACCTCTTCCGCGCAGTCGCACCAGGCAAGCCGTCAACATGCGCGCCTCGCACGTCGTCCTCTCATTCGTCGGCCTCGCCCACGGCCTGCCGACCTTCGGCGCAGAGACCCGCGACCTAATCAACCTCAGCCCAACCGTCAGTCCCGCGCTGGGTCTCGACAACAGCAACTCCTGTCTCGGGCTGGGCATCAGCGCCTGCGACCCCATCAACGTGGGCGGGACGCAGAACTCCAACAATGGCAAGGAGACGGAGACTCAGGTCGGTTCCCAGTCCTCAAACAAGGGCAAGGACTCCTGCTCATCAAAGAAGACCAAGTCCGGCTCCGGCAGCACTACCGGCAGCGGTTCCCTGATCAATATCAGCCCCGACGTTTCTCCCGACGTTGACATCAACAATGAGAACAGCTGCACTGGCATCGGCATCAGCGTCTGTGACCCCATCAACGTGGATGGGACACAAGGATCGAACAATAGCTGAAGCTAATGGGGGGGGATGATGCGGGTTGTGGTGGCAGACTTGTTGGGTTTGAATGTGTGCTGTGTACTACCTTCATGTTAAATAGAATATAATGATGAAGAATAGTTCCATGTCAAAACAAGCGTACGATACGTGGACAACACGATCTATATAATATATCTTATTAGTGGTTCTATGTAACTAAATGTCAACCCGTTTTCCAAGCCATGCTATAAACTCCAAACTTCATGCTATAATCATTCAGACACCCGTGTAATGCCCTGCCATGCTATTTATGCCTTCTCAGCACCCTCCGACGGTTTCGGCGGCGGCTTTACAGACCTCCACTCCAGAAAACAGCACGAAAGAAACGCCAGCCCACCCAGCGGAATCGCCACATAAAACACGCTGTGCAGCGCCTTGTCGTACAGATCCAGAACGAGGGGCAGCTGCTCGGGCGTGACCACTTTCCGGAACGCAGTAGCGCCAGCCTCGACGACGGCGCGGACGTCAAGCCCGGGCATATCGGCGCCCGCGGCGAGGGCCTGCAGGCGGTTCTGGAACACGCTGTTGCCGACCGAGATGAACATGGCGCCGCCTAAGGACTGGGACGCGACGACGGCGGCGGTGCCGACTGCGAGGTCGTCCTTTTGTAGCACGGTTTGGACGGCGGTGAAGCCCTGCTGGACGCTCATGCCGAAGCCGGCCGAGGCGAGGATCTCGATGCCGATCCACATGCCGGTGGCCATGCCCGGGTGGAACAGCGTGATGGCGCCGCAGCCGACAGTGCCGATGGCGCTGCCGAGGATGGCGGGCGGCGCGAAGTAGCCGACGACCGAGACGAAGACGCCCGAGAAGAGCGAGAACAGCGCGTTGGCCACGAAGTACGGTATCATGGCCACCCCGGACTGGATCGCACTGTATCCGAGTATGGCCTGGAACCAGATGGGTAGGAAGTAGGTCTGTATCAGCAGAGCGCCGTACGTGAAGAAAGCCATGAGGCAAGACGCAGCCACAGTGCGCTGCCGCACGATAGCCGGCGGCAGCAGCGCGGCGTCCTGTTTCCACCATAGCCACGTAACAAAAACGACGGCCGTGACCACGGCGGCGCAGAGGAGGCCGATCACCTTGGCGCTGCCCCAGGACGCGCCCGTGAGGGTGTACTCGAGGGCTAGGAAAAGCATCACAGAGGACACCAGCAGGATGAGATTGCCAATGAGGTCTAGGTCAACTAGGCGGTCTATCACGGTGCGTTTCGGCCCTGTGCGCGGACGCGGGTGGAACACCACGAACATGACAATAATGGTGACGGCACCGACTGGGAGGTTGATCCAGAAGCACCAGCGCCACGTCTGACGAAATCATGTTAGTCACTCATCTCAAAGGGGGGAAAAGGGGTCATCACATACAAGTAAGTCTGTGAATACTCCACCAATTAAAGGACCAATCGTCGCACCGACTCCAAACCTACGACAGTCAGTCAGTAATGATCCGCCAAGTATCAATTATATATAACTCACATCAATCCCACCACAGCTGTGTATATCGGCCGCACCTTCAGGGGCACAGCCGTAGCCACGATGACGAAGCTGCCAGTCAAGATGCCCGCGCTGCCGAAGCCGGCAATGGCACGGCCGATGATCAGGACGGCAGACGTGGGCGCCCAGCCACTGATGATGGAGCCCAGCTCGAAGACGAACATGGACAGCAGGTAGGACCACTTGACGTTGAAGAGCGTGAAGACGCGACCGAAGACGGGCTGGAACGCGCACGCCGTCAGCAGGTACGAGGACCCGTACCAGCCGATGTCCGAGGTCGATTTGAACTCGCCTGTGATGTAGGGGATGGCCTGGTCGGATGTCAGCCTTGACATCTGCTCTCGATTAAGGGGTCGAACCGAAATTGATTATCACTTACTGTGGTGATGATGGTACGATCGATAGAGATCAAGAACACGACCATCGAAAGCCCAATGACGAGAAGAATCAGCGCCAGGCCTTGCAGGTGCCCATCGTCGCCGCCACCCGCCGCGCCCTCCTCCGTCGTCTCCGTCGCCTCTCCCGGACGGTCCTGCCCCCAGTCCCCGCCATCCTCCTCCTCGGGGATATTGGGCTCGTAGGGCCGCTGGAGCCGTGCCAGCCGCACCCCAGGCTTCCCCGGGTGCCGCTGCTCAGAGGCGGGCGTGACAAGCTGGGTGCGCGAGGCCGAGGTCTCGGCCGAGGGCCGCGAGGGAAATGAGGCTATGTGTCGCAAGCGCGGCGCCGACGCGATCAGCAGGTCCGCCAGGATGGTCGAGCGGTCAAAGTCGGATGTGTTGGAGCGTCGCGGGTCGGACGTGTTGGAGCGCCGCGGTGCCGCGTCGACCTCCTTTGGCGTGGCGGCCCCGCCGTCGTATTCTTTGTAGTTGTTGGTGTTGAAGTTGTTGGTGAGCGTCTGCGTCGAGGCCGTCGAGTGCTCCCTCTGGTGCAGCTTGGCCTTTGCTTCGTGCGCGCCTTCAATGAGCTCGTGCGCAATGGAGAAGGGCAGCGCGGACGGTGGCATGGAGAAGGCGTTGCTCTCCGTGTCGGCCTCCCAGTCCACGGACACGGGGCTGGCCCGGCCATCTTCGTCGTTGGTGTCAGATGGGCCCGTCACATCGACGAATGAGGCCGACGAGGTGTCGTCGTCCTCATCGAGGGAGGCGTGGTAGCCTTCGTCGTCCGTCTCCAGACGACCTCCTCTGGTGTTGCCGTGCTCATTTGCAGATGGATATCCCATGGCGGCTGTAGTACAGGGGATAGCGAGCTTGCGGTTGGTTCGTAGACGGCCAACGTTGATAGGTAACTAAACCACCAACTGCAAGTCACAGCGGCTGTATGGGCACAACACAATGTAGCAAGGTGAAAATGCCCGTCCGTTCCTCCTGGTCACACCCACGTCACCGGTCAACAAACCAGTGGTCTTGCTTGCGTGTCCAAGATGCAATAACTAGCGCTCTTGTTGCTTGCGCGTCCAAGATGCAATGGAGGAGCAACAGTACGGTACTCACAGCTCCCGGACAGACGGCGTCAAAAACCCTCCGCGGCTATCCCTACACCACCACAACACCAGTGTTAACTGCGGTAACAGGCAAAAGGAATACCCATGTCCAGATACCGACCAGCGCCTCCCGGCCGCCTCCATACTAATTCAGGTGCCACCGGAGCCCGGCGGCGGATCTTCGTAACCCATGGTGGACTATAGCTAGTCACTCCACTCGTTTGCAGATCAGATCAGATCTCGATCGAAACCGGGATTCAACCTAGAGAGAAAGCAGAAAGAAAAACAGGGCCCCGACAGATTGGGTCTTTTCAATTTTGCGGTGCAACGACAAGGGGGGCTGGTCGAGAAGATCCATAAGGTTATTTGTTAATGCCGATATGTTATGGACCGGGGAGAGACTATTACCTGGTTTTCGCGGAAGGTAATTAATACTGATTTGATCGGATCTGTCTCCTACCCCCTGCACAGGTCGGCGACCACTGAGACAGGCATAGGTCGAATACAAGCCTCCATCAGCCCCATTCAAAGCCGCGCGGAAAGAGAGCTGAACTACCCCATCGAAGCGCCTACCGTCATAACCCAAAAGCGTGCAGCGCTGGCGCCGCCCAGCGGCTATGAAGGTAGACAAATACAAGCGGTCAAGGCTCCGGTCCGAACCGGTCAATCTCTTAGGGCCGCCCGAACCACATTGGGGAGACTGGGGCCGTAGAGGCCCCCGAGAAGGGAAAGGGGCAGTCTCAAGTCGCTAGCCCACCGTCAAGCCGGAACTCTGCCGAGCCGGTGACAGCTCGACCGAAGCCACCAGCCGTCTGGCGCCGCGCTTGCAAAGTGTGCTAATACCTAGCCGCACGGCGCTTGGGCGGAAGTATCGTGTACCTGTCTCGCACGCTGCAGGGATAGGTAGCCCCTATTCACACGGATTGCGTCGGGTCCCGCTAGAGTTCCGGTTCAACTGCGTACCACACTCTAAAGCGCGACGGTGCAATCGAAATTTGGCTCATGCGAGATCCTCTATCGGGATGACGCAAGCCAATATGCGGCTGAAGGTCAGATCGCCCCGTGCAGATTGCGTCGCACAAGGCGGCTGATATTGTGTCGCACAGGGCGTCTGTTAAGAGGTTCCAGTAACTCAATTCTCCGCGTCACTTGTAAATAGTCGGCTAGTCTGTGGGTAAACAAGGCGACGGGTAACGACATGGGATGGGAGGCTTCTACCTTTTGGCGGTTTGAACCTTGAAGTTAAAACGGACGGCTGGTGACGGAAATGTCCAACGGCATACCTTCTAGACTTGGTCTGGGACGAGGCACCAGAGGAATATAGTATCAATTAAGCAGGATTAAAATATAAAAAGTCTCGAGTAATTATGTATTATATGCCACAAATTGCGAGCGAACAATGTGTTGCTCGCCGGCTATACGACTCAGAATAAGAAGAACCAGATCCTTAATCTACAGTTGCTATAGGGTGTACATGAGAAATTCAAGATCGTCGCCCGTGGAAAAGAAGACCACAATAATTACATCCCGCCGTCATATCACCTGCGACTTCTTCAGATGCGCCAGCTGCATGAGCGTATTGACCACGCCGACGATACCCGCGCCGTCGGTGTGCCGGCCCAGGGCCTCCTCGCACTTGTCGCCCGCGAATTCGGCCTCGAGGTTTTGCTGGTGTTGTGCAGCCAGCATCTGCGCCATCTGCAGCCCCTTTTGCCTCTGCGCCTCGATCTCTTCCAGCGTGATTTCGTCTGGCTTTTCTGTCTCAAGCGTGGGGTTTCGGTCGGCGCTGGCGGTGGTGGAGTCTGTTGTTGGCGCTGTGCTGCTGGGCAGCAGGCCCGACATCTCCAGCATGAGCTCCGGCGATACGGTCTTGCGGCCCGACTTGAAGACGCATTTGCTAAGCGCCGTCGCGAATATGTGCCTGTCGGGCTTCTCGTCGTCGATGGGTGATGGTGAGGGCTTGCCGCTGCTGGACCGCTTGATGAACTCGCCGTTGTCCGAGCTGCCGGGAGTGCTGTTGCGCCGGCTTTGGGAAGGAGATTGGGAGGGTGATTGGGAAGGAGTCTGGGCAGGCGATTGCCCCGGGTAGAGCGAATAGCTCTTGGGCTTCGCGGCGTCCTTGCGGACGAAGTGCGTGACGATGTAGACCCATTTCTCGTCCCAGGTTAGGATCTTGGACCACATCTCGTACTCGCTGTAAGGGGCGACCTCGCGCTTGAAGTTGCAAGAGACGGCACCGAGGGCGAGACCGAAATGGGGGTCCTTGGTTCCGGTGTAGGCGGCAGTGCCGCCGCGCATCTTCTCGATGCCCTTGGCGAAGAGCGTGCACACGAGGTGGGTGCGTGCGATGTCGACATCTGAGAAATATGAAGAGTTCGATTTATGCATATTGAAGTCGATCTCCATCAGCTGCGCGGACGATGTCGTGATGATGGGCTGGAAGAGATGTGCGGGAGTGATCGGAACACTCGACCGTTGCGTTCGAAGGATGAAGCGGAAGGCATTTAGGATGCGCATCTACCAAAGGTGTCAGTCTTCTCGGCGATAGGTACAAGGCGTAGAGTTTGGCGACTTACATGCCACATGAACGGCATGTTCTTGATGTTGAGAATACCGAAAATGCAGAGTAAGGAAAACCAAACTGTCGACCATGTCAAGTGAGGATAGAAGGTGTTCGTGATGGTCGGCACCGGGCTGGGTATCCCAATGACATATCCGCTGTTTGCTTCATCATAAGCCGACCCGCGGCTGTTGTTGATAGAGCGCAAGATGTCGGCGGCTGCCATCTTGGAAGAATTCTGGACAAAAGAGAAGGGATGAGATGGTGTGAAGCGGATGAGTGAGCACAAGAAGTTTGCGTAATCCTCAAATGTGTCTCTGAAGGATGTGAGAGTATCGAGATGTACTATGTTAACTGATATGTTTGAGCTGTACATTATGTGGGAACTTGGCAATGACCTATACATATGTGTTTGCTGAACGATACACCTCACGGATAGGAGCAATTGTTTTTCAAGATATGAGATCATTTGGACGATGATGGTTTCCTCGAGTGTCAATATCAGAGCAGACATATGTGCCCTTGCCAGCAGCACCGGAAGGACAAACGCCGCAACGGTATCATCCAGTCTACAGGCCATGACTAAAAGGCCCCTTGGTGTTCCGTAACATTCCTCGAGACCAATGTCCATGCCGCTAGAAACGGGAGAGGGATGTACCGTATTGCGTCCAATTATCATATCGAGTACGATCGGCATGCTGGGTTCCCAAGCTGGTGGTACTTGTGGATTAGTGACTTCGTAGAGTACAGTGGTTTGTGCGCACTACTACTTAGTGTCTCAGATCAGATCCTACTGTGACATCCACTTGGGTGTCTTTCACGGCAATCTCGGTGACACGGATCCCCCACGGCTCATTGACAGTGCTGACCGTTGCTGATCTTTCCGAGTTGGGTAACAAGAGTCTGTCCGGTGGGAAGTGTCTAAGACAGTGACGCCGTGCCGGGTCGATGGAAGAAGCACTCGAGCGATGCAGCTAGAAACCCCGTAGTATTATGTTTGCAATCTAGGAAATTCTACCTTTCCTTTATGGACTACTGTTAATCTATCCGTAGGTGTCAAGGTCAGATACGTTCTATGCAAGATCCTGTAGCTAACCTGCGACCAGGGTCTTCAACCGCCCTTCGCTCTGGGCGTACAGCCCTCAGGGATAAAACATGTCAGCTCAGAACATGCCCCACAGGAGTTCTGATTCTTCGCACCGGTCACATCATCGTCGCTAGAGTTGATAAGGCATCTTCGCTCTAAACACGGAGCGTAAAGCTTCCGGCAGTTAGCGACGGACACCTGCATTAGCAGACAGACTAGTGTAGATGAGCATGTTGGGGCTGTCGATGATGATGAACGTCAACATTGGAATATAGTAAACTGTGGTGGATTGCCCTTTTCAGCACAGACTCGACTATATGTATGTACCTAGGTATATACCCCCTATCGTGCCCCTGCACGAACAGGGCCACTGTGCTACAGGGGACCCCAGCCGCGCATCACTATGTCGGCCCCTGGCCTGTCGTCTGTGCGGCGGGTGCGGCGCTCCAGCCCCAGCTGAATCGTCTTGGTGTCACGTTCCAGGATCAACCTCACGTCAACATGATATGACGATAGCAGCGTTGACATTAATTCATCACTCTCTGTCTAGTCGTCCCGCAAACCACCGGCTGGTATCCACCTCGTATTCCTAAAGTCTTGAAACATACTCTGCAACGACTAGTGAGAGCACGAGAAGACTAAGTAAGCATTGTATATTATTGTATGCAGCCCACGGGCTATCCACCTCATATTCCTCAAGCCCTGAAACATACTACTCTCCAACGACTAGTAGAAGCACCAAAAGTCTAATAAGCATTATATATTATTGAATGTTGCGATGTGCGAAGAAGGAGTAGACCACCCACACGCCCCACACAAACTCCGTGAATATGAAGAACTCTAGTTCCATAGATAGGAAAGCCTTTGAAGGCGTGTGCATGCTAGCAACAGACCAAATGCTGACCGAGCCTCCAGCGGCTACTAATCGCGCTGTGTGGAGCCACCGGCTTAACCCCCCATGCTGTGTAGGTATCCACCTAAATACAGTGGCTAGCAACGTCGTACTCGCGCCATTCGAAACAACGAACATCTACCTATTTGCGGGCGACGAGGTTGCTGTTGCCGTGCTGGACGCCGCTGCAGCCGTCGGCCATCTTGACAGCGCTCTCCTTGATCGACACCACGGCCGGCTTGTCCGCCATCTTCTTGTTGGCGGCGCGGCGCGACGACGCCTTGCGGTACGTGGCAATGTAGAACATGATGAAGAGCACCAGGTACGAGCTCAGGATCACGCAGCCCGCGATGGCCGCGAAGGGCTCGCCGGCGCACTTGCCTACGTGCGGGAGATAGGGCGCGTGCGTGCTGGCGAAGTAGTCCCACGACGCGAAGTAGACGAAGCCTGAATTTAACCTGTTAGTTCATTTGGTGTCTGCCAGGTGAACTGATATTCTCTGGACTTCTCAGGGGGGACTTACCGAGGTCGATGATGAACTGGGCTATTTGCAGACGGGTAATCCACTCCTTCCACCAGACCTTGATGCCGCGCGCGCTCTGGAAGTAGTACCAGTACATGACAACGTGCACGGTCAAGTTCAGCGTGATGGGCACCCAGGATACGGATGTGTGGCCGATGAGCTGGGTGTAGCAGAGCAGAGCCGTCGCCGGGTGGTGGTACGTGTGGAGGAAGGTGAGAGGCTTCTTCTTGACCATCAGGAAGACCGTGTCGATCAGCTCGATGTACTTGGTGATGTAGTTGAGCTGCAAAAGGTCAGTACAATGCTCGAGTAGTTTCTGGATCACGAGAAGCAACTCACGTAATAGAGTGTCACCAACGGCTTGGTCCAGCCATCGCCGCCGCAAATGTTGTTGTACAGCCCGTTCTTCCAGATGGTGGGAGCGAGCTGCTCGATGAAGAGCACCAGCAGACCACCGCTCAGGAGCGTCAGGAGGAGGTTGTGGGCCTTGAAGAGGCCGTTAAGCTTCAGGGGCTCACGGTTGCGCATGAATTCGCGACCGCCAAAGACGACCACCACGTAGAGTGCGATGATAATAACAGTCTCGGTCAGGGTTGACATGGGCGTGACTCCCTCGACGAACTTAAACTCGTCGGCGGGATACCCCTTAACCGCCGTCCAGGCTTTGTTGAAGGCCTGCCATGGGGCGATGGGAATTATGCCCGGCGAGGCCTTGTGGGAGTGAAACGAGTCGAACGACATGGTGAACAAAATAAGAGCTGGCCAGGCGCCGAGTAAGGACGGATTAAGGTGATGATGGGTTGAAAGTGATGCAGGAACAGGATGAGTGGCTATGTGATGAGTGTTGAAAGTTGATGAAGGATGCTGATCTGCACAAGGTCAAGACTCAAAAAAAAGAAGCTGGAGATGTCGGAATTATAAGCGACCGGCGGGCAGATTGGGTTCATTCCGATCGATGTCATGATAAGTGGGCAGCAGCTAACCCGGTAAGTTATAGTCTAGATACTCGACTGCGGAATAGTCAATAGCCGTGAAAGAGTTCAAGGGCTGAAAACGACGGCGACCAAACACCATCGCGGTATCATCACCAACCTGAGGGCAGCCCCGCATACCACTGATTCTCTTGCTCCTGTGAAGAGATCGGCGGCGTTAATTACTGGCAATTGCAGAATGCTCACTTCTCACTTGGGATAGCCCGGGTGTTGGTGGGCACAGATCCGTTCCTGGCGCCCGGTGCGCCTTGGATAGGTAACGATCCATCCCTCGCTAGGTGCACTAACGCCTCCTAGTGGGAGGACGACAGGACTGCGTGGACATGGACTACTGACCATTGCCAAAACGTCAATGGCAGTCATGTCGATCTCCGACTTGTTTACGGTTGTCGAGAGACAACATGCTCGTAGGTAACAATGGCTCTACACACTGACAGGCTGACAGCTCTCCAGCGTAGCTACATACTCAGTATTTCAACTACAGCTTCACCTCGATGCTTCCACCAAGGTACTCCAAGGAAATCAACCTCCATTACAAATATCCCAGCTCAGCTCCGCTTCCGATATCTGCACACACCATCGGAAGACGACAGAGACATAGGTAATATGTTGCAAGCCATCTTACCCAAACGTCGGCCTGACGTCAGGATCACCTTGTCCCGGGACTATTGCGACCCAAGTCGGCGTTCACCCCAGTCACTAGCGGAGGTTCCACAAGCCGCCCCGAGGCGTACGGCTACGGTCGACTAGCCCACGCTGTGCAACGGACAGGGAAGACGTTACGGCCGAGCCGCGAACCGCACTGCCGGCGGCGCCTTATATCATTAGGCCCAAAGCAGAGGCCCCCATCACAGACGCCGGGCTACTAGCTGCCTGATAAGCACCAAGTTGACTGCTCCAACGGCGGCTCTCACTCGCTGTATCGCAGTGATCGACATCCTAGGCCGTTCAGGATGGCAGATTCCCGAGATTAGGAACCCAATCGGTCGTAGTGTGTGCTTGGCCTCCCTACAGTATCAAGGATCCAAACTAGCCCACGGTGTCGAGGACCTCGACATCGAACACTCGGTGGCTCGACTTCCCCCTGGCCGACTCGGAACTCCCACCCAGCGTAAGCTGCGGGAGAGGTAATCTTTCTTGTGCCGTTGGTCTCGGTGCCAAGAGTCGGCAGAGACTTCGCGGAGCTATGTGGGCCACGTCTAACATATAGCTCTTCGTGGAGCTCGTGAAACCGGCACGCCAACAACGACATGTCATCATCGTACCTCTCCATGTTATCCTATTAGTTCAAGCGTATGTAATAGTTCCTTGCCGATCTCCTCGACCTTGTCAGCAGTGACCTGCAGTGTCAGTCATCCATCAGACAAGCCAGGTCTTAGTCAAAGGCCGATCTCAAATACTTACTCTTACCCATTTGTTCAACCATCGAACTTGCCCTCACTGCTCCATACCCTGTCTTGTCCTTTCCGCTCCGTCGCCCTCTATCACCATGTCGAAAGTCAGTGTTATGCCTGTGATGGCGGCCACAGCGGCCGCCTCCTTCCTATGGGCTCGCCAGACTGAACAGCCCATTGCGTCGACCGTCGCACTGTCGTTGGCCGTCGCGTTTCCTTTGTATGTCGTGGTCTGGCTCAGCTGGATCTTTCCCTTCTACGTGTCCGACCTCAGACACGTTCCTACCGTACCAAACTTCCCGCTCTGGGGCCAGTTCCTTGAGATCATCACAACGGAATGTGGTGTGCCGCAAAGAAGATGGCACGAAGAGCACGGTCCCATCATAAGATATTTCTTCCCCTTCGGTGCTGAGCGCCTCTCCATCGCCGACGATGAGGCCCTCAAGCAGATGACCGTCAAGAACCCCTACAACTACCCCAAGCCAGTTCGCGCCAAGTTGTGGATGGTTCGCATTCTGGGCGAAGGTGTTCTTCTCGCCGAGGGCGCGGAACACGTGCACCAGCGCAAGGCACTCGCTCCTGGCTTCTCCATCCAGTCCATCCGCAACCTCACCCCTGTCTTCTGGGAGAAGTCTCTGCTTCTGGCCAGATGCTGGCGCGAGGAGATGACAGCCGAAAAGGCCACCACCAAGTCCTTCGAGGTGCTCGAGTGGCTCAACCGTACCACGCTCGACATCATCGGCAGCGCCGGTTTTGGCTACGACATCAACTCTCTCGAGAACCCCGAGACACCCATCCGCGAGGCGTACCGTCTGGTCTTTGCTTTTGATATCTTCTCGCGCCTGCTTCACGGCATCCAAGCCTTCATCCCCGCCTCCAAGTACATCCCGGCCAAGATGAACCGCGACATGGAGACATCTCGCAACATTATCGTCAACAAGGCCACCGAGATCATCACGGAAAAGCAAGAGCAGGCCGAAAACAACACCGGCGGCAAGGACATCCTCGCTCTGATCGCCAAGGACAACAAGAAGATGAAGGCGCAGGGCGAGGCCGGCCTCTCCTTCGAGACGATGCGCGACCAAGTCATGACCTTCCTGGGCGCCGGCCATGACACCACCGCCACCGGCGTCGCCTGGACTATCCACCTGCTCTCCACCCACCCCGAGATGCAGTCGCGCCTGCGCGAGGAGATCAAAGACTACATGCCGTTCCTCTTCGACCAGGAGACGCGCTTCGACCCGGAGCAGGTGGCGGCGGCCGACTGCGACCAGCTGCCGTACCTCGACAACGTGTGCCGCGAGTCGCTGCGCTACATCCCGCCGATCCCCATGACGGTGCGGCAGTCGCTGGCGGACGACACGCTGGGGCCGTACAAGGTGCCCGGCGGCACGGTCATCTACGTGCTGGCCAACGCCATCAACCGGCTGCCGATGTACTGGGGCCCGACGGCGGACGCGTTCGACCCGGACCGCTGGGACGACCTGCCCAAGACGTTCACGGCCAACGCGTTCATGACGTTCCTGCAGGGCCCGCGCGGCTGCGTCGGCCGCAAGTTCGCCGAGACCGAGATGAAGATCCTGCTGTGCTGCCTCCTCAGCATGTACGAATTCAAGCGCGACACAAGCACGCCCGACCCCGAGGAGTGGAAGATGTGGCGCCTGGTGCTGCGGCCCAAGGAGGGCGTCACCGTCAAGGTCACCGCCATCTAAGGCGCTGTCTGGGTTGATGTAATGGAATTAATACAGTCAGGCATGTATGCCGTATAGAAGTCATTGATGGTGTAATAAGGGGTTGGTTTCATGTATACCAAGAAGTGTGTCTCCCATTGCAGGAATATGCATTCAAGACATAGTTGGGGTGCTGTTGCTCCCACCCTTTGGGCTTTCCTACGACCTTGAGCCTGCCTAGCATGACTCAAGCTTCGCTTGACAGATTCGAGGCTGGGGCTTCACCATGTTATCTGATATTAGTGAACATAGATTTATAACCAAGAATTGAGTATTAATCAGTATTAAATGTCAATCCAAGCGGCAAATGAAGAAAGCAGTTTGTGTCCTTCGGGGTATCATGGGAGAAGGGTAATGGGTTAGCGGTTGGTGACTTCAGCTTGGGCCGAGGTGATGTTAGCGCGACTGCTGCTACCGGGCGATAAGATAAGCGGGCCAACCCCGGCAGTCCGGCTCGATAGGAACCGACAGCGCTGGGGAGGTCCGTGCGCAAGACCCCATCGTCGCGATTGACCCCAGCAACCCGCGAAGCCTTTGGGCAGCTTTTTGCGTCTTGGATGAATGACGCTCGCCCCTTGTCCAACTGAACCCGGTCCGGCGCTCATTCTTCAATATCCATTCTTGCCCTTTGACGGCGGTCGAATTCAGCTCAAGGGCCCCCGTCGCCAATCTCGCATCCATCTAAGCTCGCCGAATTGCCCAAGCGCACTTCGCCATCACGACCTTCGCCAGTCTCTCCCACCCCGCGACTCGCCAACATGATGGACCAACGGGAACTCGAGTCGCATGTCAAGGCCCTCCACAAGGCAGCGCAAGCCAACGAACCTCCGGCCAATTTACTCACCCTACTCGACACTCTGAAGAAGGATGCGCGACCGACGGAGGAGATGCTTCGAGTAGGTCTTTCCCCGGCTGAAATGCCACCTGCCCTGAGACAGTCACAATCACCCGGCATGCCATGTCGCATGAGCACATACCCAACACCAGTGACAGCAAAAATGTCCTGCTTTCACTTGAACATCAACACATCTCACCTCGCCTCCCTTGCTAATCCCATTCGTTTTCGCGATTTACATCACTGACAAGCCCCTCCTCAACAGGTTACTAGAGCGGGGCTCGTCGTCGGAAAACTGCGCAGCAATCAGAGCCGAGACGTTGCCCGTGCCGCTGGGGAGATCGTCGGACTGTGGCGAAAATACGTCGAAGCCGAGAAGAAAGCGAAGGGACTGGGACCGAGCGCCGCAGGCAAGGCCCGTGGTTCTGCATCGCCAGCTGCTACCAAATCTGCTTCTCCGGCTCCCAGCAAGCCTGCTGCCCCCGGCGCGAAGAAAATGTACGACGGCGACACCGAGAAGCGGAATCTCAAGGCAGACAAAGTGGACATCGAGCGTACTGGTTCAAAAATAAGGAACAATTGCATCGGCCTCATATACAACGGTCTGGCTTACCGATCGCAAGAGTCGATTGAGACTGTGCTCCAGCGGGCACAGGAGGTTGAGGCTGCTGGCTACAAGGCGTACAAGGGCGAGACCAAGGAGTACACGACCAAGATAAGATCTCTGTTTCAGAACCTCAAAGTCCCTACCAACGCCGAGCTAGGACGCAACGTCATGTCTGGAGCCATCTCTGCCGACCGCTTCGTCGTCATGAGCTCAAAGGAGCTCCTGTCAGCTGAGCAGCGCAAGACCGATGCCGAACTCGAGCAGGAGAACATGAAGAAGGCCCAGGTCCCCATGGTGGAGAAGTCCATCTCCGATACGCTCGAGTGCAGCAGCTGCCACAAGAAGATGGTCAGCTACACCCAGGCGCAGACCCGGAGTGCTGATGAGCCGATGACCACCTTCTGCGAGTGCATGAACTGCGGCAAGCGTTGGAAGGTAAGACTCATTTGTCATGTCGTGTATCTCTTTATTATGCTAAACCTATGTACAGTTTTCGTGATCGCCTCTCGGCATCAGCTTCGCCTTGGCTCCATTGCTGCATTTTTATTTTGCTACGAATCATGAGGTTTCTTTGCGTTCGGCCGACGCCAGGATAGATTTAATGGGCGTCTCGTGCTTGGTGGTTGACACACGGCCATGGTCATCCCTGCAAAAGGATGCGCGGAGTTAGAGGATTATTCTGGAGGTGAAGCACATCAAGATCTTTCGTCTTTTCCGCGGGGGCGGGCCAGCGTTTGTCCACCCGTCGTGGATCTTGGCATGCTTGAGAGCATTGTACTATAGATGAGCTCTCAATGATTTAGGAGCTATATGATTCCCCCCAAAAAGTGCAGTTAGCACAGTTCACAACATGACCATGATGCCTGTGACTGCAAGTCGAGGTCCCTCGTAAAACCATCAAGCAACTGACTGGCTACCTCGGCTTCTCGATGGCCAAGAGGACCAATAGGTCGTCCGGCGTCGGTTCGTCCTCCAGGCCCATCTCGGCGACCTTCTTCCAGAACTTGCTCAGGTGCCGCGTGCCCGAGTCGCACAGGATGGTGACGACCGTGCTGCCCTCGGGCAGGGCGAGAGCGGTCACGACGGCGGCGACGCAGTTGACGGCGCTGCTGCTGCCGGCGAAGATGCCGTCGTGCTCGACGAGCCAGCGCGCCATGCTGCAGGCCTGCACGTCGGTGACGCGGACGGCGTCGTCGATCAGGTCGCGCCCCGCCTCGAAGTTGTCGGTCACGCGGTTGATGCCCACACCCTCGACGATGGAGTCGACCTGCTGCCGGCGCCGCGTGCCCTCGCGTTCTGTTGGCGCGTACATTACTCCGTGGCGCACCTTGTTGTACAGACCGCTGCCCTGCGGGTCGGCCAGCACGATCCGGAGGTTGGCGTCGGCGTTCTTGTTAGAGAGTTTGAGTTTTGTGTTGGGGTCCTTGAGGTACCGCGCCACGCCCGCGATTGTGCCGCCCGTGCCGGCGCCCGCGACGAAGGCGTCGATCCTACCCCCAGTCTGGCGGTGGATCTCGGGCCCCGTCGTGCGCTCGTGCGCCTGGTGGTTGGCGGCGCTCTCGAACTGGTCGGCGAAGAAGCCGCGGCTGGCGTTTTCGTCGGCGGCCGACTGCGTGTGCTCGGCGGCGCGGCGGCGCGCGAGGTTGACAAAGTGCGCGGGCGACGTGATGGGCGCGACGGGCACGCGCTCGACCGTCGCGCCCAGGTGGTGCAGCAGGTCCGACTTCTCGAGGCTCTGGTCGTCGGGCATGCAGATGTGCGCGCGGTACCCCCTCGCGCGCGCCAGCGCCGCCAGCGAGATACCCGTGCTGCCCACCGTGCCCTCGTAGATGGTGTCGCCGCGGTTCGGTACTAAAAGGCCCGCCTCCTCGGCCGCCTGGATCATGCTTAGCGCCACGCGGTCCTTGGGGCTGTTGCCGGCCCCGTTGAGGAACTCGGCCTTGGCTAGGATTGTACGCCCCGTCGCCAAAGACAGGCTGTGGATTTTGATTAGTGGCGTGTGCCCGATGCAGCCCTCGATGCCGTCGACGATGCCGGCTGTGGGCGGCAGGTGCGCCTCGCTGGCCGTCTTCTCGCGGTCTTCGAGCTCGACTGGCCCGCTGCCCCAGAACATCATGCTGGAGCGCCGGGGCGCAACTCCTCCTCCTGCTGGGGTTGGACCACCCTGAGCGCGCCGCTGATACCGCTTGTGTTGCTGGTACCGTCTTTCCAGGTCCGGGTAGAGGTCTTTGAAACCGAGAGTCACGAGCACGCCGGCGACAAAGGCGACGGCTACGGCGGCGGTGCCGTAGGCTCGGGGGTGGTCGCTCAATGACATTTTGCGGCTTTGTCGTCGTTTGGATGATGCACGCTCATAGCTCCCCCATCCCTCCGCAGTTTACTTCACGAGTCGCTCAATTCGCAAAAGAACCAAATTCCGTGAAATGTTCTGCTTCCGTGTTGAGTGATCACCTTGTTTTCGAGCTGAAGCAGCATTGAAGCTCTCGAATCTTTAAACAGGGGAAGGAGCTTGGACCACCCATATCAGAGCACCGAGCAACCCCCGGCCAGAAAACCCGACCGACCGATCGACTTCGAAAGCTTCAAGCTGAGCTTGCCAACACGAGATCGAGGTTCTGGCGCAAAGCTCTTTACGTCTAATGTCCAAGCCATGGACTCCCCAATCGTGGCCCAACTATTCCGTCAGCTATTCCGACACCCGGCCTGCCAATCTAGGAGGAATCTAGCCACGTTGACGAGCTGTCTACAGCATGGGCGACGGACACAACAGCAGCATGGACAGCAGCAGAGAAGGAATATGGCCAGTCGGCCGACAATCCGCGGTGCAAGGGCCGCGCCAGCCAAGAACGAGAGCAACTGGCAGCAGCGGACAGAGCTGTTCTCGCTCGATCTGTCGGATGAGTACAAGACGTACCCAATGGTCACGGCAAACGATCTGCGTGGACGGAGGGAACGGCCCCGGAAGGTTAAGATGCTGATGCGCGACTTCATCGAAGGTTGGTGTGCCCCCTTGCCCCTATATCGCCTCATTACCTTCCTTCTTGGAGGGAAGAGGCTCACGGGAGGTCAATTGGCTAACACGTCTGCTTCCAGACAGTTTATACAACCCACACTACGGGTACTTCTCGAAGCAAGTGGTCATCTTCAGCCCCGGGGAACCCTTCAACTTCAACACGCTACCGGACGAGCCGACCTTCCACGCGCAGATGGGGCAGCGGTACACCGAGTTCGAGGACGCGCTGGACGCCAAGAAGCACGACGACACGCGGCAGCTGTGGCACACGCCGACGGAGCTGTTCCGGCCCTACTACGGCGAGGCCATCGCGCGGTACCTGATGTCCAACTACATCATGTCGCTGTACCCGCGGCACGACCTGATCATCTACGAGATGGGCGCCGGCCGCGGCACGCTGATGCTCAATATCCTCGACTACATCCGCGACGTCGAGCCGTGGGTCTACGAGCGCACCAAGTACAAGATCATCGAGATCTCGCCGGCGCTGGCCGAGATGCAGAGCGCCCAGCTGCTGTCGACCGCCGCGAGCCGCGGCCACGCCGACAAGGTCGAGATCATCAACAAGTCCATCTTCGACTGGGACCAGCGCGTGCCGTCGCCGTGCTTCTTTTTGGCCATGGAGGTCTTTGACAACTTCGCCCACGACGTTGTGCGCTACGACCTAAAGACCGAGGAGCCGCTGCAGGGCGTCGTTCTCATCGATGAGCAGGGCGACTTCTACGAGTTCTACGAGCCGACGCTCGACCCCGTGGCGGCGCGGTACGTGCGCGTGCGGCACGCGGCCACGCAGGGCCGGTATCCGGCGCCGTACAGCTCGAGCCGCACTATGCGGTGGCTCAAGGGGGCCATGCCGTTTGCGCCCAATCTAAGCGAGCCGGAGTACCTACCCACGCGGCTGATGCAGTTCTTCGATATCCTCGAGAAGTACTTCCCGGCGCACCGGTTACTGACGAGCGATTTTCATACCCTGCCCGATGCGATAAAGGGGCTGAACAGTCCCGTGGTGCAGACGAGGTTTGAGAGGCGGATGGTGCCCGTCACTACTCCTCTGGTACGTTGGACCCCTTTTAACTCATCTCCATCAACTGTCTCTGGGCCGTCCCTCCCCATCGGAAGAATGGAGAGGAAAGACGTTGACGTGATGAGCAACCACTAACAATTTTCGTGTACAGGTTCACCAGGGCTACTTTGACATCCTGTTCCCGACCGACTTCCGCATCATGGAGGCCGTGTACGGGGCCATCACGGGCAAGCTGACGCGCACCATGTCGCACGAACACTTCATGAAGTCGTGGGCCTACGTCGAGGACACCGAGACCCGCAGCGGTGAGAACCCGCTGTTGAGCTGGTACAAGAATGCCAGCGTCATGGTCACCGTGTAAGCTAAGCGTACGACGAGGTAACTTCATTATCTAAGAACCGTTTTGGCTCTGATAGATAGATGAGAGCATGCAATGCATGGGCTTTGTGTGCTCTTTATCGGGTCTGTATGATTTAGCATGTTGGTAGATACAGAGATGAGATGAGGTGATATAAAATGGCATTACGACTCCAGAGGTGTCTCTGCCAGTGATATTCAACTAGGCCCTCGGCGTTGGACGCTGTGTGGCTCCTCAACCCATTTTCCAGCCACAATGACGGATGGGTCACGGACCAGGATACAAGGTACCGTGGAGCCCAACGGGTACCCGTTTGTACCTGTTTTGTACCCAACTGGGATGATAGCTACTTCTGGGATGGGGACACCACCCATCCCTTCTTTCAATCAAGCAACTTCCAGAATACAGACCAATAGCCACCTATCGTGACCTTGGTCCTTATTCTGGATACCGCTACCACAAGGCACAGCTGCACCTACTATATGTCTTTACCCGCTCATATCAGAGCTGGATTATTCACGTAGGTACCTGGTTATCACAACAAAGAGATCACCTGCAGTCCATCTGCATTCATCGTTCACCGATCATCTCAATGGATCTCTTGGTGGCCCTTGGCGCACGTCACACGTCACACCACGCTCCCCCGGCCACCCCGCCAAACATCCAGCCCGCCCTTTCCTGGCAACCGCCACATCCATCATCGCGGGGCACAACAAGTGCCAGAGCGCTTGCAGCCCAGCCATTCCTTGATTTGAACAAGGCAGGACAAAGCTCGAGGCTCGAGCTAAGCTCCTGCTGCGTGTAACCTACCTATGTATATAAGTATCCTTTTTCCCTGAAGAGGTAGGTAGTAGTTCTCTTCTCCTACACACAACCTACAACCCCGAACACTCAGACGTACACCTACACCCACACCAACACCAATCAATCACCTACTACCGCAATCATGAACCCAGCCGGAAACCCAGCTCAGGCTCAGCCAAAGGAGGACTACGGTGACAAGGGTACGTACGCTCTCTCCATATCCCACCTCCCAGCTTCTTGTCTTTGTAATGGAGTTATGGTCCGCCACTAACAATCAACACAGGTCTCGACTTCCTCGAGAAGAAGGGCGGCCAGGACCCAAACAAGTTGCGCTCTGTCAACGAGAAAGTCGTGCGTACCCACCACACCAACACCGCCTTTGCACCGACCACTCTATACCACTCTCTACCGTCTCAAGACACGATATTAACGCAACATAGACCGACACGGCCCGCGGCATGTTCGAGAAGGCCACTGGCAAGAAGGTCCCCGACAAGGTCTCCAACTAGAGAGTTGTTTCATGGCATTGATTGATGGTTGTTGATCAATGAAAGGAAGATACCTACCTACGAGATGGTATGGTGGGATAACAACAATTGATACCCTATTATTCTCCGAATGAATAAACGTCTTTGACATACCTACCTACCTACCTTGTTCTGTTTGTGCTTTGACTCGTGGTCGTCATCATCACGGACTCTTATGACCAACCATCATATGTTGCTCGTACGAATCAAGGCTATCGCTACCGACCCTGATAGTAGAGACTCACTCTGATAGAAGCGGCACACATCCAATGTCTTCGGCAAAGGACACAGGTCACTGCTACAAGACGCAGTGAGCTGAGAGAAACGAAATGGTATCATAGCTCGTGCTATGCTATACGAAAAGGCATAGTCCCGTCCGCAGCCACCGCCTCGTGGTGCACCACTGTCATCACCTCTTAAAAATGGCAATTGCATATATATATGATTACCTCTGGCACTGAGTTGGCCCACCTTGTTGCAAGCAATGACGGTACCTACGTGTGTCCAGTGTATCGCCACTGTCGACTAGGTATTTCCTAAGTATCCTTTGTGGTGACACACATTCATTCTCAGCGAATGCTGGGCCGGCCTAGTGTTACTGGACCCCCCTCGTGGACATTTGTCTCCGTCAGCTACCTAGTCCCCAATGGATTCTGGTCGTCTGACTATATCGTCGGGTACGTACCACTCGCCCCCTTAGTCCGCGCTTGAGTAGGACCCAAGCTCGAAGCATGAAGAACAAACTCCCTGTGTTTATATCTCTCTGGAAACTAGTATCAATAAGTACTAAAAGGGGAAAATGAACACAACCTGTATGACCTGGGCGGTGTCAGATCCACGGTGGAAGATCCGGTGCAGAGCCATTTAGCTATGGGCCAAAGTGACCAAATTAAGCACCGGAGGAAAGGCATCCAAAGCCAAAGGTCGCTCAATGAAACCAAGACTGCTCAGTCCAAGGGGGCTTATTATAGTGATGTGAAAACTGAACTATTTCCGAATTTATCGACACATGTACATGTATGCGGATGGAGATGCACGAGAGGTGACTGTACCAAAATTTGATCACGGGGAAAGTGTTGAATGGGAGCCGGAGATAGACACCGGAAGATCTCCAGTGGGGCAGAGACGCACAGGGCATCTGACCCACCAAGAAGACAGATGATCAATCTCTGCACGCAGAACAAGAACAGAATCAATAGAATCAATCAACATCCGTGTATTCAACAGAAAGACATTAGATGTCATGGTTTAAGAGAGCGAAACCACCATGAGCTAGCAGCTACCTGTGGGCTTAAGGGTATCTACCGCGAGCGCTGTTCACTATGCTGCACAAAGTGGGGGACGAAACCCTAGATCAGGCTAAAACCCTGGATTATAGATTTACTGTCAGATGTTGGATCCCAGATATGGTGCCCTTAGGTGCAGTACCCGCTAGGGGGCTGCCAGAGGACCAGTGGATCCACCCTGGCATGGTGCAGTATGGTATTTAGCTGTAGATTAGCCCTGCCGAGCATACTTGAGAATTACAACAACATTTGCAGCGACCGCTCACACCCACAAGGCTTGTGACCCTTCTAGAATCTCACATTTACATATTAAACTTTTATTTTAATAATAAATAACTTAATAAACATGATTATATAATATAATATTAGAATATTTTAATATTAAAAAAATTCCCTCTCACACACGTCATCTTGGGTGGTAGTTGTGGTGGTGTCACGATTCCGTAAATGTATTACAAGGATATGGGGACCCTTATTAACTATTGACGTATAGTGAACTCTGGTTAAAAGAAAAGAAAGATCTGGAGATGCATTTAAATTGGTGGGCAGCAAGATGTGGGCAGTCGTCCCCCACCAGACCCACCAGGGCATGGATCAACCTATCGTTCGATCAGTCACGTGCTAAGTCACGTGGCCCGGGGACCATGAGGACCATCGCTAGACTTGAAGGATGGTGGAACCATCAAAGGTGGATAGAAGACCCACTGTAAACCAGCTATATAGATAGATAAGGGCTGCCTGATTATATAAGGGCTGCACTTCCACCATAAGTATGTGCAGCTCCAGCCCATCTAGCTTGGTGTGACGGCCTGCACAGACCTTCCCACATGACAAGTGGATACTTCCTAATAGGGGAAGGATCTGACCAGAGGATCCCCTTAAAGGGGCAACCTCCCACTGTACCTATCTCTCTCTCTCTTCCTTTTCTCTCTAGTCTTGATATTCTCGTCAATAGAGTAATAGCTGCTTGCTGCCGGCCATGTCCCAGCTCTTTAGTACGCTCGCCGTGACACTTGGGCTCTTTAGCCCTCACCCACACCCCAATATACACCTATACGTATACGCTTCACTTTTGTAATTCTAAGATTTTCTTTATAATTATTTAATTTTTATTACATTATTAATAGTTATTTTGTTCCTATTTATAAAACTTTTAACTTAAAAATAATAATGATTTCTTTAAATTACGAAAAAAATCTTAAAACTATTAAAAACTACTAATAAAATTATAACGTTTTATATTATTTCTTACTTTTTTATTAACACAGTCACTTCATATCGAAAATAAACGTTATATATAAATCTTTTCTTTAGGGTTTTATCCTGATTTAAGAGTTCGTCCCTTGCTTTGCGCAGCAAAGTAAAACCGGCTCGCGGTGGGTCTCCTCCTTTGAGCCTATAGGTACCCATGCCATGACTCAATGCAACGCGTTCTTGGCCCATACCCCATCTAACCTCACTGCCAAGCCGCATGAGCATAACGATGCTAACCCCTTAAATACAACAACAGCGTTCAGTACAAGGACCGAATAAGGTCTCCAGCTACAAACTACACGCTGGTCGTTCCAGGGCTTGAGTTCAGACACATCACAGGTGCCACTCATAGACGCATTGCAGTTGTATTAGCTCTCATAAAGTAAGTAGCTGGCGAAGGTTTTAAAGTACATTGATGTCCTATGCGACGATTTGCCACTTCTTCCATATAGACTATCCCATTGTCCATTTCTTCTAAACTACCTTGGCAGGCCTGATGAGCACCGGGATTGCATGCTGCTCAGACAATGTTCATTCCGAGATCTTCAACTTCTCAGCCAACCACTTCCCCGCAATATCAACAGCCTCATCGATCTTCTCGGCGTTGGTGCCCTGGCCCTGCCGAGTAGGCTCCTTACCGCCAGACTTGCCTCCCACGACCTCGCTGACCGCGGCAGCCCACTTCTCGGCAGTCACGCCTTGCGAAGCGAGACCCGTGCCAACGTAGACACCGTGGACGACGGCACCCTCGTCCTTGCTGCCACCAAAGAGGTACACGGACCTCTCCTTGTCCTTGCTCTTGAAGTGGTTCATGACGTCCGCGACCGCCTTCGTGTTGGCAGAGATGGGCAAGTGTCCAATAAAGTACTTGGCCTCCTTGTTCTCGTCCTTTGCGAAGTGCCCCGTGACGGCATCCAGGGCGGTCTTGCTCTCAGCCTTCTGACGTTTCTTCTGTTCGTCCAGGACGGACTTGGTGACCTTCGCGAAACGTGTCTTGAGCTCCTCCTTCGTGAGAGTCGAGACGACCAGGTTGTTGAGATCTACCGTGCACTGCTTGACTTCCGATTCCTTCTCCGGACCGAATGGCAGTGCCTCAATGACGGAGATACGCTTCGAAAACTCGTCTGCATCGCGCTGGACACGGTGGGCGGCTTCTCCGGTGTAAGCAACGATACGTCGTATACCTTTGGCAATACCACTTTCCTCCACAATGACCATATCCTTTATGATACCCGTCTGATCCACGTGAGTGCCACCGCAGAATTCCACGCTGACTTTCCGCCATTCGGGATTCTCGGGTGTCTCTAGTAGCATGTCGACATCGATGCCGACTGAGACAACCCGCACCGGGTTCGGGTACGTCTCGCCAAAGACGGCACGAACACCGTTGATCTTCTTGGCCAAATCAAGTTCGACGTCTTTTGAGTAAATCTTGCAGTTTTGCCGGATGTACTCGTTCGACATGTGTTCGATCTTCTTCAGCTCGGGGATGGTGACGCCAGCTTTATGTGAGAAGTCGAACCGTAGCTTATCTTGATCCACCAGAGAGCCCTTCTGGTTGATATCATCGCCCAGAACTTCCCGTAATGAGTGATTGAGGATGTGTGTTCCAGTGTGGTTGTTGCGAATGGGGTGTCTCCGCAACTCGTCGTACTCGCAGATGACCTCAACGCCAGCTGTGAGCTCACCGTACTTCAGGAATCCGTTGTGGACGATGTAGCCACCGAATTGCTGGACATCACGGACCTCGAACTCGGCAACATCGTCAATGACAATTCTGCCTGTATCTGTCACCTGACCACCCTGCTCGGCGTAGAAGTTGGTCTTGTCAAGTAAAAGTCCAAAGGGGGTATTTGGGGGGAGGTCTTTGCTTGATTTCAAGAACTCAGTCCCAGTGTAGATCAACTGCACCTTGCCAGTCGTATCACCCTTGAAGAACTTAGGCTCGTCGTTAGGAACCGGCACTTGCAGCTTGTCTTTCAGCTCTGCAAGCTGGTGCACATTAAGCTTCGCAAAGGTCTGAACCGATTCCTTGACAGCCTTGCTGGCCTCGCGAGCCTTTTCCCGTGCAACTGCAATCTCACCCTCATCCATCGTGAGCCCTCTTTCCTCGGCCATAAGCTTCGTGAGGTCCTCAGGGAACCCGAAAGTGTCGTATAGGCGCCATACGTCTGCTCCAGAAAGCTTCTTTGATCCGTTGCTCACCGCCTGGGCAGCGTACTTTTCGAATTGCCTCTCTCCTCGGTCTAGAGTTCTCGCGAATGCCTCTTCTTCTTCATCCAGTATTTCCCTGACGTCTTGCTGCTTCTTCACAATCTCGGGAAACTGCTCGCCCATCTGTTCAACGAGCGCGGGTAGGATCTTGGAGAAAAAAGAACCAATCTCCGCGTTGAAGTATTTTCTGGCGTAACGAGAGCCTCTCCGAAGCACACGGCGCACAACATATCCTCTACCCTCATTGTTCGGCACGGCGCCGTCTGAAATAGAGAACGTAAGCAATCGGATGTGGTCGGCGATGACACGGTATGCGGTGTCGATGCCGTCTGTGTCATCCTTTCCGTACTTGTCGGTGTACGGCCGCGCTCCCGTTACCTCCTGGATTTTATCGAAGAGCGGCGTGAAGATGTCGGTGGCATAATTCGAAGACTTATCCTGAAGCGCGGATACAAGTCGCTCGAAACCCATACCCGTATCGATATGCTTGGCAGGTAAAGACTTTAGTGACTTGTCCTTCTGTCGGTCGTATTGCATGAAAACGTTATTCCAGACCTCCACAACTAGGGGGTCGTCCTGGTTGACCAGATGGGCAGCGTTCCGGCCGCCGCCGACCTTGTCGTAGTGGACCTCACTACAAGGACCGCAGGGGCCCTGGTCACCCATCTCCCAGAAGTTGTCCTTCATGTTTCCTGGCAGAATGTGGTCTTCTGGCACGCCGACGGACGCCCATAGCTCTTTCGCCTCCAGGTCGGGTTCGAGGCCCATCTTAGAGTCGCCTTCGAAATATGTGACGTAGAGTCTGCCGGGGTCCAGTCCGTAGACCTTGGTCAGGAGTTCCCATGACCACTCGATGGCCTCCTTCTTGAAGTAGTCGCCGAAGGACCAGTTGCCCAACATTTCAAAGAAAGTCTGCGGGCACAATTAGCCCGGTACCCTTCAACTCGTAAGAGGAGGCGGCGCATACGTGGTGATAGCTGTCTTTTCCAACATCGTCAAGGTCCTACCCGAGTTCAGTAAGTCATGCGCATGTAGCTCGGAGCAAGGCGTCTCGTACGTTGTGCTTCCCGCCGGCACGGATGCACTGTCCAGTGAGTCAGCCACCTAGCTCCCACTATACGTCCAGCGACACCTAGTATACCTTTTGAGTATCGACGGCTCGCTTCAGCTTTGAAATGTCATCCGTACTCGCAATGGTGCCGAGGAATATGGGCTTGAACTGGTTCATGCCCGCATTGGTGAAGAGCAAGGTGGGGTCATTGTGAGGAACGACCGACGATGAGGGCACTGGGCAAGACGGGGGATATTAGCATTTTTAAAAGTCTAGGCGCGAGAGTGAGTCATTGAAGACTGCTTTGAAGCAAGAATTGAAACTGCAAAAGCGTTGCGTGGCGCGTTGTTGGCATACCGATTGTGTGGCCTCGCTGCTCGAAGAACTCGAAGAAGGTCTTGCGGACAGCCACGCCCGTCCACTTGGACTTCTGCTCCATGGTTGCGACGGTGCTTTGCGCCCGCGAAATCGAGTGCGGAAATCGGTAGGCGTTATCGCAGGGACGACGATGTCCCAATCTGGCGGTATGGTGGTAACGAGATATTCGCGGCGGCGTGGGCGAGGTCGCGGTCGAGAGGGAGGGGGAGGGCCGGCGAAGAATGCAAAAAGTGGTGGTGGATGCGGTGCTGGTGGTGGGCGCTCTGTAGAAAGTTCTACAAGAGTGGCTTAAACCACCTATAAACGACGAGCTGCCGCCGCATTGGAATTTCATCCGCGTTACCTTCAGTGACCTCCGACTACTACAACTAATACAACTAACTGCGCGCGCAATCGGACCACAGTCTCAGCTCTGGTTCTGGTATCTATCGCTCGAGTCAATCGCAAAGGGCAGTTTGAGTCACAGTCGCTCCGATAATCGCTGTCAGCCGGTCGCGGTCGAGTGTGCTTGACGAAGGAGATTGTCGAACGAAGTGTCCGAAGGATGGATGTCCAAGTTGGACCAAGCTCCAGCGCCAGCGTCAACCCCATGTTGTCACAGGCCAATCTCCAGCTGGGACATGGAGCTGCAGGTGGTCTGGTCCCTGCGCCTGCACCTGTGCCTCCCACTACCGCTGCCGCCATGGTCCCCGCGGCCGCCAGTGCTGCCCGCTACGACGACATGCTCTCATCGGTGTTGCAATACCACCACCAGCAATACCACCACCAGCACCAGCAGAACCATGCCGTTAACATGCGCAAACGAAAGGCCGAGTCGCAAGACAGCGAGCGCCTCAACAAGAGACTGAGCCTCCTCAATCTCGGTAAGGATCATCCCCTCCATCCCATCCTATCCTCGTCCCAGGGCGCATTCTCGTGCTACCATCACCGCAGCATCAGAGACTAACACACCACCCCAACGACCAGAGCAGAATGGCGCAAAGCTCTACGTCCCCGTCGAGAGCCCGCAACTCCAGCCCGTGGCCGAGAGCTCCTCCTCGCCCTCCAACCCCAGCAGCGTCGTAGGCCCGGTCTCAGCCAGCGCCAGCGACAGCGACAGCATGCAGCTAGACGACACGAAGCACAAGGTGTACATCTACAACCTCGACGACGAGCTCTCGTCCTCCTCCGCCTCCTCCCCCGACAACAGCGAGCCCTCATCGCCCACCTCCACCTCCCCCGAAAAGCCGGGCCGTCTCGTCTTCCTCAACGACATCCAGAAGCACCTGCGACAACAATCACGGATCCCCCCATCCATACTAGCGAACCGCGAGGGCGAGCTGGGCGGCGTGAATATCAACGACATGCAACTCATTCTCTACCGCGAGCCTTCGTCCTTAACAGTGCCGCGCGAGCAGGATTCCGTGCGCCGCGCCGTGGCCGAGGCCCGGGACCGCATGCGCGCGCGGCAGCGGGAGGACCTGGTGTCCGGGTCCGGTGATGGGTTCCCGCCCGCTGCGAACCCGGTGCCGGCGCTGGGGGCTGCTAGTCCTACGTTGCCTGGTGTGGCCATTACGGGTGCCGCGGGCTCTGCGATGGATATGAATATGAATGCGCCCTGGCGAGAGGCTGCCAGTGACGATTACGACCCGGATGCGATGGATACGGATTGAGAGGCCCGGCAATAATTGTTGCTACACGGAGTAATAAGGCTGGTTTCCGTACTGATACCCAATCCAGCAAGCAGAGTGGTCTTATCCCATGACCAAATCATCTGGCTATTCTAGGTTACTCTATTCATCCGGCGGCGGCAGGGCGCAACGGGGAGGAGTCACGCGCAAATGATATTACACATGGTATAGCATAGGTATTTTGATGGACTCTTTTTAGGTTTTTCTTGCTTTGGCGAATGGATTGTCTATTCCTGATAGTACAGTTGTCTTCCGACTTGGGGATATCTCATTACACGGTCCATCCATGTGTCCGTCTAGCCGTGACCGTGACCGTGCCTGTCACCTAGAACTCAGCTCTTCAGATCCGACGGCGTTGTATTGTATTCTCCATTCTCACGAAAATCATGCTTCTTCACCCCATCCCATCCATCCTCAAGCCAAAAGTACGTAAGCTCACACGCAGTTCCATCCCCCATCCCTATCTAAAAGCAGCACTGGGCGGCGGTCCCGGCGGCGCCGAATACTCGGGCGCGTTTCCGTAGGCACCAGGTCCGGCCTGGCTGGGATCGACCTTGGAATGTTGCTGCGGCACGCCGTCGCCCTCGTACATCGGCGGCCGGTGGTTCGGGTCGTAGACGGGCGGCGGCATCGGCTGCATGCCGTAGTAGCCCGGCGCTGGTCCCTGGCCCGCGGGCTGGTACTGGGCCTGCGGCCAGGCGTACTGCGGGTCGACCGTCGCGCGTTCCTGGCGGGAGAGGAGCCACTGTGCCACGGCCATCGACGTTAGCAAACAACAAACAACAACTACCCAGAGATCCATGAAAGTTGACGGCGAGCGAGCACGTAGGTAGGTAGCAAGAGGCGGAGCCCCGAATAGGAGGGGAGGAAAGAAAGATGGTAGGTTAGAAACATACCCCATGATAAGCCATCGGCTTCAAACCCTTCCGCATGCGACGCTTGGCGTGGATGCGCCCGCCGACGATCCAGCCGCCGAACAGCACGATGATGGTGAGGAAGACCACCCATTTGATGATGACGCCCTCCTTGGTGTACCAGAACCAGACAAGCTCGCCGTCGCCGTCGTCGACGTACTGCCGGCGGACCCGCGAGATCATGGCGGCGTTGACGGCACCGGTGCCGGGGCGGGCCTTGCCGAACATGGTTTGTGCGTAGTTGGTAGAGTAGGTTAGGTTGGTATGTGTGTGGTGGCCTCAAGGTGTTTGCCGTCCGGGTGTGTGTGATTGTTGTTTACGTGGTCATGTGTGGTGTAAACACAAAACAGCACAAAGTGGCTGCAGCTCGCGCAAGCCTAGAGGATCGGAATGCAGTACAGTACAATGCTGTACCGTAGATACAGTGCAATCGAGTGAACGAGTGCCGTGAGTGAGGGAGAATGTAGGTCTCTACCGGTAATAGGAGGACCGGTACGTTTAGGTAAGGTGTGAGGTGTGATGTGGTTTGGTGGGAGCGTCGCCCAGACGATTGAAGGGTGAGGGTGGAATGCAGGAACAGAAATGCCAAGCCTTTTCTCCCTTGAACTGCTGACGGGACACGGCGTATTTCAGCACCTCGGTGGAAGGAAGGCAGAGAGTGGTGGCGAACTGAGACAAGTTTGGAAACCGCAAGGCCAGATTCTGCGGCACACGGCGTTACGTACAGCTGGCCAAAAACAGGTCGTGTTTCACTTCGGTTGCTGGCTCGGTGACTGCCCGTGGACTGATTGCCAGTTTTAAGAGGGATTCAGGGGCCAGGGACGATGAGTATCCCTTTAGCCACCGAGTACGTACATTTTAACGCCCCCTACCACCTGTTCTGTCAATACCTCGTCGGTATCTTCTGCTATTACCTTTAAGACTAAACGTAGTGCCTTTTATAAGGAATGGAAGTGTAGGTTGTAAAAATCAGACCTAGACTTTATTAAAATTAACGGAATAAGTTTTGCAAGGTAAAACTTCGGATATTTAATTAGCCGTATTAGCTATGCGACCGTATTATTTACGTTATTGTATCGGTGTATTATATATTTTAAAAGCGTAGCGTTTAAATACGAGTAAAACGCGTCTTTTTTTTTAAATTACGTACGTACTTCAAAGCAAGGGCGTTTAAATTTGAATAAAAGCAACTTTTTAAAAAATAATCATTTATATATTTTAATAATACGGCATTTAAATCTGGGCAAAAGCGATTTTCCATTTTCTTTTTAAAAAATAAAAGAAAAGCGACTATTAAAAAAATTTAAGTTACGTATTTTAAAAGCACGGCGTTCGAATTTAAAAAAAACCGATTTTTCCCCTTTTAAAAAAAATTATTTATATACTTTAAAAGTACGGCGTGTAAATCTAGGTGAAATTGTTTTTTAAATTACTTATAAGATTATTATTTATTAGGGAAAAAATAAAACTACAGATATATTTAATTCTAGGTTGTTTTATCTCTTAACGCTTTTAAACTTACATTAAAAGCTTGATTATATATTTTCTTTAAATAGATTAATGCTTTATCTTTTATAATCATTTAATTACTATTATGGCTTATAATTTTATTTGAAGTTTTTTCAAATCAATAATGTCTTCTTACGGTTTTTTGGTTTATAAAATTTATATTAACTTCAATTTATATTTAAATTTTTTATGAAGTTAACTAATTTCCGATGCTTGAATTCATTAAATTTAAACCATTATATTTTTTAAGTATATAAAGCTTTAATAGGTAAACTGTGTTTATTTTAACGTTATAACAGTTTATATCTTTTTATAACTGTTAGCCGATTAAGCATTTAACCTAGTGCCTTGCAACCGTGGTACTTGCTAACGCATATAACTTATAGCTATTTTAAGGTATTTCTATTTATTCAGTTTATTTAACTTAGTTATTTAATTAAATAGGTTGTCAATAGCTAGTTAAACAGCGAGTTAGCGATAGACTGATTAAATAAAAATATATTGAAATAGCTGATGTTAAGTGCGTTAAAACGGTACTAGCAGGGAGTACGGCCGTAAAGAAATAAAAGTTAAGTGTTTAATTAAGAAAGGTTAAGTTTTCAAGAAAATAAATTAAATGTTTAATCAAAAGTTATGCTTTTAATCGAAAGGTTAAATTGCTTAATTATTATAAGGTTAACGCGATGAATATACTTGTAATTAAACTTAATACGTACTTATATTAAGGTATTTTCATTTGTTTAATTTAACAGCGATTAATTCAACGACGTGGTTATCGGTGCATCGCTAGATAGACGGATATACCTGTAAATAAGTTTGAATTAAAGATAGTTACAAGTAGTACGGTCGAAATGATTATGTGCTTAATTAGCTAGCAGGCTAATAAACACCTGGTGAAAAGGATATAAGAACGTTTAACATAGTTTACCTAGTAGAGCTTAATATATAAACGCGTAAAATATTTTTGGTAAGTTATTTATTTACTTTATACATTAAAACCTTTTTAAATGATTTATATTATAAGCACAGTATTTTTTAGTTTCATTAATTATAAATCAAATAAGGAATTCTTATTGATTTAATTAATTAGTTTTAAAAATTATTATCCATAACAGGTGTTTTTTAAAAAGCGGCTTAAAAATCTTAAGATTATATCGTGTTGATAGTTCTTTAAATTATATACTTCTTACCTTACTTATATTATAAACTTTAAATACTTTGAATATTTTTATTACCGTTAAGACGTAAGTTTATATAAATTTTTTTATATATTTATTTTAGTTTTTAAAATAATGTAAACATTAGTTAATAGTCTAGCAAGAAGTATATATACCTATCGGTCCTAATTATTAAAGTTAAAATCTACTTAATTCTCCTACTTGTATTTATAACTTTTTTTAAATTTTTAATTTACCGGTTTCACGTACTTAACAGAGAATTATTTTTAACACGATTTTTATATCGTTATTATTAGTTAGTGTTTATACGTATATAGCAAGATCAAACAAGGTATTAAAGTTAAAACAAAGTAAATAATATATTTATCATTACGTATATATTCTTATATATTTATAAAAGGAAGAAACGAGGTTTAATTAATTAAAAGACGTAGTAAAAACTTTCCCGCGTATAACTTAGGTTTAACTTTTACGATATCTAGTTAAAAAAGACGTTAATTATATGTTAAAATAGTTATAGTTATCTTAATATTAACAACTTTTCTTTTATACCCGTATTAATAATACCTTATATTAATAATACGTTAGCAAGGTTAACGTACTTAGTTCTCTTTTTTTGTAGTAAAAAAACATTACCGTATAAATATATATCTTTATATTATACCTAGTTATAACAAAAGTTTTTAACTATTCGTTGTTTTTTTGGCTAAAAGGTATAATAATTTATTTATTAAAGTTATAAAGAAACGCTAACGCGCGGCTTAGGAATCGTATAGGGTGAATTTATACTTAACGCGTAAAAATAAAGAAATGATATCTATATAAGTGTTATAAATATAATAAGAAAAAAGTAACGATATATATAGTATATATTTTTATGTTTACTTAAAAGGGGAAAAAACGCGTATAAGTTTTATATATTACGCATATAAACCGAAAATCCACTATATATTTCCATTACTTCGGCATTCCTCTTTTAAATATTATGTCTATTACACTTTATAAGTGGATTATCACCCAATATATTAAATTAAGTTTTTCTTATTAAATCTTCTTCAAACTTTCTATTTATCATAAGGGTTTTAAAAACTTGTATCTTATACTTATGTACTACTTTTAGATAAACGTTTTAAGCTTTGTATAAATAAATCATGGTTAAAAAACACTTTGTTAAAAAGATTTAACCGGTTAATAAGCAACTTGTACAAAAACGCTTAACTTTACTCTTAATATGTATATTTATGTACCTTATATTTCTTATTAGTAACGTTAACCTAAGAGATAAATGACTAAACGCGATTTAATAAAGGAGGCTTTTATAATGTTTAAATAATCTTTAAATATATTAAAAAAACTTATCTATAAAAATCATCCGTTATTAAACCTATTTTACCGCCGTTTTTATTACTTTATATATTATTAGGGTTTATGTGAGATTCTAGAAGGGTCACAAGCGTTGTGGGTGTGAGCGGTCGCTGCAAATGTTGTTGTCATTCTCAAGTATGCTCGTCAGGGCTAATCTACAGCTAAATACCATACTGCACTATGCCGTGGTGGATCCACTGGTCCTCTGGCAGCCCCCTAGCGGGTACTGCACCTAAGGGCACCAAATCTGGGATCCAACATCTGACAGTTTATATATATAAGCTTTACGTTAAACGTAAAGATTTAAAGATTTAAAGTTAGTTTAAATATCATTACGTTATTAAAGATTTTTAAAATAACGCGTACGTTAAGTATATTAAACAAGCTTTTTTATGAATATTCACACGTTCTTATCTTTGTTATAAACTTGCTTTTAATCAACTTTAAATTTATTTTAAGTTCGTTTTAAAGCTTATTTCGAAGTTTAACATTATAATTAAAACTAAAGCCGTTTATAAGAAAAAATACTTAACTTGTATTATCGTCGTTATTTACTATTAAGCTTAAAAATAATAATTTTAAAGAAGCTGGTATTAAATATTAATACGAAAAGTCTAATAACAGTAAAAATAGTTGAGAAAGACGTATTCAAGCTTAGTAAAGGCTTAATATATAAAAATAAATAGTTTCTTAAAAGTTATTATGGAAGTTTTCTAATTAGTTAATAAAACGGAAATTAGAAGTCTTAATTTTAAAAATGCGCAAATATAAATGGTTACTTTATAAATCTTTTTACTTTTATATTATTTTTTATATAATATATCTATTTTTGATCAGTTTTCCTTCTTATAAAAGCTTTTACTTATACCTTAAATTATTCATTTGAAATTAAAGCTTTTATTGTGACGGCCTGTACAGACCTTTTCATATGACAAGCCGATACTTCCCAATAAGGGAAGGATCGGACCAGAGGATTCCCTTAAAAGGGGCAAACTCCCGCTATACCTATCTCTCTCTCTTCCTTTCCTCTCTAGTCTTCATATTCTCGTTAATAGAGTAATAGCTGCTTGCTACAGGCCATGTCCCAGCTCACCAGTATGCTCGCCGTGACATTTATTGTCTTATTAAATGCTTTCTTATAAACAAATCTATTAGGTTAGCTTAACTATCGATTTAACGTACTTTGATTATTTTATGATTTTTATATATTTTTATAACGTTATGATATCGGTTATTAAGCGTTTTTAGCCGTTATTTCAGCTTCATACAACATTTATAAACCGATTTTAAATTAATATAAATAATTACAAAAACGTTAAATAGTTTTAATATTGTAATTATCTATTGGAATATAATATTTAATACGATTGTTGTATTAAACCTTTTAATTATATTAAATAATTCACTTACTACTATACTTTTCGTTACTTATTTATATTTGACTAAGTTTTAATATAAAATATTTGCTTACAAACTAAAAATATTAAAAATATTTTCTTCGTAGATGATATAGTAATATGTGCTAGTTAAAAACTTAACTTTTGATTATTATTAATAAAACCGTTTATAAATGTAAATAACGTAATACGTAACATCTTTAAAAAGACATATATTAACTTGTCTTGTTTGTTTATAACTTGTTACCAAAGCTAATTGTTTCAAGCATTGATATCATCTTTCATCAGTTTAATAATTTACGTTACAAATAATAAATAAAACGCTGCTTTAAGCTAATATAATAATATGACATATGTACTTTTAACCCGTTATAATACGTATTACTAGGCTGTATTTAAGGCTGAAGCGTGTGGCTATAAAGGTGTGTATTGTGTGTGGTGAGAGAGTTGAAGAACCTAAGCTAGAAAGGCGAGAGCAGCACACATTTATAGTACAGCCTTCACTTATCTAATCTATCTGCTAGCGTACAGTGGGTCTCTAATCCGCCACCGCTGGTGACACGTATCAAAGGCATTCAAATTCATTAAATTTAGATGTTTAAAATGTCTTTTTAAATTAACAATTTATTTTCACCCTATTAAATCTTGCTTTTATTAAACTTTATATCGATATTAAAGTTTAGTGTTATTTTTTCGTGCATAATTTAGTTTCGTTTCGCTTCTTTGTTTTTAACTAAGAAAATTTCTTTATAACAAAGCTAAACGTATTATTTAATTATCTATAAAATACTAAAAGCAGATTTTTTAATTCTTAGCTTTAAAAAAAATTCGTACATATATGTCTTTATAGTTAACCGGTAAATGTAGTCATTATAATAATTCTGAAACTAATATACCCTTAACTTTACTAGCTTATATAATGATTCAGTAATATATAAAATTTTATTTAAATAGTATGTAGCGTTTATTTCTTTTATTAATAGGTTATAATGTTACGCGTAAGCCTATTTTTTTCACTATATATACGCTTAAACAATATTACAAAGCTTGCTTTTTATATTAAAGTCTTCTATTAGAATAGGTTCAAATACGGCTATAGTTTACTAACTTAATTACTATATATTTAGTGTTTAATAAATGCGTTTATTTTTATTAGAATTATTATATATTTAGTGTTTTATAAATGCGTTTATTTTTATTAGAATTATTGTGTCTTTAAACCATGTATTTGTATTTTTTCATATGTTAGTTATTATTTTTACATTTTGATTTTAAAACTATATGCGTTGAAAAAATCTGCGCATATTAATAGATATTTAGCTTATATATAATAGTTTTAAACGTTCTTTATATAATTAAACTATTAATTTTTAAATCATTTAATTCTTTGAACGGCTAACGAAAAGCTTTAATTTTCTTTTTATCTTAAAACTTTAAGAAGGTTTCTCGATTAAGTTCCTTCTACGTATTAAAAGAATAAAGCGAGTTTAATATATAATAAAAGTATATACGTCTTTATGCAGTCGTTTTTGTTTTTGTTTTGTGTTTATTTTAACATATTATCTATTTGTTATTTTATTAAAGTAAGTTTCTTGCTGGCTTAATTGTTCATAGTCGTTTTTTGTTAAAAGTCTATGTTTATACCTTTAAAACTATTATACTAAGAGTAACGTTAATATTTTTATTTCTAATACCTATTTTAATTATTAAAATAATTTTGTTTAAATAAAACAGTTTAACTGTTGGATCCATGTGATTCCACAGTCAAACCAACCATACAGAACCCACATGTATGATTAGATAAGAGATTAGATACCGGATTGTGAGGTCACTTTGCCAGACCTACAGGTCCAGCTAGACTTCGCAATCCAACCATCAGCAACATCATGACCTTGACACCATACTCGAGTATTATGATTGATCGTTCAAGCCTGTTCCGACAATTATATTATGTTTTATCAGCTTTTATTTTAATCTTAATATATGTATTAATAAAACTTTTTTTATAAACTAAAATAATCAAATGAAATATTAAGCTTAAGTAATAACTTTTAAATATATCAATATTTATTTTTACCGTTAGTATTAATAAATATGTTATAAACTTTAATAGTAAAAATAATTTCATTATATTAATAATTATTAAAAAATATCAAGTTTTTAATATTTTAAATTCGATTACTATTTGTAAAGTCCTTGTATTATAAAATAACTTTTAAGATAATAACTTTCCAAATAATTCATAAAGCTTTAAAAGTTATTATTTGTTTAATATCAAATAATAACCTTATAATTTATAATATTGTTATAAATAAAAATAAAACATTAAATAAGAAATAAATACATATATCGATAATAATTGATTTTAATTCTTATTATAAATATAAGTATAAGCCGTTAATTATCATAATAATAAAATTATAAATTTCCTTTTAATTAAGTTATTAAAATATAAAATGATAATAATAGTTTAAAATTATAAGATTTTAAATAAATTCAAAAAGATTGAATTTAAATAAAATACTTACAATATACCTACTAAACCCGCCTTTACTTAATGTCGTATTAAATCGTTACAAGTCGCACTTGCAGTATAGGTAGGTAAGTGGGGAGGGGTTAGCTCGTGCATCTCTTCCAGGGGTGATCTTACGTGGGACGCCTGCGCCAAGCAATTGGAACTTGGCTCAACTTGATTGCCTCATTACGGGGGGTATATCTGTCCATGTGCCCTCTTGATGTTTGGAAAAGCAGTGATTCATGGTCTATTCTGCACATATTTTTGCTGGTCTAACTGTGTATGTGGGTATTGAAAACATGTACAGCCGTGATTCATCATCAAGGTGGCTGAGTTCAAATACCGCTCTGGCCGAGACAGGGGTCTGGGACTACTCCTGTCAAAAGACCAACATGTTACATGTCAATCTGCCGTACAACACGAACAAGCACCGGCTGTGCCGAAGTCGCAGAGGTTCGCCTTACTCATTATGTGTTTCAAACTGTCTGACTGTGGCAAGCACGACAAACAATGGAAGGTCCATTCAGATAACCTCATACTGAACACGAAGACGACACACCGCCACCCATGAGCAGCACCAAGAAACAGTCGCAAAGCCGGACGCCTATCATGTCATTCCCGTAATAATCTATGTACACATACTATGCACACCAGCAGTGTCAATGTCCAACACCGCCCGCTAACCACTGCGCAAAATTCGGGTCGTCCGGTTGCGGGAACTGGCCTACCGGAGGTTGCGCTGCCGCCGCTCCGCCTGCGGGTAATCCTCCCTGCAGGGCCGCGTTCTCCTGAGCCCTTCGATGGGCCTCCTGCCTCTGCGCCCGGTAATACATAAGCCATATGATGGCGCCGAGCAACCCGAAGATCACGATGCTCTCTAGCACGCCGTCGAGGTCATCGTCATCCAAGGCCTCGCCCATCGGCTCGCCGTCGCTGCCCGCTATCGTGTCGTCATAATACTCCTCATATGTGTCTTCGTAGTAAACAGTGTCGTCCTGCACGAAATTGGCAATCCACTCGCTGAGCGACCAGTCCTTTTTCGGAGCTGTCTACGTGTTAATAGGCAGTGCTGCGAGGATGGAAGCATGATTTGGACTTACAAGGCTCATCCCGTATGGAGTTGACGCGGCCATGTGTGAACGTATTCCAGGCGCTGCGAAGCCGCAACTTCAAAAGGCTTAGAGTGACCGGTAGATAAGCCTCCTCGTTGGTTTCCAGCGCTTGATCATAGTATCTCTTCGCCAAGTGAAAATCTTGCGTCAATCCTACCCCGTTCTCGTGCATCCATCCGAGGTTGTAGAGAGCCTGGGCGCTTTGGAAGTACTCCGAAGCTCCGGTATAACATTGAGCTGCCTTGTCCAGCGCAGCTTCTGTACCAACGCCATTGAGGTAGTAATCCCCCATCTTGACCAGTGAGTCGATGTTCGACTGTATGGCTGATCTGGTCCAGTAGATGAGCGCCAGGGCAGAGTTATGGAGAAGGGTCGGCCTTGGGGCTTGACGCTTGAGCCAGGAAGGGAGCGCAAAGAGCGAGTGTGTGGGGTCCAGGAGATAGGCGACGTTGTTCTGTGCCTTCTCATAGCCCTGCTCGGCCGCCATGACATAGTCCAGAAAGGCTAGCTCCAGATCGCCGTCCTCGTAGGCTTGGTTCGCCTCCGCCCATGAGGATATCAGAGGCTCCGCTCTCTCGGCCACGTTCTTGTAGTAGGCCATAGCCATACCACAAGTCCTGTCCCGCCCGATGCCGTGATGGATCAATTCGGCGAGGTAGTACTGTGCCTCGATGTTTCCGTACCGAACAGCAGCCTCGAAGTAAGAATTCGCGATCTTCAAGTCTTCAGGCTGGCCCTGATCGAGATGCAGAGCGCCGACTGTCACCTGAGCAAGGCTAAAGTCCTGGTCCGCCGACGCTTTAAGCAGCTCATGAGCCCTGGGAATATTCCTCTTCACGCCGTAGCCGTGGAGATGCATGAGCCCTAGGCCCCATTGAGACTGTGCATCTCCGTGCTTGATACCGCGCTCGAACCATCGCTGGGCGGTCTTGAAGTCCTGGTTGACACCTTCGCCCCGCAACCACATCCGGCCGATATACCCAGCAGATTTGCTTGCGATCTTCTCTAGCTGAGGCTTCGCTTGATCAACAATACGCCCATCCTTAGCGCGCCAGTATTTGGTAGTGACTCCGTGAAAATATCGCCTGGCAAGTTCCACGTTCCTCTCCAGTCCTCGCTGGCCTTCGTAGTACAATCTTCCCAGATTAAAGGAAGCCTTGAAGTCTCCCTTGTTGGCCATCAAGTCGAGGTATTCTATCACATCGTCTATCGAGGCGTAGGCATCGGAGTTGGGACTCGCCTTCAGGGCGTTGATTCCAGAGCTTATCACACTGGCGCCTTCTCCATACACACCGCCGAATTCATCGGAAAGTCGATACGCTTCTGGCGTGAGGGTCATTCCGCCTGGTGGCCCTGATCGGAACCAGACCATCGCCTTGTCAGCAACCCTCTTGTAGTAATTGCAAGCCGTCTCGCAGCTCTTTGGCACTCCAATCCCACTCAGATGACGGGCAGCCACGGTCATCTCCGATCTAGTGTGCCCTTGGTTCGCGGCAAAGGTGTGATATAGGAGAGCTTTCGCCTGGTCCCGCTCCACTGCATCGCCAACTCCCGTCGCATACATCATGCCAACCATGTATTGCGCAGAGCTGTTTCCGTGATGTGCAGCCAGTCTGTAGTAGTGGTCGAATGCTGTCTTGAAGTTTCGTGGGTGCGAGTAGTTCCCAAAGAAGTTGAGCTGCGCCAAGAGGTAGATGGCATCGGTGTTGTTCTGGTCAGCAGATTGCTGGAGTAGCTTGACACCCTCGAGGAGAGGTCCGCTTATGACAGGCGACGCATGCTCCTGGGGAGGCGCGCTGACCCGCAAGCTTGGTAGAGCTTTCATAGCATATTGGAACAATGCGCTGAAGAGGCCATTCTGCTTTTTCGACCGCCGGTGGTGTGACGTCCTGATCTTTCGGAACTCGGCCGTCGCTTCGTTGACAAGCTCCCATCCTGCACAAGGTTAGGTGACCGTCCATAGAGTCCAGCCCAAGAACATGCCAGCCTTACCGCTTTGGTATGGAGTCCACGCATATTGTGCGCCGTAGGCAATGTCGGTTTCCGTCGCCGGTTCGGGTTTCGTGGAATCTTTGTCATGACCATCCGTTCCGGCGGCTTTCTGGTCGGCAGAGTATGCGAGACCAACGGCCTGCAGTAGCACTAAGAGGCATACTTGTCAGCTGCCGCATCCGCCAACAAAAGTAGGACGTATCGATGGATGTAGACATACGGAGGGCTGAGACGAGCCAACGCCTCATACTGGAGATATCTGCTATGAGCAAGATGTACGTAGCTGTAGGGATATCATGGCCTCCTAGGGGAGCTCAAGAGTGGAACGAAAAAAGACGCGGGTGAATGAAGAAGTTGGGTGGTGTGCACCAGGACGGGTGACTTGTCCAGAGCTGCGGCATTTGTCAAGCTGTCCAGATCGACAAACGCGACGTCAACTTGCTGCTTCCATTCGGGATTGCGGGTTGGCCATACAAGGATGTAGCGTTCCGTATTGTACGGTGCTAGCTCAAAGTTGGGAGGGCGCTAACCTTAGGAGAAATAGTTACGTGTGACGGTGTTTATGAAAAGACACGGTGTCAAGATATTAAACAATGCGGCAGGAAAAAATGTTTGAGTTTAAGAGCAGTTATTCTCACACAAGACTGAAAGGCATGTGGAGTAGCAGAGTCCAGAGTAGACACCTGCGTGCAAACACACCGGATAAAGCGCATTCAAGTATGAAACTGGCTGTTACGGTAGGATAGGGAGTTAGCGCGATGCCAATGGCTCATTTCTGATTGGCTGAAAAGGCAAAGGATCGAAGTGGAACTTTACTGGCGAATCCCAGGCCTCACTCAATCGGTGAATATTGGATTTTTACTGCAGAGTGAGAGGACGAGTTTGATACCAGACCTCCCACCATCAGATATTAGGAATTGCTGAAGCCCTGAGAGACCCAGGTATTGATATCCCACTCCCTTGACTGGCTTAGTCTCCGACACAATTTTGCCGCAGCGGACATACACCTGGCCCGAACTCGAGGCCACTCACTCACCCACTTACACAGACCGGAACATACCGCCCTCACCAGCAGCAGCAGCAGCAGCACCAAGCACAACCAAGCACAACCTGCAGTCCCCAACCCAAGGAAAAGAGAGAAAGCGCAATGTTCCCCCTCGCCTGCATAGACGGGTACCGGCTCCCAGTCCGGCAAGAAGTCTACATCCTGTCCATCCTACCACTAATCCGCGGGCCGGCGACGATATCCTCGGACCAGAAGCTCTCGCTCTTCGACCCGCTCAGCCTGCGGACCGGCCCTATTCGGGACGTCGTCGCCAGCCATGGCAACCTGACATGCGCGGCGGCGTTCGACGCCGCAAACGCCGTTGTCTGTACCGCCGGCGAGGACGGCAGCTTGTCCATGTGGGATCTGAGGCTGGAGGCGCGGCAGGCCGAGGTGGCCAGGTTGACAGGTGGGGAAGACGTCTTTATGTGTATGAGTACTGTGCTGAGGAATATATAGTCAATGATCACAATGATCTTAATAATCTCTCAACGGCACTTCCCGTACTCTCCCTGGCCTGCTCGAGCGAAGGGTTTACGGTTGTGGCTGGTACCGAGTTGATGAACCACCAAGCTTCGATATTAGCATGGTGAGTTCATGTCGTTGACTCATATCACATGCCTTGAACGCTCATGAAGTTCCAGGGATGTACGCGCAGCGCCGACGCCAAAGCTTCACTACAAGGAGGTCCATAGCGATGATGTGACAGAGGTCTGTTAACACTGTTGCTGTACTGGGTCCAAAATGCTGACCCTATAATAGCTGAACTTCCACCCCAGAGACCCGAATATCTTGCTGTCGGGGTCAACAGACGGTCTCGTGAACATCTATGACACGAGGATTACAGACGAGGATGAGGTTGTGATCCAAACTTTCAACCACGATTCATCTATCCACCACGCAGCCTTCCTAAACGACACCGAGGTGTATGCCCTGTCTCACGACGAGAGACTGGCGCTCTATGACATGGCTGAAGGGTACGAGAAGGGTGCCGCGACGACGGACTTTGGAGACATGCGCTCCGTGCTTGGCTGCCAATATATCGCCAACATCTCTGCGAAAGCCAACGGTGCTGGAGCGGTGATAGGTGCTGGTGCCCATGAGTAAGCTCCCTGGTCCCCCAATGATGAGTCCTAATTTTACCTACCTACGCTTTCCGCTAACTCTTACTGCAGCCAGCAAGCATTCGAGATGATCCATCTCACAAAAGGCGAATCAGGTTGGGCCCTCGACAGGGCCAACAGCGTAGGGTTGCCCGGTGCTCATTCGGAGGAGGTCGTTCGAAGCTTCTGCTTCTACGACGAAGCGCAGATGGTGTTCAGTGCCGGCGAAGACGGATGCATCAAGGCATGGCGAGCAAACGCATAGCAAGCAATACGAGTAAAATCCCAACCCAAACACATCCACCTCCGCTCCCGTGCTCCTCAACCGTACTTGTCGTGCTTGTTCTTGGACTTCAGATCCAGCAGCTGCTCGTGATAATCGCCCTCGCGTCTCGCCCTCTTCAGATTCCGGACCTCGTCCTCGTCGAGCCGTCGCCCGACGGCGTCCTCCAGCTCCTTCCGGCTGACCTTGGCCTTCTCCTTGGACTCCTTCGACGCCTTCAGCCGCGGCTTGAAGCGCGCCTGCATCCGTAGGCGTAGCGTCGAGTCGAAGCTGATCTCCGTTGCGTCGCCCCTGATCTCGGGCGTGCCGTTTGCCTTTGTGGAATCATCCTTCACCGTCAGGAACGTCTCGCGCAGCGTCTGCAGCTGGAATGTGCCCGGTGTATCGGTCGTCGGGATGACCGTCCATGTTTCGGGCGGCGCTACGGCTTCGGAGGTCGCTGTCAGGATGCCGTACTTGTCGCAACTCAGGTATCTAGTGAAGGTTCGATCACGTTAGCTAGCCGTGTGCACAACAACCACAGCCTTCCAGACACAAACACCAAGCCGCAGCAATGAATGAAAGAGCACCTACTTGCCATAGCGTCCCTTGAACCGAAAGTGCTCGGTGCCGTAGATCTTGTTCGCGACCCAGACCTGGCGCACATCGTGCGGCTCGGCGCTCGACGGGTTAGCGTCGATGATGTTGACGATGGGATCCGTGAAGACCTTGCCGTTCGCATCGCAGGCCAGACAAGTCGGCGGCTCCGTGGGCAGCACCAGCATGATAGGTCCCACGACGTCGCCAATGGCCTCGGCGGACACCCAGCTGTCGTCGTCGCCCTCTGCGTCTTCGTTGGCGGCTTTCGCGACTGCGAGCTCGCCGCTGGGACCGACACCGCCCGCCTCCTCGGTTGATGGGTCGGCCTCGGGGCGCTTTCTCTTCTTCGGCTTCTTCTCGCCTTTGAAGGAAAGTGGCTTGACCATCTTGTATCGTAGGGGGCGCTGCCGGTACCTATGTTCGATCAAATTGTTCGTTGTTCGTGCAGGATGCAAGCTCGACGAGAGCTTGGAGGTCGAGCTAACTCCCAGGTCTAGAATCTACAGGGGTTTTGCGAGCACCCCACTCCCGCTCAGCCGCCCCGAAAAGGCTCAGCGCCCGCGTTGAATGCAGGTGGCATCCAGCTCCCAGAGGCCCCCCTATCGTCCGGAAACCTCCTACGACAGGAAGCGGCGCGCTCCGATGTTACAGTGAATTCTCATCGTGAATTCATTAACCCGACGTTTTCCTTAGGATGAGGCCATGGTGATTAAATGATAAATAGTTAACTCCTTGCTACTCAGATCATAATTGATTGACTCATCGAACTTGACTCTGAATCCATTGCATTTACATAACTCTGACTCTTGACTCTCTTGAGCCCAACTCCATCCATGGCGACAGCTCAGCCCGTTGTGGTGTCCTTGGCGGATCTGAAGAGTGGTGAGAACGCCGCTGGAACTTCGCAAGATTACAATTGCTGACTCGGCGCAGGTAATGTCTCGTTTGAGCAGCTCCAAGAGGCATTTGGACCCGAGTCACTGGGTATACTAGTAGTCAAAGATGTGCCAGCGGAGTTCCCAGATCTGAGGAGCAAACTTCTGTCTTATGCCTCATACATGGGCAACCTGTCCGAGAAGGACTTCGGTACGAAACCACAGTCTGCTGTACCGGAAACATCGCAAGACTGACCGAGTCCAGACCAATTCACGAACGAAGCAGCGAAGTACCTAGTGGGATGGTCGAAGGGCAGGGAGCAACTGAAAGACGGCGGCGCAGACGAGTTCAAGGGCTCATTCTATGCCAACTGCGCCTTCTACGTCGATCCATCGCTCGAATCGGCCAAGCCGACCGAGCAGTTTCCCCTGGATCAGTTTCCGGAGTATCTGGCGCCGAACTCATGGCCGCCGAACGAGATGCTGCCCGGCTTCAAGCCGACAATGGAACAGATGTGTAGCCTGATCATAGACACGGCCGTCCTAGTCGCGCGGGCGTGCGACAAGTTCGCCGAAAAGGAGATCTCGGACTACCCGACGGCGTATCTGGAGAACGTGGTCAAGTCCTCGTCGACGACGAAGGCGCGGCTGCTTCACTACTACCCCATGTCGGAAGAGGCTATGGCCAAGGGCATGGAGGAGGATAACTGGTGCGCGGTGCACAAGGACCATGGCTGCCTGACGGGTCTCACCTCGGCCATGTTCGTCGACGAGCTCAAGACGGACGCCAAGGTGGTCAAACCTGAGGGGTCCTGCCAGGTCGTCCCATCCTCTCTGCCGACGCTGGAGGAGCTGCCCACGTCGCCGGATGCGCAGGCCGGCCTCTGGATCAAGGACCGCAAGGGCGTGGCGGTCCAGGTCAAGATCCCGAAGGACTGCATCGCGTTCCAGACGGGCGAGGCGCTTGAGCGCATCACTCGTGGCAAGTTTAGGGCGGTCGAGCACTCGGTCCGAGGAGCGTACGCAAAGGGGGTGGCGCGGAACACGCTGGCGGTGTTCACGCAGCCGAATCTGGAGGACGAGGTCGATCTGGACCAGCACATCAACTTTGGCGACTTTGCGAGAGGAATTATAGCCAAGAACACCGTCTGATAAGCAAGCCTAGATCTGAAGATCAACTTGGCCGGTTCGATAGCATCAACGTCATATGTCCCTAGTTACTATAACTCTCCTGACGACACACCATGGCTGTGACCAACGCCGTAGACGGCGCCCTGAAGTAGTATGGACGTATAGGGAAATGTAATTCCTCTGCTGCAAAAAACGAAATGCCCGAGAGGACGTAGAGGATCTGCAGTGAGCATGTGGGAATCCGACCCACCGCGCTGGCATGATCTGCGTGGTGGCTGCTACAAGCACAGTCCGATGTCAAATCATCTTGCATGTGGCAGGCAGAAGAATATGGCGTCACTCCTCCTGGCACCTCACCTCATCTCAGCCGATAGCCTCTATTTATACCGACGCACACAACACCCACTTCCCTCTTCATACTTCATACCCCGAACAGCCGTCAAACCATTACAAACCCAACTCACCCCAAACCCACGAGTCACACATCTATCTCTACAAGCCAGCCCGACCAACAACATGGCGCTTCCCCCAAAGTTCGCCGGCCAAAAGCTGGTATTCAACACGCCCGCCGCCACGGCCCCGACCCCGCCCGCGCAACATACACTGGAACTCTTCCTCGACTACGTGTGCCCGTTCAGCGCCAAGCAGTTCAACACCATCTACAACGTGGTCGCGCCCATGGTGCGCGAAAAACCATCCTGGGCCTCAAGCCTCCAATTCGTGTTCCGCCAGCAGGTGCAGCCATGGCACCCATCCTCAACGCTGACGCACGAGTCGGCCGTCGCGGTACTACGACTCGCGCCCGAGAAGTACTGGGCCTTCAGCGACGCCCTGTTCCGCGAGCAGAAGGCCTTCTTCGATGTCAATGTGGTCAACGAGACGCGCAACGACACCTACAGGCGGCTGGCTAAGATCGGCGCCTTTGTCGGTGTTGATGAGGATGCTATGTATGGGTTGTTGGCTATCCCGGATCATGCGGCTGAGGATGGCAGTCTGAATGTCGGCAATGGTGTTACGAACGACCTTAAGGTCATGGTTAAGATGGCAAGGCTGGTCGGCGTGCATGTGAGCCCCACGGTCATCTTTGATGGGGTTGTTGCTGGCGATATCAGCTCTGGGTGGACGAAGGAGCAGTGGCATGAGTGGTTGACTAAGAACCTTGCTTGAGGGGGCTGCTGCTCCGACTTGTGGTGTTCGTTTTAAGTTGAGTGGGATTCGTTGAGCCTAGATGGCATGCTGAGACCGCTCTACATGAGGGGATGTGCATGTGAATGTAAAGTCAGATGCAGTTCACCAGCCCCTTCAAATCCTATCTGAATTGATCTCAGGAAAACCGGTTTAGAGATCACTGGAGATCTGATACTGGAGCCAGTGAGGAGCGCGCTGACCAAGGGAGCCATTCCGACGGCGGGATAACTACTATGCAGACGCTCCGCGGCGTCAGCTCGTCTACCCTGGCCTTTGGCATAGAACCTAGGTAGTTAAGAAACTCACTCGTCTATTGATTTGGAATTAAGTCTCCAAGCACCATTGAAAAGATGCATTTCGAGACGATATGAGTGAGACAAGTCAGCAAACGGCTTGCAGCTGGCAGTAACTGTCAGACCCGACAGTCAGCTGCCACCCATGCGCGTGTCGCGTGAATTTGTAATTCGCTTGGCCAACCACCATCATGATGACCTTGCACCAGTAGCCCCTGACAGCGTCTTGAACTCATACTGCAAGAGTGGCTTATCACAGAATGCTTGGTCTTGGAATACTGAAAAGGTCTCAATTGAGCCCTCTCAAACGGCATGTCGATGCCCTGCGAAGTGCAGTGGTCCGCCCGTCACCGCGGACCAACCTCCAGCTCTCATTCACGAGGTTCGAGTCAAGTACGGCGAAAAAGCCAGCAAGCACTGGGCCGGCCCCGAAACCGACGCCCCCAAAACTCGGTATGATTCTTCCAAGAAGTAAGGACTAATTGAGTATTGAGCTCACGTAAATTTCGTTATAGCATACCCCGAGAGACTCTGCGTCTACCATGCCGGCACGGGGCGGGTTACCTTCCTAGCTTGTCTGAAGCTGTCCACCCTATTCATATTCGCCTTCTTCGGCTTCGTCGTCACGCCCAGCTATTTCGAAAGAGAAGGTCTTTCTACGACGGTAGCTCGCAGTAAGTTGCTGCTGTCTTTGCTGACGGGCTTGGTGGACATGACATTCTGCCTCTCAGGCTTGGATCTGTTGTCGTCTCGCTCGTCGAACAGTCTACTCGCTTGGTGTTCATGCGTTCACAAGCTGACACATACATACCAGCAACATTCTCCGCCATAATACCACTAGTATTCGTGGCGTACACGACGTCTCCCTTCGTCACCTTCATCCACATCCGCCTGCCGCCCTTCGCCCGGCAATCGGAGGACATGCTGCGTCGGTTCGTGCGGACGCTGCCGCCGCAGACCGAGCTGGACATCACGACCATGAGCTTCATCGCTAAGCCGCGCCTGAGCACGGTGAAGATGTGCGATCTCAAGCCCGCTAGCAAGAGACTGGGCATTGTCAACATGTTCAGAGACACGACGGCGGAGAACGCGACGAGGAGGTGGTACATGTTCCCCGCGGTCGGAAATTTTAATGTCCAGAGCAACCAGATGCCCAAGGTGGGTTGGGTCTGGGAGAGCATGCATGGCGCTATTGCCAGGCAGCGATGATCTGATCGCCCATGGGGGGCTTTGGGTTTAGGGTGTTTGATAGGTATGGCGGCGGCTGTTCATCGCCATTATGACTTTGAGGACATCTTATCAGTCCCGAGTGAAGTAAGGAATGAGAAATTCCGTTTCAAGAGTAACGAACGATAAGAGTAATCCATCTATGAGGAGGTAATCTGTAGTATCTTTTTGTTGATAAAGTGATTGATGAAGATGAATCTAATTCGGTTACTAACTTCCAAACCGGAATCCTCAGCGCGTAGGTTTGAACTATCACGCAACGGCACCATACATTTTTTCATTACTGAGCTTTGGATTCCGCGTTCCCTCTTGGGAGACGACGTCGTCGGAACGGGCATTCTCACAGATCATTTCATGCCTGTGCACAATGATACACGCCCATGTTTAGATGTGCTCCCGTACCTGCGGGGAGTTCATATACATTCGTAATGTGGCCAGACTCCGCAGCGTCAGGCTATATGCTGCTGCGCCTCGTTGCCCAATCGCGCACAACGCCCCTTTCTCTCGGTTTCCGATCAAACCGACTGTGAAGAGATGTCATATGAAACCTCTCCTATTTACTCATAAGCGCAAAGCAGCAGCAGCTGAAGAAATCTCGGCAACGTCCTCAGGGACATCTGGACGTCCTTGACCTTGATATCTTCCTCAGTTGCTTTCATTCACTCCAGTATGTCCTCAAAGTTCCTGCATTGTCTCTCGACAGCGTTTTTATGAAGTATTAAATATTCATTAAGACACGATATGTATATATCTAGTATCTCAGGGGCTTATCGAGATTAGCTTTAGCCTTTGAACCCAGTCAGCCCCAGTGACGTCCTTATCAGCCACTAAGTTTAGTCGAACGGCGGCGATATCATCAGTGATAAGGTTAAGCAGAACCCCCGCTTACCTCTTATTATTCTCTAGCAATGACATGCTGCTCCTTGGTCACCATTGAAGCGAGCAGATCGACAGAATCCATCAACAACTACCAACGTCCAACGTCCAACGCCATCGGGAAAATGGATCAGACGGATTCGACTGTCTGCGGGGAGCCCGAAGAACGGCGCCACCAACCCAAACGACAACGGATCGTCGAGGGATCCTGCTGGCCCTGCAAGCAACGTCGCGTGAAATGTGACCTACAGAAATCATCCTGCCGGAGGTGCGTGCTGTCCGGCACCCAGTGCAGCTATGACAAGCTGGTCCTCCGGTGGCGAGGCAGACCGACCAGGACTGCACCCTTCCTCCAGCAAGTCTTCTCCGACGTCGCCGACGGGTCTGGGACACCTCTGGCCACGAACGAGCGTCGGGCCCTCGACTACTTCAAGGCCCGGCTGTGGCCTCTTCTGTCAACTGCAGACCGACCATGCTCCCCGCCCATCTCCCTGGCTCTACGATCCCGCCCGGTGCTCCAAGCGGCTTGCATCTTCGCCGAGTCGCACCGAGCCCTCCAGGAACGAGGCCAGTCGAGAGAGGCGCTGATGAGCCGGCGCCTGAACTGCATGGCATCCATACGCGGACAGCTGGGTAGTGACAGTGCTGAACGCCAGATGCTGGACTGTCTCCTGGTCGCTGTGCTACTTTTGTACCTTCTAGACGGCTTCGTCGACTGCAACCAGCAGCATGCATCTACGCAGGCGCATTATGCTGGAGTGTTGGCCATCCTCGACGCTCTGGGTGGTTTCGAGTCAGCGTGGAAGTCATCTGAAAGGGAGACCTGCATGCTGCTCTCGGAATTCGCATCTACGGACTTGACTGACGCGCTGCTGCAGGGTCGGAAGCCCTGCTTTCCGCCCACTATTTGGCAGCAGATCCAGTCTGGACCTGTATGGTGGCAAACCACGAGCCAGGGCACAAGATCTCTCGCCTCTGTCTTGGGCACTATGGCGGAGATGGCATTTTATTCACAGGATATTCGGGATGGGCAGGAACTTTGCAGAGACAAAGTCGTCGAGTTTGAACGCGCACTACAGCCCACATACTCGATACTCGAAAGCGATACTTTCATGGAGAAGGAACTCGTCCGAGCATCGGATCCCGCCAGGATGCCCGAGGTATTTGCCAACGCGTTCGTCAGAGCATTTCAACATGCTGGTTTGATCTATCTCTATAGAGTGATCTGCAACCTGCCAACTCGCCATCTCCTCCTCCAACAACACGTCCACGCCTGTCTCGATTGCATACAGGGCATTGATCTCAACTGCAAAGCACAGAACTGTGCATTGTTCCCCTTGTACGTTGCAGGGGCCCATTCCCTGTCCAAGGTGCATCGGGATTGCGTCTTGCTCCGACTCGACGGCATCTACGCCGCTCTCAGATTTGAGGCTGTTCTGTCTATCCGCGCAGCTTTGGAGAGCTTGTGGAAGTCCGAGAGGCAGTTAGAGACCTGGTCAAGTGCTTTCCAAGACCTTGCTGTGGGCACTTTGGTCCTGTGACCTTCTCAGCATCGCCTTAGGAGAAGCGCAACGGCTGAAAACAATTCAGCATCTGGGATCAGGCGCCTAGGAGGCTACCCGGGTCAGTCGCGGCCGGGTACGGAGACGAAGCACCCCAAATCACGCCTCTGTCGCCTACAAGACGAGGTACCTCATCCAATCACCGATGATGCATAGACCAGTGCAGCGGCACATACGCAGGCCGCAACTCGCCTTTCTGCAGTAACCTCACTGTGATCTACCGACGCATGAACGCGTGCTCATGGTTCCGATGTCCCCAGCTAGCTCTGGACTTTCCCCAGACTATTCCCATCGCTACCCCGCGACTGACTCAAGGTCGGCTCGGACTTGGGGTCATGGGTCGAACGCTAAACATTAACGATTAGTATGGCTATGCTCCAGCTATGAATGGGCGCGGCTCGACCCCTGGTCCTCGAGGAGGTGATTACCAAATCCACAGTCGCGCTCGTGATACCGAGTAGCACTCGTGATGTGCACCGGACATTCCATTACACCGCAGACTGCTAGAGCTGTATAGTCTAGGCTACGACGCAAGGTTAGGATACGTAGGACACTGCTTGCGTTACTTCTGACGAAGAATTTGCCGGACATGGTCCAGCCAGCAGCATCAAGCTCATGGTAGCATTGCAGACTCGGTGTTATGGCCTACCAAACTTTGGATGCTGTATTGGACAGAATGGGAGCCACAATCAGCATTGCTTTTGAATGAAACCCATCTATGAACGTGGAGTTGTTGGATCTGGCTGCTTCGAGCGGAAAGGCAGCCACTTGTGAAGGGGTGATCACACTGAGAGACTGAGTACCACGGTTACCAATGAACCTTGCGACAACCTGATATGCTTCGTTTCCAATTCGTTATCATCTGTCTGTGTACCCGCAGCGAGATGGGTTGCAGCGGCTCTAGAATCCGAGATGGCGTGGCTCAAGTGCTCCCAACACAGCCAGGACGCGCAGCGATGGGTCAACTGGGACGGGGACCTGGATCCGTGGGGCAGTCGCCTAGTATCACGCCGCCGTTGAACCGTTCCCAAATAGGAAACTTTCCAGGCCAAATGCCAAGAATCTCGGGATGGTGCACCGGACGGCTGCACCAAGTGGGCATTGTCACCTCTAGTTGGGATCTTGGGCCCCAGATCCCCGGATTCTTTGTGTAAGCGTCTTTGGTCAGCCACCGCGGCAAGATAACGATTGGGCTATCACATGCCGTAAAATGCGGTCATAGTATGTGCCCTCCTAGGTCCCTTGTGGAAAGACGATAGGCATGGTGCTGCCATCTGGAGACATCGCCGGCCTAGGTATTCGTCTCAAGAGGAGTTGGGCAAGTGGGGGAAAAGCGGAAAAGGGGATTTGCATTTCTTGTACGTATACTTGTTTGTACTAGTAGTTGGTCCCCGATCTCGCAACTTTCCATCTAGCAGCGACCGATTTAAGACCCTTTGTGACAAGACGCTACAGCTCGCGTACACGTGAAGCTCTCCCACTCACTCACTTCCTTCATCTCTTCTTATACGAGCCCGACTTTCCAGCGTGATTATAGAATATAGACTCGTCAAAATGGCCGAATCGATCGATCTCACAGCGCCTAACGGCACGTCGTGGAAGCAGCCTACAGGTACGGGCAAGCTCATCGCCCCTAGGATGGTTTCTCGACTGACTGTGCCCTAGGGCTCTTCATCAACAACGAATTCGTCCCCGCCAAATCCGGTGATACCCTCGAGACCGTCAACCCCTTCGACGAGTCCGTCATAGCCAAGGTCGCCTCCGCCGGCCACGAGGACGTCGATGCAGCCGTCTCGGCAGCCCGCGCAGCCTTCAAGTCCGCGGCATGGAAGGGCCTAAGCACACAGGAGCGCGGCGCCTTGCTCTGGAAGCTAGGCGAGCTCTGCGACAGGGACAAGCACATCCTCGCGACGATCGATGCCTGGGACAATGGCAAGCCTTACGGGGTAGCACTTGAGGAGGATCTGGCCGAGACCATTTCCGTCTTCAAGTACTATGGCGGTTGGTCCGATAAGATTTATGGGCAGACGATCGAGACGAGCGATGCGAAGTTTGCTTACACGAGGCATGAGCCGATAGGTAAGTAGGCAGCATGTGACGGGGGACTCCCGCGCTGACCTTCTTAGGTGTCTGTGGCCAAATCATACCGTGGAACTATCCTGTCATGGTACGTCCTTTCTTGCATGATTATGTCTCCGTCTACTAACTTACTCTTTTCTTCTCAGATGGCTGCTTGGAAAATAGGACCGGCTCTGGCCTGCGGAAACACAGTAGTCCTGAAGGCCGCTGAGCAAACGCCGCTGTCGGTGCTGTATCTGGCAACCCTTATTAAGGAGGCCGGATTCCCACCAGGTGTTGTCAACATTATCAATGGCACCGGCAAGGAGGCTGGGGCTGTTCTTGCGCTTCACCTCGACGTGGACAAGATCGCATTCACCGGCAGCACTGGGACGGGTCGCGCCATCATGAGGTCAGCTGCGATCAACCTCAAGAACATCACACTGGAAACCGGCGGAAAGAGCCCCTTGATCGTCTTCGAGGATGCAGACCTAGATCAGGCTGTCAAGTGGTCACACGTCGGTATCATGAGTATGTCATTTCCCCTCCTAGACTCAATCGTCGAACGAAGCTAATATCTCGTGCGTCCAGGCAACATGGGCCAGGTCTGCACCTCCACATCGCGCATATATGTTCAAGACAGCATATACGACAAGTTCCTGGAGCAATTCAAGGAGTATACGATCCAGAACACGACGTCCGGCAGCCAGTTCGACGACAAGGTCACCCACGGGCCCCAGATCTCCAAGGCGCAGCAGGAGAAGATCCAGAGCTACATCGCGACGGCCAAGTCGGAGGGCGGCAGGCTGCTGCTCGGCGGCAACAGCCACTCTGGCAAGGGCTACTTTGTCGAGCCGACCATCTTCGCCGACATGAAGAATGACATGAAGGCTTCGCGGGAGGAGGTCTTCGGGCCCTTCGTCGTCATCCAATCTTTTAGCTCCGAGGACGACGCGGTCGAGAAGGCCAACGATTCCGAGTATGGGCTGGGCGCCGCTGTCTTCACGCGCGATATTGTACGCGGCCACAAGGTCGCCGCGGCTGTTGAGGCCGGTATGGTCTGGGTAAGTGTCCCCCGCGGTTTCGGTTTCGATGTGCAAGCCTCGGTCCATTTTTTTTGCTTACCATCCGTGCAGATCAATAGCTCGCAGGACTCGCACTTCGGTATTCCTTTTGGTGGCTACAAGCAGAGTGGCATTGGTAGGGAATTGGGACAGTACGCGCTGTCGTCATACACGCAGGTGAAGGCAGTTCACGGTGAGTTTGCCATCATACCCGTTCGTCATTTTCCCACTTGTCTAATTGATTTCCAGTGAACCTCGGAACGTGGCTATAGGTTGGCGGTCAAGTACCAGGACGAGATTCCGACTTGGTCAGGAAGTCCAGTGGCAATGTTATTCGCTCGGACGCCTAGCTATGAGCGCTTGTCTTGTATATAAATGACCAAGAACGTTAAGACAATCGTATGAAGCCAGTGATTATGTTCACACATGTAGCCATCCGACTTATTCATAGAGTATCCGGCCCATCTCTAGAACTAGATGTGTTTTCAGGCCAACTTGCATAGATACACACAATATAACAGCATCTGTCCCAGAAGCGAATTCAACACCTACTCCATGTTTGTGATCTCAATACTATCTAAGCGAGATCACTTACCTTGCAGGTTCGAGCCTAGAGTAGCGTCGAACCTTCAGGAGTCATGCACACACCAGATCAATTGCCCACTTCATTGAGCGGGTTGCTTTGGAATGCGAGATAACTTCATCCCCACGGGCCGCATACCCAAAACACAGAAATGATATGTCATGAGGGACATGGTCACCGGTCGATCGGTTTGTCTGGCAGTCTGGTAACCAATGAGAACTATGCGGTATCGTATCTGCAGGGTACGAACAATTACGTAGCGGCGTTGACAAGAATAGAGATAGGGTCACAGGGTTTAGCTTCGGACCCATCCAGCCATCGTCGAACTAGAGGCCCATTTTCTTGCCATTCGAAGCCTAGCGCCAGCCTCGATGTGACCTGACTCCTATCTCGATGTGAAGAAGATGTGGGATCTAGGCCACGACCGGCGGATGCACGCTTTCTATGGAGACTGGGGAAACAAGGCCAGAGAGGGTCTTGTGGTGAGCGACGTGAGGCCTATCAAGCTTCCCCAAGAGGCATGGCGCCAACCGTGACAGCCTAGTGCGGATGTTTCCTCGATGAGGCTATCTCGAGTGTTAGCGATAGCGGACGGGGGCTGAGTGGCCAACAGTATCATCAAGACGACCCGGCGGCGATCAGTCAATGCCGCCTATAACGACCCCAGCCTCGCTCCGTTGAAGACAAGCATCTGGCAACCAAGGAGGCCTGAAGCTTTGAAATATTGTCATCTACATCGTCGACTCTACGTTTTCCCTTGACAATACCAAACACCTTCCAACCCAAGATTGGCCCCCTATCCCCTTGACTGTACATCGAATTTCGAATCGTATACGAGCCGCGATGACTGCGTCGACGGAAAAGAAAGCCTTCGGCACCCCAATCACGGAGATGGCCAGCCGCCATGAAGGTGTCATCCAGCACGTCCACCTCGGCTATGAGCAGCAGCTGAAACAAAACCGCTCCCTCCTCACGGTCCTCGGCATGGCGCTGGCCATTGCCGCCGTGCCGTACGGCTTCGGCGGTCCGCTCATCAGCGCCATCTACGGCGGCGGCCAGCTCTCCATGTTCGTCGGGCTGCTCGTGGTCGTCTGCCTCGACTTCTGCGTGGCCATCTCGCTCGCCGAGCTCGCCTCCCGCTACCCGACCTCCTCCGGCGTGTACTACTGGTCGTACCGCCTGGCGGGCGCCTCGCCGTCCCGCAAGGCCCTGTCGTACATCACCGGCTGGTTCTGGCTCATCGGGAACTGGACCATCACGCTCTCGGTCAACTTCGGATTCGCGTCGCTGATCGTCGCCACCGTCTCCATCTACAAGCCCGACTGGACCGCCTCCGATTGGGAGCTGCTGCTCATCTTCTACGCCATCTGCGTCCTGACTTTTGTCATTTGCGGCGCCGGCGACAAGTTCCTGCCGTACGTCGACGCCGTCGCGGCCGTCTGGAACCTCGTCACCATCATCGCCATCCTCATCGCGCTGGCCAGCACGGCCAAGAGCGGCCGGCATTCGGCCTCTTACACGCTCGGGCACTACGATAGCAGCCTTTCTGGCTGGGGCAGCGGTTTCACATTCTTCATTGGCTTGCTGCCGCCGGCCTATGCGCTCTGTGCCATCGGCATGATTACATCCATGTCCGAGGAGTGCGCTGAGCCCGAAGTCGAGGTCCCCAGGGCGCTCATGCTGGTAGTACCGGTTGGTGGATTGGCTGCGCTATTCTTCATATTGCCGCTGTGTGCCACGCTGCCACCACTGGAGGACGTCCGTAAGTGACCCTGAGTTATGGTTGCCCCCTTTTTCTTCCCATTTGCCCCTTTAACTAGTCCATGGTATCTCTCGATTTTCGGTCCGCTGACTCCATTGCTATTCCAGTCAACGCACCCTACGGCCAGGTCCTACCGTACATCCTCATAACCGTCATGGGGTCCCAAGCCGGGGCCCTCGTCGTCATGATCATGGTGCTTCTCGTCACCCTCTTCTGCTCCATCAGCATCACCACCGCGGCCGCGCGCTGCACATGGGCCTTCTCCCGCGACCAGGGCATCCCCCTCTCCAGCGTGTGGTCGCGAACCACGGCCGACCGCCCGCTCCTCGCCCTCGCCCTCCTGACCGTCATCCAGATGCTGCTCGGCCTGATCGACCTGGGCAGCAGCAGCGCGTTTACGGCGTTCGCGTCCGTTGGTGTCATTGGGCTCTCGGCCGGCTATGTCGTGCCCATCGCCATCAGTTTGCTGTCCGGGCGCAAGGAGGTCGCCAAGGCTCGGTGGACCGTCGGCCCCGTGCTCGGCACGTTCGCCAACGTGGTCTCGGTCGCCTGGATCCTGTTCGAGCTCGTCCTCTTCAGCATGCCGCAGGCTCTGCCTGTCACACTCGTCACTATGAATTATGCGTCCGTCGTTTTTGTGGGGTTTGCGGCCGTCAGCGGCGTCTGGTACTTTGTGTCTGCCAGGAAACGTAAGTTGACCTGCATCCCCTGCCTCTCGTATGCCTTGCTGACCGTCTGCAGATTTCAAGGGCCCCCCGGAAGAAGAGTTGGAATAGGAGTAGGGACTTAGAAGCAACTTAGATAGAACTAAATATTTTGCTATGCTGAATCTGTCCGTGTTGACAGTCTCTGTTACATTTGCTTTTGTTTGTATAATACTATATTCATGATAGATAATTGCTCTTGGGAACTTCAGCTTCCAATCATGAACAATCCATCAGTTTCCTAACCATCAGTGACCATCGTCAATCCAGCATGGGGAGCCAGTGGCGGGACTCAGGATTTGCCATTATTTCATTTCGCCGTGTATGATTCGTCGTGGTTTTCTCGGGAGAGGGTCCCTTGGGTGGGCGGACTTTCAACAACGATTAAACCTTCAAGCTATTCTGCCGGTAGCTATAACCTGAGCTCCGGGCTAAGCGGTATAGACTTCTCCGAAACATCGGGCCAGGCCTCCAACGCAGCTGCCGAATATCATCACACTAGTCAACAAAGCAGTAGCTACGTAGAGGTATCCTCGGCACAATAACAACCCCAGCACCCAAGTATAATTGTTAGAAATATTGACCTGACAGCTATGGAAGAACATTTGCTAGGCTTAATAAGGCCAGGAATACCTTCGCAAGGCGAAGCTCACACGGAAGCACAGGTCACGTTGGACAATAATAATAAGTTAAGAGAAGGCACCAGAACAATGGGGAGTTTTATTCCCATCTATCATGTCCGGGTGGGATCTTGCACTCTCTGACAGGATTCCCCCGTTCTATGCGACGCTCCTCACAGACGGTAACCCCTCATTGCACCAATGCCTCGACCTCGATCTCGACGATCATTCCCTCGACTCCCAGCTTCGAAATCTCCACGCAGGTGAACACAGGGCGGTGGTTGGGCATGACGCGCCGGAAATTCGCGATGACCATATCCGCCGACTCGTCGATGTTGATGTGGTAGGACCTGACGGCGTAGACATTCTCCCACGAAAGACCCGGGTGGGCAGACTGCAGGGCCTTGACGACATTTTCGAAGGCCAGCTCTACCTGGCGCGACCGGTCCTTGGGGATGTTGCCTTCGGTGTCCCAGCCACCTTGTCCGGATGTCTTGACTACGTTTCCGACCTTGACGACTTGCGAGTAGTGGAAGGCTTCTGATTTGGACTCGGTGCCTTCGTAATTGTGGAAAGTTGGGCCAGTCATTGTATAGTGTTGAACTTGAGATAGTTTGAGCGTAAGTAAAGGGATGGTACTCGTGAGAATTGTAACGACGAAGATACGGCTTGTTGGTATGCTGCGTGAGAGAGAATGGAGTCTGGCGTGAAACCGGAAGCAAGATGAGGGGATCGAGATGATGTCGTGGCGAGGATTCGACCGTTAGCGAGTTATATTACGAATATATACATACTCGGATTTACTAGTACCACATTACGTATGACTATAGAATCAGAATGACCTTATCACGGGGCCGGAATTAGTGATTCATTGCCATTGACAAGCATTGGAGACCGAGGCCGGTTCGGTGCATGGAATGTGTTGCCAACATCATATCAAGAACGGCCGTGCCGTCCGCGGCGGCGGGTCAGTCTTCGCTGAGTTAGGTAATTATCCTGACCATGCGGGCTGTGCATGAGTCAGGTCTACGATCTCTCCACATTGATCCGAGCTCTTGGGTTATTCGGTACGAGTTACCTCATTAGGCAAGTTGATGGGCCAAAGAACGGCAGACGGCTAGTCTACAAAGCTACCGTACGTGCATAGCCCTGGCCTCCACCCGCTTATCGTAGCATAACGTTGGTGAGCCCCATTCTAGATTCTAAGGGTCCTTTTCCCTCTATTCCTCTATTTCCCTATCATACAAATAGCACGACATCATTTGGCAAGCGCTGAAGGCTTTAAGAGGTGCAGAATACTATCATCTACAATCTTTGGCAGGTCGCACCATGCTTGCTGCAGTTGAATTTACACAGGCCTCCAAAGGCGTAGCATTTTTGGCTCTTCTTGGCCTGGCCTTCTCATGGGCCGTACTGCCATTCCTACAGAAACGCCGACAGAAGAGCAAAGGTAACCTCGCCCATTACTTCATTGACGAAGCTTGAGCCGAGTCTAACATTCATGACCAGTCGTAGACTCTGCTCCAGATGAGCCACTATTCCAAACGCCATTGCCTACCCCCTTGGAGAACTTCGACCTCGGCAGTAAGGAGCCACAGCCTTACAGGCCCTTCCGCCATGGAACGACTCATGTCACCATGGGAATCAGAAAGCTCGACTGGGACAATTGGATTGAGATTGATTCTAACTACCTGTCCTATCATGATCTCAAAGTCAGCGAGTTGAACAAGGACCTTGCCGCGCATGTCGGTTACGTCGACAACGCCGATACCAGAGACGCATGCTTCGAAATCTACGAGGAACTGACGCAGTACCTTTGTCATCGCTACCCGAAGATGTTCCAGTTGAAGGATGGGAAGCTCAACAACCTACTCACTTCAGAGGTATTCCCGTATCCAGCTGGTAGGTACACTATGTTCCGATGATCATGAAATTGCAGAGACTGACCTGGAAATTCTAGCTACACCAACAGATGCTTTGGCTACGTCGGCCAAGCTAATCCAGGATGATATTGTCTTGATGGTCAAGGAAGACGGTAATATATCCAACTTGCACCCTTATAGTTTGGGGGGTTTACTAACACGCATTTCCTAATAGATGGCCAATACCACGTCGATGCAGCGGCGGTCTGTCTCCCAGGGTTTTGGCGCCTGAAGGAGAAGTTTAGAATGTCGCTCGACGAGCTGCATATCGAAGCTGGCGTCCCGCACTATCAAACGAAGCTCCAGAAATCAATGAACCGCTTCTTCCAGACTATGCGCCCAGAGAAGCCCGTGACGCGGAACAATGTACGTTACAGTGAACCCTTTACCTCCCCCGCTCTTCATAACCTAATGCGTCTGCCAGTTCTTCATACAACTTGACGATGGGCTTCACTGGTCCCACAGAATGGGCGACCAGAAGGGCAACGAGGTCGCATGTGAGTAGTTACATTTCCACCCCTTCGCCTGGCCTCTGCACGGCTCGGAGGTGATTTAGCCGTCAGAAATCCCGGGACTGACATAATTTGACAGCATGGGCAACTGCCAACAGCGCGAGCCTCACCGTCGACGAACTCCACTTCCGCTCCGAACGGCAGACGCTGAGGAGATTGCCACGATCCAAGGCCATTGTGTTCACCATTCGCACGTACTTCGAGCCCATCCCCGTGATCGCGAAGGAACCCCACGTCCCCGGCCGTCTTGCCGAGGCTATCCGAAATTGGGACGAGTCGATGTCGCATTACAAGGGGAAGACACACTGGGACAAGATCCTGCTGCCGTATCTGGACGAGCAGCATGAGAAGCAGATGGAGAGTGGTATCTTGGAGAAACACCCCGAGGCGGAATTTCCCTACTGAGGGAGACTGATGGGCTGGGTTGGTGGTCTGGACTCGAGCCGGGTGGATGTAATGCAAGATGTCGTGAACGAATGCTTAGACTTGGCCTTATGCAAGCAATGGTATGACCTTTTCTCAACATGTTGATACGATCAATGCAAATTATCTTCAAAGCAATTTTTAAAATGAATGCATTGGGCCTACACGTACCATTTCCAGAAAGTTGGTACACTGCCGCACTGAGGCCACATCCAAGGGCTGAATATAAACAGCTCCTTTATTCAGCCCTTCGTGGTGTGCGAATAACGTTATGAGATGTTGAAACCCAAGGGCTGTAGCTGGACCGCTTATGAGTTTGGGCCGACAAGGATATAAATGGATCGATCTTGAACCCAGGACAATGTTAATGAGTTCAGGATAGTCGATCTGACTCGTTATAGATGGGTTAATACCAGGGGATGGGACTATTCTGACACGGATCTCGGGTCCAGCCTGGACACCACATACGGCAAGCCACGTCCGAATACTCAACGCAGAACTGCAGGGGCGTTTCTTCATGGCGGAAGATGCACGGCGGTGAGCGCACCTGAAAATCGATGAAGCCCGAGTGGAGTCCGCAGACGTACGTATGAAGCCCGACATCTTCCAAGGCCCGTCTGAATGACCGGCCAGGACGTGCAATTCTAATAATGCACATTCCCTCACTAGCCTAATCTCTCCATCGACAGGATCGCGCCGCAGCCGCGCATGGAAGTTCCTCGTGAGCCTCTCCATTCCGCTGACGGTATCTACGCCACCACCGGCAGCAGCGGCCTTCCCGATGTCCCCCACCACGTCCCAGTGCTCGAATCCGTGGTATATGAGCGGGAGACTCGACGTCTTCCAGAGGACCCGGTCAGGCGCCCCACAGCACCTTCGGATGGTCAGGAGCAGGAACGCCGATTCCAAAGTCCAGATCGCGATGAGTGGCGCGGACGAGAGCCACCGGACGTTGATGATGGTGTCCGAATCGTAGGCCTGCCCTGACACCGGGATGGCGCCCTGCTCTCGTGCGAAGTTGCTCAGCCTGGCCTCGATGCGTGGAATGGCCCATGGCAGGCCCCCTTGGAAGGCGATTTGTCGCAAGTCCATTTGCCGGGGATACTGTATCATGTCTGGGAAGACTTGTGTGCTGAAGAAATCCTGTTTGTACTGGATACCCGTCGCGTTGCTTGCCTGGTTCCGCTCGTCTTCTGCGAAGATGTCCGCGACATATACTTGACCGTCGATTATGGATTATATGTCGACAATAGGGTAGAAGTCATCTTCGCTGATCGAATACTGTGCTGAAGGGAAACTCTCAGCTGACGATGCGTTACTCATGTTCAGAAGCTTTCCGACATTCCCGGTGTATCAGCCCACGACAACGAACTAACTCCTTGGGTGGAACCATTTCTATCCACAAGCAGGCCATTCTCAAGTACCAAGCCGGTGACATTATAGTACCATGATCCGTATCGGGCGCCGAGTGTCTTCAGCGTGGGAACGCATTTGGGAATAGAAAGCGAGTGTGTCTTGACGCATGGGGTCAACTGACATACAGTGACTCCCTTTACGGCCAGGATCAGTTTCTCACTGGAGGCTGATGGCGGAGAATGTTAGGAGTGGTAAATGGTCGAGATCCCAAGAGGTGGAGTTGGGTCGATGGCTGTTGTTGGTGTAAAGATAGGTCGTAGTTGGGCACGTGATGAATGTATGGTTTGGATAGAGAAGCTTCGCGGCATACCAATACCTCGGTTTCGAATGGCTTATCCAAACGTCCCCTGAGATGAAGAACCCAGTCAGCCAGCTGTCGCAGGGGAAATCAGGAGGTGAATCTTAACCCTAACCCTGACTCTAGGCTCACCGACGTGCATCTTCCGCCCTGAAGAAATGCCCCTTCCATTCTGCGTTGAGTATTCGGACGCGCCTTGCCGTACGTGATCACCGTTGCGGCCATGGTCCGTTTCGACTAGTATCAATCCAGATGTAACGGGCTAAGTCGACAACACTGAACTCGTTGTCCTTGTCCTGGGTTCAACATCTATCCCTGAAAACGAGCGCGCGGTGGGTCATCGAGACCGTGACTATAGAGGTAACCGAAGCAGAACCACGACAACCCACCCTTGACCACGGGGACTTCGATCGCCGGCTTGAGTTATTTCGACATTCTACTTCCCCAGGCCATGGATGGCTCTAGCCCGGTAGTCCTGCTAACTTACTGCTGATATTCATGTCTACGAAGAGCACGGCGGAGCCTCTTGTGGTGTACTAAACGCTTGCTTGACGAGTCACCTGAACTTGGACTTTAAGTGGATTTGCCCTGCTGACACATCCTGGCCAATTGAGTATTTATTTGACCCTGATATATCTAATCACATACGTTAGATCACTCGAACCCCATAGACCCATGTCTAAGATGCAGGTGCAGCTCTCTTCTTAGCCAACCCGCCCAGCTTCACAGCTGCTGCCCGGAGGCCCTTCAGATCGCGTCCGCCGACCACCGTTTTCCCATCGACAGCGACCTGCCTGCCGTCCTTGAAGAACAAGAAGCCGGACTCGGTCTTCACCTGGTGCTTTGCAGCGAAGTCGCGCATGTCGTCCGTGTTGGCGGGCGCAAACATCAGGACGCCGGGGATCCCGTGCTTATGGGCCATTTCGAAAAAGGTCTGTGGGACGGTCGGTTCCCTGAAATACCAGTCGGCGAAGAAGTCGACGGCCGCGTAGGTGGTGCTGCCCAGTAGCTTCTGCAGCTCCGCGGCCGAGGATGCCGTGATGATGCATCGAACTTGGTCCTGCACGAACGAGACGCCCTCTTCGTTATGCGTCGGATACGCCCCGTAGGCTTCGTTGGGGTCGACGCTTGTCAGAGCCCTTGCCTGTGGCGACGCAAGGGGCAGGAACCGGAACTCAGTGTTCTCTTTGGTTAGGAGCCGCCTGAAAAGCTGGCTCGCGGTGAGGAGGCCCATACCACGACGGTATTCGTCGTCGGGATCATCGTTCATCGCGGTGCTGTAGCCGTTCACCTCCCCCTCACCCGCGCGGTAATTGTAGATGCCCATCTCCCTTACTGACTTGGCTTCCTGCAGGGCCTCGAATGCAATGATAAGGTGTCCCTGGTCGTTAGTGTTATTCCTGTCCTTCACGGAAGTACATCGAATCTCATCGACTCCCTCGGATATCAAGTGTACATTGAACAGCTTCGTAAAATCGCCTAGAAGGCGAATGCACCGCTTTGTCAGGCGGATATAATCTATGCTGAGATCGTCCAAGACTGGGGTGAGTGCATCTTGCAAGCTACCCACGAGGTCCACCGGCGTGAACTGTTGCTTTCGGCGTTGGAATGCTGCCGCCCCCTTTGTGGGCTGCAGCGAGTTCTTGTAGTGGTCTATTGCTTGCTGTTCGATCTGGTATAGGGCCTTGCCGTTAGAGATGCTCGGGTCCAACATTGATTTGAGGGCCTGAAATGAATCTCGCTCGTTGAACTTGTACTTCTCGTCCCGGAAGAATGTCTTTCTCGTTGCGTCGAGTCTGTACTTCAAGCGGTCGGCCATGTCCGCCGTCCTCGTCGGAATGGCATCGGCAAAGAGAGCCCGCTTGTGAAGCTCAATAATACGATCCATCACATGCCATTTATCTTGCAGCATATGCAGCTGGCGCAGTGCATTGTACAGGTGTGCCGTAGCGAAGATGCTGAGATGGTGGTTGGCAAGAGAGAGTCCAGTGTCGTGGTACAACAACGCCAGCTTGAGGAGCACGCTGCCCGTGTATACAGGGTTGTGGGTGTTGATAAACTCATCCTGTGCCGCTGGCTTGATGACTCTGATGTCGAGCTGATCCATAGCCTTCTGAAAGTGCGCAGGCGGAGGCCCATGACCCTCACGCTTTCACCTGGCCCTGAGTTCTGGTGGAGCGTTCGCCCACGTGTACATCTTGGGAGTCTGCCGCACTGACAGCAGGAGGCTTTTCATCAACTGCACACTGGGGACTTCGATCTTTTTCATGAGCATGTACATGTCAGACAGTTTTTCGACACCAGAGTTGGGCCAGTTCAGTCCGCCAGTCTTGAGTCTGTCACCATTGACGATGGTGAAGTCGAACGATTTGGTGGAGTGGCCGTGGGCGTACATCAATTGCCGGTTGTACTGAGGTGGGATGCCACAGATATCGAGCACGTCAAGTAGAATCTGCGACGTGACAACAGCTGTTACACTGATCTTGCCCTGTAGCCATACAGGCTGTAAGGTGGTTCTGATCATGTCCTCATGTGGCGGATCCACCAACCTCATGTCCCCCGCGCCTGCTGCGTGCTTCAATCAGCAACTGCGACATGAACTCGTCATCCCGCTGCATCTTCTTGTACTCCGGTGCATTTGCCTTGTGCGGCTCGTTGAGTTAGTTGAACTGTAACGTCGGAATCGGGGGTGGCCACTCTATCTCGGGCTTATTGGACATGGCAGCAATCTGGGCAAACTTCATCAAGGTGAAGTAGACAAAGCTGTCAAAAGGGGTCACCTCGACGCCCACGCCTCGAGTGGCATCCAGTCCCTGTGTGATGGACTCGGCAACAACCATCATGGCCGTCAGATCCTTGTAGCAGTCGTTCATACGAGCCTTCGGGAGAACAGTTCCGCATAGGTCCTCTTCAGCTCGCCGGATCATCTGATGGCTGCTTGTGTGATTGCGGTTGCCGCCACGAGGGTGGTCTTGCCGGAGCGGCAATCTGAGCAGATCGCCTTGAGTTGGTCCTCGAGATTATGCAAGTCCTCGAATAAGCAGAAAACTGCAAAGGCATCATCGAACGATCTCTCCGCTTCTAACTCGAACACATCGACAGAGTTGGGCAACCGTTTGCCGGTCTTGGTAGCCGCAGTCAGGGCAACTTCTGTCGGAGTCAGATAGAAAGACTCGTCTACATCTTCGACTTCAAGGGCGGCGAATCGGTTCGTAAACCGTGTGAGCAACAGCGAGAGAGGAAAAGCAGACGGCTTACTCTAACCCAGCAGGGCTTTTCGATACCGGCTTCTTGGCCGCCGAATTTCCCGTAGCTTGAGTTGAAGAGGCCGGCTTTGCTGTGGTTTCCCATTCGAGCTTCGCGAGCACGTCCTGAAGTAAAGAGATGAAATAGCGATGTCCATCCTGGTCGAAGTCCGCCTTTCCCAGCTTGGCTGCTTCATACCAATGGGCGCATCTCTGGCGTGCTTCAATGGCTCGCTCGAGGTTAGTTTTGATGCTTGATGGCATTCGGACATTGTTCTTCGCTTGGGATATGGCTTCGGCTTGAGCCAGCACCTCTCTTGTCGACACATTGTACTTGACAGTCTTTACGTTTCCTGTCTCGGGGAGGGTTGGCTTGACCTGGACCTGTGCTTGCTTCTCCAACTTCCTTGCTTTCCCCTTCAGTCGCTGGGAAGATACAGGGGCACTGATAGGAGGCTCAGGTGCGTCCGGTGCCGTGGGCGTACGGAGCTCTGTCCCCTCTGCCGGCGTTGGCTTCTTGGCGGCCGGCTTGTAGCCGCAAGCCTCGTCAGCGGACCGCAGCCATGTCGTGAAGGCCCGCGTGTCGTCCTTGTAGCGAGTATAGCTGTTTGAAAGGAAATCTGGCAGCATCTTGCTCGGCAAATAAGCATCATAGAGTGGTGAGAAAGTCTCCAAGTCTAGAGTCGGTGAGTCTGAAAACGCTCGATGGGAATCGAGTGCGCAGTCTCCACGGTGGGAGAGTCACAGTGTGGCTTAGAGGCCCACATACCGTAGATACTGACCTGATAGTCAAAATACAGTAACTTTAAATGAATACCCCTATCTCCCTAAACGATTACCCCCTGCTCCGACCAATCATAACGCGTGCACCCAGCGCTCAACCCCACTGAAAGCTCAGTATCACCACTATCACCGGCGCTCTCAAGGACATATTCCCAATCAGGGGGCTCGCACCGCCCCGCAAACCCCCGGCTAACCCTAACTACCAACCCTAGCCTAACCCTACGTCGCTGCGGAACTTGCACTGTGTCAAAATGGCGAGATCATGGTTGGTACTTAGGGAGAGGTAGTGCGGCTAATCACAAGTCCGGGATGGTTTCCGACTGCGCTTAGATGGGTGTTCGCTTAGGGAGAAGGGGTATTCGTTTAGGGAGATGGACGTGGGTATTCGTTTAGAGTTATTGATCAAAATGCTCTGCTATCCCATAAGCTACATGGTCTCCGTCGACTCGAGACGGATATGAAAAAGAGTTCCTGTCATGCTCTATCCAGCAACATCAGCGTGTCACACCTGGACTCAATAAGCAGCTACAGTTCACTAGACGAGGTTGTAATACTATCAGTGGGTGATGTGACGGCAAGGGCTGACACAGCGTAGGGTGCCTATCTAACATCGCAGCAAGCACAACGTATACACAGGAGCGCCTTGCGACGACTCACATAGTCCTAGACACTCCGCTCTACGAAGCAAGCCTAAGTCATACCTCTCGCTACACATATCGCACCACCCACAGTGTACCCTAGGTTACTCTGTCGAAAAGCCATCAGACTCAACACACTTCAGGGTGTGTAGTACGAGAGGCTGAAGAGCACAATACAGCCTCGGATACGGCTGATGTGAAATGGCACACGCATGCGCACACGTCAGCCGCATGATGCGTGCAAGATAAACCATGGGGTTGGCTGTCGCACGGAGTATGCCTCAACGGTGCAGAGCCGCCGGATATCAACTCAACATGGAAAGTCGCGTATGGTCGCATCTGAATGCCACGTGGTCGTGTCAGTATTTATTCGTATCGACGAGGCTTGGTTCAGTGTTTCGTGAGCAACCCCCAATGAGTTGATCGAATAGGGCTGCCAATTGAGTGCTCTAGGGAGTACGGGACCACAAAGGGGGGGACTCGATCCCCTGGCCGCCGAACTCGACAGCCAACTCGCGCGGCCCGTTGGGCACGAGGACGGAAATCTCCGGGGCCAGCGGGATGGCGGCCATCGCCGTCACCAACGGCAGACCGTGGTCAAGAATAGAACAAGGTCAGCTCGGGGCCACATAAGGCCGGCCGGCCTGTGCCGCGGCCCTCGAGCTGCAGAAAAAACGTGCCCAACATGCTTCTCGAAAGATAGAGAGAGAAAAAACGTGCGGCGCGAACAGAGAGGAGGCCATGAGAGGTCAGCTGCAGAGGTAGAAGATTTGGATTTTTGTGCTGCATTCCGTTGTTGGCTGTTGGCTGTTGCTTCGGTCATCCCACTGCCTCACAGATCAGATCCCCAATGCCCTCCTGCTGAGAGTTTTTGTTGGTCAGTTCTGGCGAGTGGCAAAGACTTTTGGTAGATACACAGACCTATTTGGAATGTAATCAATGCATATCTTTCACACGCCTGACGTATGGTCCGCTTTCTGAGTCTAGATTGTCCCGCTCTGTCTGGTCGTTCGTGCACCTCACCCGGACTAGGACGGGTAGAATCCTTCGGCAGACGAGTTCGTTATTCGTCACATGTGGTACATGACAGCGCTATGAGACCAGTGCATGAAGACCACGCAGCTTTTCGAGGGTCGCGGTACCGCCTATCCCGAAATCGTCGAAGTCTGATGACACCGCACAGCCAGCGAGGCAGCTTGTTTCGCTGTATAAACTGTACAAACTCGTGTGTGCTGTATCGCATCAAGATCACACTTCCCAAATCAGGACGTATAATTACTGGTAGGGTTAGAGTATTATGGCGGGCTAGGCACGTGGATCGCAGACTACTTGAGTACATCTACCCTACGGGCACGGGAAGAACACTTCACCCAGAGTAGTTTGCAACCACAAGTGAGCTCAAATGGCGCAGTGTACGTGCATAGCGTTGTCACCCATCACATGAGGTACCTTGGGGAGTGATAGGCCAGGCCCAGTGACATTACTTTGATCGTCGATATCACTGGATCCCGCCTCTTCCAACCATTGCACATTTTCCTAAGCGCCGCAGGCTGTGTAAGATAAGACGAGAGGAAACATCATGCAAAAGAAAGATAGACCGAGTATGGTGATTGGCTGATTGCTCCCAGCCGATATCAATGAGCAATGCAAGCAGATATGAGTTGCACACCGGTAGGACGCAGGATTTCAACATATGATTGTCGACAGGATGCGCGCCGTGCCGACAGGATGCGCGCTGCGTTTGATCCAGCCTAACGATAGGGTAATTGGACATATGTCACCGATTGATCGCAACGACGGGGCTCTGTGGCATGACAAGCACGACAATTCGGTATTTACCACGGGAGGGTGTGGAGAGTTCAGGGGGGAAACCAAGTACAGTCTCGGGGATCGGTGATACTCGGTTCCTGTGACACAGAGCACCCGGGGATCGGTGACACTTAGTTACTGTGACACAGCCCCTACGGACTGCACAGGGTGGTCAGGAATGAGCTGATGTCGGCTGGTGTTCTCGTCTGCGGAGTTCTTCAGACAGTCGTGCAGCTGAAAGCGACCAGGCAGCTTGTTGTGATATAACTACTGGTAGGCAGGATGGAGTACTGATCGTATTGCAAGTCGCAGTCTGGCGCGCTTTCGGGCACTGCCTAGTACACGTTTCGGATGGGTGGACTGGTCCGTCAATCTGGACTTCTCAGTCAACGAGACTCGGTCTGCGTATAATCTGTCGTGTCGTCGTGGAATTTACCGCCACTGGCTGGTAAGTCCCATGCATAGAGGCTGACCGGCAATCTGGGGTCGATCCGCTTAGGGTGGGAACGAGCTGTGCGACCCTACATGCCTACACCACTGCAGATGACCTGCCGTCTGAAGGTGGAAGGAAGCCTCTCGAGCGTGACAGGTCCAGCAGCCGCAGCAGTGTAAGCGGTGCCCGGTGCATCAGATTTGCGGTAGATACCTCGAGCTCTCGTGGGGTGTGCGGCAGGTACAGTCAGCTCGTCTCAGATAGATAGAAACCCTCAGTTGACAGCCAATCTTCGTATAAGACTCTGCATCGATGGTACACTATGATCTATAATTGTAGGGTCGCATGCGAATTTGCTCTGTATCGCAGCATTGGGTCGCGCTCTCGTCTATATTAGGTACTGTCAGTAGGAAGGCTCAGGTACGACGAATCTGCCAATCATTTCGAGCAAGCGGACCCGGGCAGATCCTGCGACCATGTCGGTTAATAGGCAGCATGTATCCCTCCAACGTTAGGACGTAGATCGACTGAGCCTTTGAGGCAGGTTGGCGTTCTCGGCTTGGCACTGATTGCAGTCGCCACTATTAGCCAAGAGGGACGCGATATTCTCCAGTGCAATTAGAAACTTCATGATTATCACGCAGTTGTCCGTCATACGTGACACCGGCTCGGGGGTATATGGACTGACATTTTCCCCGAGCTTGCAGTTAGCGCATTCGCATGCTGCAAGGCTTGACGAGCAGATGGTTCCGTACTGACCTGGTGTCGTGATTTCATACGTCCACAAGACGTCGTGATGCTTGCATCGTGATATCGGGCTCGTACCGAACTAATACACGCTGCCCGCATCGTCGTTGCTATGATCCTGGGACGAAGGAGCCTTAAGACCCGGATGTGAGCCCCTATGAGAGGAGGGGCAGCGCAGGCATCCCATTACCAGCAGATCCTGCGGATACGGTGCTCTTCACATACGTCGACCCTATCAAGCAGAGAGAGGAGAAAATGCTGGGACAGATCAGCCTATAGGTCGGCGTGGCCATACTCATGATAGATTGGCCGCGCGCCTCGGGAAAGCAGCCACGGCTGCTGTGAGCGGGACATGGTGGCTCCCGTTCTCGCTTCGTACCTCGCACGTGCTGTAGCATGTTCCTAGACGATGTCAGCACTGCTTTGATCCATCATGACGTGATAGGTGGCGAGCACAAGATCCAAAGCATTTGCAGAATCTACAAGAGGCCAGATTCCGTGGCTTGGCCAGCTCGGAACAGGGATACAGATCTTGTTCTGGACTTGGAGGAGCGACGCGGTGTATTGAAGGCGGGCATTGACCAACGATCGGAAGGACGGGGCGGCAGGCATGGAGTTCCATCGCCCAGCCCAGGTCCGTGTCATTGGATGCGATCGGTAAGAGAGTCCCCGTTATTTTAAGCGAGGCTTACTCGGATATCGCGCATGGCGGGGGCTAGGTATACGGTAGGCACACGGTAAATGAAGTGGTCAGGCGGAGGGATGGTGAGGTTGACTCCTGATTCTTGGGTTGAAGAGCAGGTGGTGGATGCATGGCAGGCCTGGTGGATTGGGGGTCATGAAGTGGTTATTATTGGTGCTGGAAGCGCCTCCATTGCAACCAACCTTACGTTGAAGTGTTGCCCGGGGCAGAGGCTAGCAGTCGCCACCCTGATGGCTGATGGCGGCAGAGGTGTGGATCAGCTGTGGCTCAGCAGCCTGGGCTGCCTGGTGAAACCCCCAGGCCCCCGAGGATCGGCTCCCAGGGCTGCCAGGCACCAGGCACCACAGGGCTGAGGGCCGTGCGACACCAAGGGTCAAGCTGTAAGCGCCACCTACCAGCCCGCTAAAGCATGGTACTTCGCTGACTCCCGCCAGGCTGGCTTACCCTCCTCCATCCTCCATCGTACAGGTTGAAGTACCTTACCTTTTCTGTCCTTCTGTACGGCCGTACGTGCCCATCTGCGCCACTAGTAACTCCGTAGGAATACCCCGGATGTACGATGCTTGCATCCAGAGCCCGCCGGGGCTGCGTTGTGATCATCGGTACCGACCGTTGTCGTTGTGGCCATCGGTGGGTGTCGTCAACGAGAGCGAGATGCGAAGCTTTTCCGCAGCATTCGCAGCATTCGCAGACACAGTCGGGGGCCAAACGCTGACCACGCCACGTGGCCAGACGCGAGCACCTCTCGACCAAAGAGCAAACCGGAATCACGTCCCCTGAAAGAGTCGATCTGTTCTTTATCATTCCTCAGCTGCCGTCAACGGTACATGCCTGGCCTTAGTTGGCAGCTCCGGAAAATGAGTGATCCAACTCGGTGCCAAGCGGTCTCCAGTTGCGCACTCACTCCCTTGAAACAAGAATGCCTTACCAGTTGGTTTCCGGCATCGTCCCTCTTGGCCCCGCTCATTGAGAGTCTGGGTCTCTGAGTCGAATCCTACAGACACCCATCCCATGCTGCCAGCTCCACCAGCTTGGCGGTGCTGTCTCTGATGATGGCACTGGGGTATGGCGCGTGAGGCGTGTAACAGCCCGCACCTACCGCGCCACGGGACGATCATCAGTCGAGCAGCTCTACCAGGTAGCAGCAATGCTGTACGCATTGAGAATCCCGATGACTAACTTCATGATCTGTGCAGCTAGCTTGCGCCGCGAACGCGAACGCGAGCACCAGGGTGGAGCGCACCGGAGCCCCGGAGGCCCATAGGCCCAGCCTGTGTGCCTACCCCTGATAGCTGAGCTTCCCTTCATTCCCGTCCGTGTCATGTTGCAATTCCTTTTGACAACCTGCAGGTCGAAACGCGGACATGATCTCGTTTCTACGGCGGAGGAGTGCAGTTGGCATGAGAGCACAGTCATATTCGTTGCGACCCCCAGGCACACAGCTGGGGCCTGCTCGGATACAGGTCATCTGGTTTTCTACGCCTCACCGGTCTTTACATACTCGCCAGTGCCTAGCATCGGGGCACTACCGAGTCCGAGCCACCTCTTCACGCCGAAGCGTTGGTTTGTTGTCATCCGCTCCTGCGATGCTTGAATGAAGGGAAAGTAATCTTTTTCAAGTCCTGCTGCATACTAACCCGCATTGGGTTGGGTTGGAGGTTTGCTGTTCTTCTCCTGTTGTACTGTCGTACGTCCTATTTCTGGCGAAATGACCCAATGTATCAGAGGAGCATCGACAAGGCGTACACACGTGGGCTGACTACCATCGTATACCGAACGTAGTATACACCCAAAACACACATGGTGTGGATCCTTATGGCGTCCCGCCCGCACATCATCCTCATAGGGCTGAAGCACTGCCTGACAGGCAGATCATCCGTCCCGATTAGGACCGGGCAGCGGTCGCTGCTTACTCTACGGCACATACTTCGAATATATAGCTCAGTTATTTCCTCTGTGGATGTTGATATTTCTTTCTGGACATCAATCAAACACTCACAGCATCCGCACTATTCGGCTTTCCGTCTTCATACAGAACAGGTCATCTGTCATCGGTCATCAGCTGTACTGGTAGGTCACTGCCATTGTCACTTCAAATCCCCTACACGTGCTAACCTGTCTTCTCAGACAACATCACAAAGGCCGGCCATCAAGTGAAAGCTTGAACTGTCACACATATCCAGTCGTTTGGTCCGAGATTTTCGAGCGCAAGTCAACCGGTACAGCAATCGGATCAGCCTAGAAGCTGAAATCCTCTTTCAAAAATCCGAAGAAAGAGTACACCAGCTCAGTTCAAGTCACTTCCCCCTTCAACTACGATCAAGATGCCCGAGGGAACCGACACCACCTCCAACGACACTGGGTCCCCCAGCCCGGATACTACTAGCGAGCCTACAAGAGGTAGAAGCCGCAGCGGTTACAACTAGAAGGATCGGCCACCGAGTACGAATACCAATGGAGCGGCATTTGCAGGAGTGGGAGTTCAGGGTGTGTGGGTGTCATTCTTCTCTTCTCGACGCTCATTGAAGCCATTTCTTCGGTAATCTGGCTGGAAAACTTGACACATCTGGAGGGGACTCGAAAGGGCGTCTTTTTGGTCTTCCGGTTAGCTCCAGGCTAGCGTTGTAAGGATTATCAGGCAGGCGAGAGGGTATAGACACGTCCCGGCTTGCCAGATTAAGGGGCTTTTTACGAGGCATTGGGTCAAGGTTACATATCGCAGGAGTCGTCTTCGCAGACACTGGTTCGCTTTCTTTCCTTTTACTCATATAATATGATTCCCCCTTTGTATTCCCATAGACATAAGACAAAATTCCATCACTTTGCTCCCCAACAGAATAAACCCGCCTGTAGGAACAGGCTTGAACGATCAATCATAATACTCGAGTATGGGGTCAAGGTCATGATGTTGCTGATGGTTGGATTGGGAGGTCTAGCTGGACCTGAAGGTCTGGCTAAGTGACCTCGCAATCCGGTATCTAATCACTTATCTAATCATACATGTGGGTCTTGGTATAGACGGTTTGCAGGCTGGAATCGCATGGATCCAACACCGCCTGACCCTATTCCCGGCACTGCGTCCATATCACCTTTGCGGCACAGTCCTCTGGCATACCACGACCGCATGACTCACGGCACAGCAAGGATTCCTTAGCCCCTTCAGAAGAATGACGAACTCGGAAGTTCAAGATGCTGCGGTCGTCGGAACATCCCGTTCGTTACATTACGAAGGATCTCGTATCGCTCGCGCAGCAACGACAGGGGGTCCGACATGGTCCACGTATACTCCACGAAGCGGCAACACTTGGTATAAGATAAACTGGCTGACTAAAGTATAGATTGGTTTCTCGGCTGTGCTGTTGTGCCGTACGGCGCGAAGAAAATGGAGCAGGGACTGGAGAGCGGCGTAGCCTGCCGCCGTTCGGCCGACCAACCGACCGACCATCGGCTCACCACGGGACCCGACGGACTCCGGCCAGCCGGCGTCCGCATCAAGTCTTTCTTAAAACATTAGTGACACCACGGTTTCGCTGGCCAATCACACAACAAAATTCGCCCCGCTCAAATCGACCTTTTCCTCTGCAGTATTCCAGCCAGTGGGTGCATTTGAACGATTTTTATATGAGACGAACCGCAATACCGCGATGCATCTTTCTACCCAACAGAATGGCTTTTTTATTCACGTCGCCGTCGCTGGAATTGATTCAAAGTGGTGATTGTGAGCCGTGCGCACTGCTGTGGCGCTGTGGCTATCTCCCCCCAAAACTTCCGCCTAATGGCAGCAGAGCCGCTCGCGGCGTCGCCTGCCGCCAGCTGGCTACAGCTGGACCAAGAAGTCATGCTTAAGCCCACACGCGAAATGCGCGAAGCGCGTTGAGAAGCTACAAAGTAGCTGGTTTCGCTTGATCAGATTACTAACCTAGAGCTGACTATGCGGCGCCTAGGTATCCGATGAATGGACGCTTTTACAGCTTACGGACTGTGAACTTTGACTTCTGTTTTCTTACTACTATGCTTCCTGGTCGCATTTGACGGAGCGGTTTGGGAGCGCTACCTCCCGAGGTTATCCGACTTGACCACGCGAAGAGAGGGGGTTGTTTCACAACGCGTAGGTATGAGTGTTCGCACACAACTGGCCTGGCCTATGTGACTTTGTCCTGGATGCAAGAGCGGCACGAACACGGCGTGGCGTGAGAGGCGACGCTGGCTTCAGATGCCCTTGAACCAGGGCTGACGAGGCTCTTCTTTCGCGTATTTACTCCATGCGGCCACTGCACCATGAGCTCGCTGGTTGGGGGCCTTGCCTGCAACATTCACGATTCGCTCCAGCCAACACGCACGACGATCCAAGGGTGCGCGGCCCAATGCATAAATTATGCTGGTTGAAGGCATCAGCTATCTAAGTCGGGAGCATGTAAGTAAGCTGAGTCATCGCCCCAAGTTTGAGGATGGTGGATTGAGTGATGCTGATTATGTAGGTACGCAATTAGAACCACCACGCACTAGGACGGTGATGACCAGGATCGGGGACAGCTGCCTGGCTCGCTTTGCGCTGCAGCTTACTTACCCAAGAGTATGTAGGTACCTGCATTGGGATCCCCCATTATGTGGAAGTCCAGATGACTGTGTCCAGTACTCATGATCATTGGCAGCTTGACCAGCAGCTAACCTTGGATGTGTACGAACAACTTTTCACAACTCCGAGCAGCGTCTTGGGGTTCGCATTTATTCGCATTGTACCGCAAGATCATGGTCACGTTACCCGGGCCTCGTACCGGTCAGCGATTGCTTCGAACATGCGTCTCTGCCGTGCTGACAACAAATAATAATAAAATAATAATTGAATTTAGCAAGCTGCTGATCTCAGAGCGCGCTTACGGCGTTCTTCGCGTAGTGGTGATACGGGAATGCGCCCCTAAAGTCGCGTTCCAGAAGGGCAGGCAGCAATGGCTCAATGGGGGAAGGCAAAGGGGTGCGGGCATATATATCCTAACGTGAGCAAAAACCAGCATCTGACATTCCCCCACTGAAAGGTGCGCGGTAAAGTAGTCGCCAGGACAAACCGACAGAGTGACTAGGCTAGATGACCTAGCCGTCCGGTTTTCCGGCAGTATATGCTGATCTTGGCGGACTGCTATTCTTTTTGTGATTCGTTCCCGAGGGGTCTGGGGTTCAAATGACACCTGTAGTCGATTCTGAATTTTTGAAATTTGATTTCCACTTTCCCTCATTTCGTTCACCCCCCAGCACACGAACACAGTGATCGCCTTTTCACCATACTTGCGCAGAGGTCAAACGCTCATCGAACAAACAGGTCAAGCTTCATTCCCTTCATGCAACCTTGCAAATCCTGATTTTGCCGATCGGCATTCGTGCCCCATGGCCAACGCGGCCAATCCTGCCACGCCTCGAATGTCCCCGGAAAGACTTTGGCTACGCCGTACCAGCAAGCTTCGCGGCAGCAAGACCCGCTCAGAACGAGAACATCGCCGGAGCGGACGTGGATAGCCGCATACCGGGTGCCATTGGTGTTTGGTGATACCTCTACCTCGTTGCTTTTGGTCTCAACGGGAGGGGAAGTCGGAGGTCGCGAACTTTGCGATTTCGCTTTCGGCTTGCTACTTCCCTCGTCTTCTTCTTCCGATGAACTGAGTCCAGTGATAAAGTCGCGCTGCCAACTCTCATCGTCGTACGTCGGTAGTGGCGGCGGTGGCAGTTCTCCAGATTCGTAAGCTACAACAAAGATTCCATCACATCCCAGGGAGACGTTAACGACTTGATTCCCGTCTTTCTTGCCTTGTCCGAGCCCGTCAAACGGACCATCGGCAGAGGATACGTGCACCGTCCCGGCTTCAGGTCTGAACTGTAGAGTATACTCGAGTAGATCTCTGATCCTCGCCGGCATGTCACCTGCTTCAGCTTGTGAGACTTGCTCCGAGTCTTTGCCTACCGTAAACCACCTCAGCTTCTGCACAAATTGCCGTATGCCGATAGGCGGAGTTGCCCCTATCTCGTGCGAGTGGGACAGCATCTGCAATCGGGAAGCTGCTGGACTGAAAAAGCTCGCCGCCGTCGCTGCTTGCTCCTCCTCGGCGTTGGTGGACGACATAGGGTAGACGACGCTGTAGTCTGCATGCAGGTTCGTTCGATTGGCTGGGTTGGCTAGCTGATTGTGAAGTAACTCATCGATAAGTTCTGAGTGAATCCGCGTGCCGCAAAAGAGCCTAGGGTAAATGTGTAGTCCTGGGGTGGTGTCAATTGACATGATATGCTCTCATACATTGAACAGGTTACGTGCAGCCACAAGGCAGCTCACCTGGGAACCCTTCTACCGCTCGGATCCCATCCGCCTGAACCGAATGTGGGTGTTTACCGCTGCCGGCACAGTACACGCATCGTCCAGCAAAGTCAAAAAAAACCCCTTGAATGTCGTACCACCGGTCTTGAAATGCGCTTGCTTTCCTTAGATCGATGCATAGCGGTGACTGAATAGGTGAGGCTCGGGGATCAATGTAGTACGGCTGCTGGACCAGTACGTCTCTGCTCTTCGACTGGATCTGTTCGTAGAAGGTCTTGATATGGGACGGAGGCTCCGCGGCTGCCATCTTGATGAGTCGCCCGCCGAGGACGTACTCAGAGCAGGCGGTTTGTGAATACAGCAGTCAGCAGCCTTTGAGCAAAGGGCCAGTCACCAACCGTCTCAAGAGCGCCATGAGGATGGCTCAGAGTGAGTGAGAGAGCGAGCCATCTAAAGATAAGCTAGCTGCTGTCGTGAAAGGTGGAAGTTGAAACGGCCTACCCCTGATCAGAATGCCGACCTCGTTCCTGTCTGAGTCTCTGCCTTGCTGGCTACGCGCTCTGCAGATGTCGCCATTGCGGGGCAGTCACATGACCAGCACACTTGGCCAGTTTCACAGCTCGATGTTGTTTGGGATCCCTCCCTTTCAGCTTCATCTCACAATTCAGTCTCGATTCAATGTCTTATCCTCCGCCACACTTTTGCTTGAGATCTCGCGTCTGAGGCCGCACATCCCGTAAACCATTACAGTTCGGTGGCTTTATAAGTCCATCTGTATTCCTCGTACAATGTGATCTTGCTCATCCACCAGACACCAGCCATGCGCTACTGATGTGCCTGCGGCTGTATCTCAACTGGACGTGGATCCGCCGCACGAGATGAGGCTGACCTTCTCGGCTCTGGCTTCAAATGGCTTCCTGCGACGTATGCAAGAACCTCTGGCCTGGAGACCCAGAGGAATTCCTGAAAGGCAGACATGGTTACTTCTCCTTCACTTTCGGCGAAGTCAAGCACTCCGCTCGAAAGGGTGATTGCGCTGAATGTCGGCTCCTGCACCAGGCTTTGGAGTGTCACATACTGTTGATTTCTCAGGTAGATGAAACTCTCAAAATCCATGTTGCAGTCGAAATGAGCTGTAATCCGACTTTGGAGTTTGGTGAGCAACGACGTCCAGGATGGCAGAGATTCGAGCTGTACAGGGCGCTAGACGAGAATACCGAGGGAGCCTCGTCTGCACCAACAACCATACGAGCTGCTCCGGTGGCCGCATCCCATTCAGGCTCATCACAATGTCTTGACCGTGCTGCGAGATGGCTGGCCGATTGCGGAGCGTATCATACTCCCTGTTCCGACGACACAGCACGGCCCTTGCCAACGAGAGTTATCGAGATCTCCCAAGAGGCAGATGGTCGTCAATTGAAATTAAGGCTAGTCGATGGGCAAGCACGGACATTGCCTTACATGGCGCTGTCTTATTGCTGGGGAGCGCCGGCCCTGCATCGCGCCGCCACGACTACCACGGCGAACGTCGAGAGGCATCAATCGTCGTTAAACCTAGCAAGTCTACCAGCGACTATCAGAGATGCGATATCCCTGGCGAACAGCTTGGATTTCTCTTACGTCTGGATCGACTCTCTTTGCATCATTCAAGACGATCAAGAAGACTGGGCTCGCGAAGCTGGCATGATGAGCCAGGTATACAATAACGCAGCGTTGACGTTAATTGCCAGTCGAGCAGCCGGGTCTTCAGATGGACTGTTTGGGCAGCAGACCTTTAGCGATACTATTGGAGAAGTGCCTTACAAAGGGACCATGGTACACGTGAGGCACGGCGTCCGACACAGGCACGGCGTCCGACACATCCGTTGGGCAGGGGACGACCGCGAGCCTATCACCAAGCGATCCTGGGCCTTACAGGAAGCTGTGTTGTCAAGGCGAGCGCTCTACTATACATCGCAAGGACTTGTATGGTCCTGCAACGAACGGCAGGACTGCGAGTCTAGAATGAGGACTCGCCCTTGGGAACCATACGGCCCCAATGAGCTCCGCAGCCTTTGTATTAGAGAGAAGTTCGCCAGCTTGGGCCCAGACGGCGCGTACGACAAATGGCACCACATAATCGAGGCCTACTCCGGACGCGAACTCACATTTGACAAAGACAGACTCACGGCACTCTCTGGCTTGGCCAGACAGTTCGCCGCAGCGTTGGAGGACTGCTTCGGGCTGACTGACACGTATGTTGCTGGCATGTGGCGAAGCCGTTTAGAGGCGTCCTTGCTCTGGACTGTTGAGAGATCCGGCAGCAGGCGACTCAAGGGCTGGCAGGTGCCGACCTGGAGCTGGGCCAGCGTAAAGGCACCCGCTTGGTTTGTGAGGAGTCACGGAGAGTGCATTCGAGTGCTCCAATGCTCTATCACCCCACAAGACCCAGATTTGTACGGTCAAATTCTCTCCGCTCAGCTTACGCTGAAGGGGCGTGTGTTACACCTGATCAACATAGAAGCAGCTTAGTAAGTACATTGCCGTGCTCGCATGTATTCGTAGAACATCACTGACAGACACCTCGAGCCAGCCCTGAGTTCTCGTCTACCTGGAGGCAAAACCCATATCTTCTCAAATTCCAGCACCTACGCCTGTGCCATTTCTTGCCCGACGTCAAGTATGATGTCGGCCATGAACCGAAGAGTGTGACAGCTCTGATCCTCGAGGTCCCAACTAGATCCGAACGTCATTGCCTCATGGTCCTGACAACAGTTGGAGAGCTTGGGAGCCCGCCGAATGCACGTCTAGGTATCGCTTTCTGCAGCCCAAGGGAAGTGTCAAAAACGGGAGATTGGCCCGCAGTCAAGGACTGGCTTGCGACAGCCATTGAAGAAGAGCTCGAAATAGTCTGATGATACTCCCTAGGGACGGTACCTCCCGATGGTCAGTCGTTAGCTGAGTCGCAGGCCAAGCCCGTCTAGCTTGCCCTGGTGAAGAAGAAGGTGGAAAGGCAGTCTCGGTCCATCAATCACCCCTTGCCAAGCTCAAAAGACACTCATATTAACATTAATTAAGTTTGTCGGACCTTAGGCAAGCCCTATAATCCCCACCTACACCCAAGGCTAATCGCCCCTATATCGAACCGCGAATGTTCGGAGCCGTCCGCACAGCATTATCGTTGGACCATCCTAGTATCAAGAAACTAGACGTGCCTTAGTTCCGCGACCGTTTGACGACGTTTTTATGTCCCTTATGAACCTGTGGTGGATGGAATTCATACCATTCATGGGGTTGCAAAGATGTTGGCCAGACCGCCCGATAAGACAGGATATACTAATGGAGGGATGTTCGAGCATGATTCAAGTAACTACGATGGAACACAGGCGGGATCAGTTATGGGTCCTACATACTAGTCATATTGGCTAATGGGTTTGAGGATCTACGACGACACGAGCTTCACTGGCAAGCCAAGGTAACTTGCACCGACAAGATGTGTGGTTCAGAGGCTATTACGTTCTCTCCACATACGATCAACCAATATGCTCCACGTATCTGTTCCACTCGGCATCCGCACTCAGCGCCTCAAAATCGACATCCGTCAAACAAGCCACGGCATCGCAGTCGCCCTCCGGCGTTTCAGGAAACAGCACCAACGTGCTCGGAAACGGAATGCTCGGCGGTCGCCGGACGAACTCGGGCGTGCCCAGCCTGCCGAAGCTAGGAAACACGCCCGGCAGCCCGCAGATCGACGAACAGCCGATATCCACGGCCGGCTGGAACTTGCCCGCGTACGTGATGGTTGACTTGTCCGGCTCGCGCGCGATGAACGTCGCGAAGCTGCGGGGGTGGTACAGGTTGTTGGTCTCGTTGAGGCGCTTCCGCAGATGCGACGCCACCGTCGATAAGGGCGCGGAGGTGAGCTCTTGGAACGTCAGCCAGGTGGACACGGTATGCGCTACTTCGCCCATGTAGTTAGGCGGGAGGCCAACGAGCTTGCGCCCGTCGATCTGCCGGCCGAACCGAGACTTCGTGTCGGGCGGGAAGCGGTTCTTTCGGACGGCGATGAAATGCTTCCAGCAAAAGGCACAGACCGCATCGTCGGTAGAGATGAACGGCACGTTCTTGTCGAAGCCCTCGGGTCTTCTCGCGAGCTGCTTGAGCTGTTCCATCTTAGACGCCTTGAAGCGGAAGACGTGGTATCTTGCCGGAACAGACGGCGCAAGGGGCGCTGACGATGTGAGTGGTGGGCGAATGTGATGACTGTGGTCTAGCATTGGTTCGTGCGCCTCGAGTAGGGGCACGACGTTCCTCCTGTCCGTGTTGGCCTGCTCCAGCAGCGCGGGTGGGAAATCTTCGCCTCGCATCGCCATGGCTACCAACTTCACGAAGCCAAAGTGCCCTCCGGCATCTGCCATATTGTGCTCGATGGCAAAGTCGAGCACCACACCTCCCTGGATGAAGGTCGCCTGCAAGCGAACGACGTGCGCCGGGCTCTCGTCTGAGTCCTCGAACTTTTGCGGGAATCCGGGAACTGGCGTCAGCAGGTTGGTATCTATCAGGCTTAACGGCCCCTTCTGCTCCCGGATCGAATAGTAGGCGGGCATGGCATTAGACGCATCTTGGAAGTCGATGGATTTCTCTTGCAGTGCGCACGCGATGGGTCGATAGATTCCAGAGTTGCCCTCTTTTTTGCCAATATAGACGACTCGTGCTCCCATCCACGGAACCTCCTGTCTGACCTTGGTCACCGCTGCTTCCAAATCGCAGATAATGTCTTCCCTGGGGACGCCTTCTGGCATGGGGAAGAAATAGAGGATGTGAGAATAGACCTGCAGCATCGGCAACTGGCCGAGCGCATCTTGGTAACGGTCGAGGTCGAGGTGCTATTCCATTGCGTATATGTGGATCACTTCCGAAACCGATGTAAAGATCTGTGTCTGTCAGGAAGCAGGGTAAGTCTAGCCTCAATTCAAAAAAATCGAGATCAGTGAGCTTTTACTACACAGGCACGAAACCCGAAAGAAACTTCTTTGACATTTACTGGGAGTTTCAGGCGGCTGTCAGAGCTCGCATAGGTGTCATACCGGCCGGGCCAAAGCACCAGGCGGACTTTCGTGCCGGGCCGGAGTAACGCTCAGGTCCGAATGCACCCCGACTAAAACTGACTGCAGCCGAATTATCGTGGTAATGAGTTACGGTGGTACAATGTCTGGAGATCTCCTTGTCTATGAGCGTCTGGTAACAGATGATGGGTGAAGGGCTGCTCAGGCGTTCTGGCCCACTGCTGAAGCACGACGACTTCTAGCAATGAACAAGGCCCTTCTTGGATAAGTCACATACTATCTCAACTGCACTATGCATTTCCGACTCTGTGTGAAACGTAGACCTTCTCTGGTGACGCAGCCGACTTTAGTTACGAGCAAGTCTTACGAGCAAGTCACAGGAGATGCGGTTCAATGGATCGCAGGGATACCGTGTCGTAGTCGTGGACTTCACTAGGTTACAGGTAGATCTCGATTTCCATCACGAATGCACCAAGGATTTGACAGTACTATGCGGGCCTTGCCGCATTTTATTCATAGCAAATAACCAAGGAGTTAAATCTAGACGCAGCGGCGCCGCAGGCCAGACTTTACGCCTGGCGACCGTAAGTTACTGGTTCGATGCGGGTCCGAATCGAGGCGTGAAGCCTGCACCGCCTACGGAGCCAGTCACTCGACCTCAATCAAGCACCGGTGCCCCCTTGGCATCACCAGAAAGTTGATATGTGGTTCCATCTCGCTCTCTGGCATGCCGTCCTTGCTCGACGGCTTAGCTGTCGGGAATGCCCTAAAGAACAGAGCCGTGCAGAGCCGCAACTCCATACGGGCCAGGTTGAGGCCAATGCAATCTGCGTATGCTGGGTCAGTTGCATTTCCTCAGTGGTGTGGGAGGAGTCTCAGCTCACTTCGAGGCCCAATGCCGAAAGGCATGAATGCGTTCTTCGCCTTGTCGGTTGGGGTCTCCCAGCGAGAGGGGTCAAACCTTCGAAGATATGTCAGCATGATGCTCGCATGTGCTTTGGGAACCGTCCGGTGCATACTTCTCGGGATCTGGGAAAGCCTCTTCGTTTCGATGCATGCTGTAGTTCTGGGTTGAGAATGATGCGCCGCCTGGGAGGTGGAAGCCGGCTAACTTGCCTGCTTCGGGCGGAATGACTCGCGGCAGGGCACCCTGAGATGCCCCATACAGACGGAACGTCTCTTCGAGCTCCAGATTCAGATAAGGTAGCTCTCGGACATGACGGTGAGTGAAGTCCTCGGGGAGTGTTTGCAGTTCTCGGATCAATTTGTCGTGGACCTCTTTGTCTCGCGACACCGCGTAGATGAGGTAGGTGAGCGTTACTGCCGTGGTATCCGTGCCAGCCGTGATGTACTATTGGGATTCAACCGTCATGTCCTGCGGCGAGAGCTCTGTCTTCAAAGCACCGCTCTTGACCAAGCTGGAGAACAGGGTCCTTTGTGCGCCTCCAGGGTTGTTCTCGACCAATTTCATGTACGCTGCGGTTTGGTTGGCCCCGTACGACACTATACGATGCCGCGTATGAGCCACGTTGTTGAAGAACTTGAAGAGCGGCACGTATCCAGCGAGCCATATCAGCCAGGGGAATGCTCCACGCAGCGGAAGCAGGGCGCCCATTTCCGCGATGTCTTCAGCGTACTGGTTTTTCTGGTGCGGTGGCCGGTTAGCAAGCTTCGCGGACTCAAGCAGGACAGGGCATTCACCTTTCCGATCTCAAGCATGTGGAATGACTCGCCGAAACACAGTTCGCTGATGACGCCCATGGCGAAGAGTGTCCACCAATGCAATATGTCAGTGCACTGCTTCGTTTCGAGCTCCTTTGCCATCTTAGAAATGGTCAACCGGCTCCCCCCATAACAGCCGGTTCCAGGTTACCCAACAGCGAAGCATGGTCCCAGAATGCGGCGACGGCCAGCATGGAATATGGGGTCCAGTGCAGAGAAGACACTGCGTACATTCGCGCCCACGTAGAAATTGGGGTCTTTCAGATAGCCAAACCTCGCCTTGTGGATATCTCGAGCGCCTGCGACGTCACTGACATCGACACTGTTTGGCCCTACTCGAAAGACGGGGCCTGGTGCCGACTTAGTAACTAGGTCGCAGACTTGAATGCGTGGCACTTACCGTACTGCTCATGAAGCGAGTGCATATATCGAGCCTTGGAGCCGTTGAGCAACCTGAGCCTCACGTGCAGGTCTGTCCACCTGGATAGAAGAGGCCCAGGAACGGAAGACAAGGGGTTTGCGAAAGCGGTGTAAAGAGTCCACTGGAGGCCGGAATTGTTAGCAGCGCGCCCCCCTATCCAACGCAATCTACTTGCCAATGCGTATAGGCCACCAATACTCCAGAACAGGTTGAAGCCAGAAAATTTTGGCAGTATGCCGCCGACTGGATCGTCGAATAGAGCCATCTTGATTGAGTCAGCAACCGTGACGAAGGTCTAAACACTAGGGTCTGTTGGAGTGTTGATTGCCGTCTTCTTTCGTTAATTGAATAGCATCTCTGATCATGTGAGGAATGGCCAAATAGTAAGATCTCATGATTTGTCACTTGCGTTGCTGCGTATGGCTGTGAGGGTCCTGGAGGTGATGTGGTTGTAGTGCTGACCAATATCGCGGAGTTACTCCCGGACTTCAGAACAGGGTCCCGCACAACCTCGGAGCGCTCTGGAAGGCACTTACCAGAGAAATCCCGATAATGGTCGCGGGACTTACTCAGGTGTATGACTAGAAGCTCATGCAAGGGTCTCACCTCATGTATGAAAGTCCCCTCAGCCTTACTACGAGTTGCGCCGGTCCTGTACGCGAAACGTGGTCGGGACGGGACAGCTTTGGTGTATGGGAGTAGAGACACCACGTGGGGGATGGTGTAAAAATAGAAGTGCTGCCTGTAACCATATTGCTCTGATCTGGCCTATGAGCAGGGTCAGTCACCTGTTTTGTTTGTTTGTTTTGTATTTAACGTGGGGGGTAGCTCCTCAGTAGTGCAAACCACGCCTCCCAGAGCCTTTGTATCGCAGGGTTGTGGAGGTCTCAAGATAATAAGTACAGTCAGTCCCGCTCACGGGCCCACCCCCGTTGTTGCGGCGGTATGACCTTGGGTCATCCATCTGGTCCTCCAAGAACAGCTATCTATCGAGGGCAGATTGATGAAAAGAATTTGCTCTTTTCCACGAATTTTGCCCATTCTGTGCTCCTCTCCCCTGAGTATTATAAACAAGTTGTCCTAGGCGAGTACCTGGACAGCAACCGATTTTTTCCCAGCCTCTTACAAAAGAAAATATGTTGTGATGTTTTCTTTTCACCACAGTTGCAGTGATCATTCGAGTCTGTATGCCCAAAGCGTTCATAGTATCTGGCAAAGTCGCCATGTCCAGATCTGGCCGCTAGAAGTCTGTATAAAGTACTCCTCTTAAAAGATATAAGGTCTTTTTCAGTTACTATATGTGAGTATACTTCTTGATACCTAGGTTCTGATTGGTCTTTTCACCATTGATTGAACTCTTTCTTGCCCTTTCTTTTGAGATCTCTCTTGACCCACGAGATTGTGGGAAGGTTTGTCGTGTCTGATTCTAGCATGGCATCCTCTTTTGCTAGTGTGTTGGCAGCTTCGTTACCATCAATATCTCTGTGTCCAGGAATCCACTTGACGGTCACTCCAGGAGTGTGTGCCGTGGCAAGTTCTTGGAATCGTAGAAAATTGTTCTGTGATGTCTCGGGTGGAGTCCCATGGCAGCTCCAAACAGATTGGTCGGTCCTCTTGGCATGGTGTCAGATTCGTGGGCTTCGCTCGGATTCGCGATCCATACCAATACAAGTCGCTTCATTGACATCGTCTGGGCATGCTGTTCGAGGCCACCCACTTTGCCCAGCCTCAATGTACATGGAATGTGTCGTCATGGCCCCTCAGATGATCAAAAACGAGATTGCTGCGAAAAGGTGCTGGAGAGTTCTTGTCCTGGAATTTTGCCTTCTCCAGCTCTCCTAAGCACAACCCCAAAGCACGCTCCACAACCCACACCAAGGGGAAGTTCAGCGTCACCTCGAAAACAGAATTTCACCTAACTGAACGTATCATGGCAGACCGAGTCCAGAAAATCCTGACTGACCCCCAAGCAGAGAAGTTCATGGCAAACAGAGCTTACGCCCTGTTTTCGCGCGTTGTGAATTACTCGGAATGCATGCGTGGGATCGTATCGATCACCATGTTAGGCAATCACGCCGTGGCGAAAGTGCAGCGTCCGATTGTCCCCGTGAGCAGTGCTGAGAGTACCGCAGCCAAGCTATGCGACACAGTTGCTCTGGATACTTTCATCTAGGTTATGGGGTTGCTGATCAACACTAGCGACAGCTGTCCCGGCGACGAGGTGTTCATCGCAACAAGCATCGACAGCATCATTATGCAGGACTGTGACTTCTCCGGATGTGATTCCTGGACAGTGTACGTCATGTCGTCGTCACAAAGCGGAGCACAGGTGTCTGGGGATTTGCTCGTGTTCACCAGCGACCAGAGGCTCGTCCTGACGGGCTCCGGCATAAAGTTCACGAGATATCCCATCTCTAAGCTCGAGAAAGTGTCCAGGAGAGTTCAGACAGCCACCGAGAACCCAAAGCCAATCCTACAGAGAAGCCGACCTTGGGCCAGCGGGCTGGCATGGGTGCGAACCCCACCACCAGAGTCGAGATTGCGCCCGAGAATCCAAGCGACACCACCTAGATCGGTGGTGATTTGACCAAACTACCAGCAGTCAAGGTTGCAGTGAGGCAATTGACGCCATCTGACTCAACAGACGACGAAGTTGTGATTGTGAGCAGACCGAGCGAGACACTTCATTCGACCCAGCCGCCTGCCTTGACAGAAGACCACATTTACCCCGGCAAGGGCTCCAGCATAAGGGCGCCGCAGCGTCTTCTAGAGCTCATCTCGGAGAACTGCGGCGACCCGTTGGCGAACGTCGAGGACGGTGCTATCCTTCAGGACGTGGGCGTCGACTCCCTCTCCGTGATCGAGCTGGCATCATCGGTAGAATACTCGTTTGGCATCCAGCTGAGCGACGACAACCTCCACCTGCAGTCAACCATTGCGGAAATCTTGGATTATCTGCACTCGATGATGCCTCGGGCGATCCGAGACCTTTGAGTGGTCGCTATAGTCGCTTGACGATGGTATCCAGTATGTGTGAGTTCCGTGGAACGAGTGTCCAGAAATGTTACACAGTATCAGTAGATTGTCGATGAAGAAGGAAGGCGTGACGGTACTTAAGTGCGATTCTAGAGACTAGACGTCATGTGATGACTCTTGGGCTCCAGAATGACAAGTAGATGCTTGAAATGACTACCTATCGCAGTGAAGTAAAAGTGGCGATAACACTCATCGGTTCGCAGACAATTGCCGTAGTGGAAAACCCCATATGACCACAAGGCTTGTGAGGTTTGTTTGTTTGTTTGTTTGTTTTGTATTTAACGTGGGGGTAGCTCCTCAGTAGTGCAAACCACGCCTCCCAGAGCCTCTGCATCGCAGGGTTGTGGAGGTCTCAAGATAATAAGTACAGTCAGTCCCGCTCACGGGCCCATCCCCGTTGTTGCGGCGGTATGACCTTGGGGTCATCCATCTGGTCCTTCAAGGAAGGCTATCTATCGGGGGCAGATTGTTGAAAAGAACTTGCTCTTCTCCACGAATTTTGCCCATTCTGTGCTCCTCTCCCCTAAGTATTGTAAACAAGCTGCCCTAGGCGAATGCCTAGGTAGTAGCCGATTTTTCCCCAGCCTCTTACAAAAGAAAATGTGTTGTGGTGTTTTCTTCTCACCACAGCTGCAGTGATCATTTGAATCTGTGTGCCCAAAGCGTTCATGGTATCTGGCAAAGTCGCCATGTCCAGATCTGGCCGCTAGAAGTCTGTGTAAAGTACTCCTCTTAAAAGATATAAGGTCTCTTTCAGTTACTGCATGTGAGTATACTTCTTGATACCTAGATTCTGATTGGTCTTTCCACCATTGGTTGAACTCTTTCTTGCCCTGTCTTTTGAGATCTCTCTTGACCCAAGAGATTGTAGGAAGATTTATTGTGTCTGTTTCCAGCATGGCACCCTCTTTTGCTAGTGTGTCGGCAGCTTCGTTGCCATCAATATCTCTGTGTCCAGGAATCCATTTGACGGTCACTCCAGGAGTGTGTGCTGTGGCAAGTTCTTGAAATCGTAGAAAAATGTTTTGTGATGTCTCGGGTGGAGTCCCATTGAGCCCATCTACCACTGACGTGTTGTCCAGGCAGACATATAGCTGTTTTCCGTGTCCAATTGCCCTGGCTGCTGCAAGACCTTGGAGAGCACCATGGACTTCAGCATCTACTACTTCTGCTTGTAGAAGTCTGCCCCTTCCCCGGTATACTTCTTGTGTAGTGCCGCCTTTCCTGATGGTATAACCCCATCCAGTGCGGATTGTGCCTTGGTCATCCAACTGTGATCCATCTGAGTAGATGACAAGGTCAGTGTTCACGTTTCTCTCTTGTAACCATTGCTTGAAGAGCTCTGTTTCTTTGTCTTTGTCTTTGCGGATTGGGCGCTTCCTCCATGATGGCCTGGTAAGTATTGGTCTCTGGAAGTCAGGGACTAGCTGGAAGCTTCTTTGTAGCCTTGTTGGATCCTTGCGAGCTTGTATTTGGAGCCTGCCAACCAGAGGGTGTCTCTGATCTATTCGTCCTAGTCGGAGGCCGTGACGTCGTCTTATTGACTCTGCAAGAACTCCTGCTGGGGGAATCTGCGATTCAAAGTGTAAGATATGTCCAGGGTGTGTTTTCCAGACTGGCAAGATAGCCCTGATCGCCGTTCGTAGTACGGCATCTATTGTTCCAAGAAGCCCCTTAATGCGACATGCTGATGTCTCACCTAAGCTCCCAGTTTTCTCGATTCCTGGGTACCAGGCCTCCAGGCCATGTGTGAGAATAGGAATAACACAAGCTTTCACAGCCCTCTTGGTTGACTTTACTGGAAGTCCTTTGACTGTGTTGCATAGTCCTCGAAGGTGATTTGCTACCCTACTAGCTTTCTTGGCCCAGTGAGAAACATGGTCTTTGAAGTTTAGTTTCCTATACAGAAGGACACCTAGCCATCGCATGGAATGCTTAGCTGTTTTGTTCATTGTTCCGTGGCAAACTGGGGGATTGTCTGAGTTCTTTTTCCGTGAGAAGTGCATAATCTCGGTTTTGTCGGGATCAAATTCAATAGCATTGTTATGTCCCCATTGGTTGAGCAAATGAAGGTTTTCAGAAGCCTCTGCAGCTGTTTCTTTAAGGTTCTTTCCAATGCAGAGTGTTGCTAGATCATCTGCATATCCAAAACGTCTTCTTTTCATGCCAAGTCGGGCACAGATTGGCTCTGTATACAGCATGTAGAGGATTGGAGAGACTGGTGAGCCTTGTGGGAGCCCACAAGTGAGAGCTTTTATATCGGTCACAGTACCTTCAAACCGAACTCTTGCGGACCGCTCGGACATGAACGACTGGACCCATCTTATGAGAAAGCCTGGCCAGCCCTGTTCTCTCATGCGAACCACCAGCCGTCCCATTAGGGCAGCATCAAAGGCCCCTTTCACATCTGATGTGACTACCGTTGCAACGAGGCCTTGGTCAAGGGCCTGCTCAATATCGTGTATGAGTGCAGCTACCAGGTCAGTGGCAGAGCGCTTTGGTAGAGCTCCAAAATGTTGTGGGGCTAGAATTCCAAGTTTGACAACAAACCAGGTAATTCTTTTCGCAATGAGTCGTTCTAGGCCCTTGCCAAGACATGACAGTAGCGATATTGGTCTGTAGGCCCTGGGATTGGAGTAGTCTTTCTTTCCTGGTTTTGGGATCATCACCACCTCAGCTACTTTGAATGGTTTAGGGTGGTGTCCAATCAGTAGGCAGGTCTGGAAAAGGGCTCTGATATGTTCACCAATGACTGGCCAGCAAGCTTTCAGAATCCGTACTGTGAGGGTATCTACTCCCGGGGAGTTGCTCTTGGTTCCTAAAGTGCACCCTTCAGCCTCTTCCAGTCCGACGTGGTATTCAAGGGGGATGTGTGGCTTGGGTTGTACGATCTGAGCGGACCAGGGGTCGATGATATCGTTGTCTGAGGTACTTCGTTCAAGCGTGGCTGAGCGTAATGCATTTGCCTTGCTCTCTTGTGACTCGAATATTTGGTCTCCTATGATGATTGGAGGGGAACGCAATCCTGCTGATAACTTGTGCCAAGAGACGATTCTGTATAGGTCCTTTGGCTCAGTTGCTGAATTGATTAGAGTCTGCCAGTACTCTCTCCTAGCTTTCCGAACCACGCCGCGAAATTCTCGTCGGGCTGAATTCCGTCCTTCTTGGCTTGTAGTCTGTTTGGAAAGGGCCCTGTATGTCTGAACAGCTGCTTTGCAGTCATCATTCCACCAAGCAGTGGGCCTAGATTGACGGGGCCTCTTGCCCACTGTCCTGATACAGCCTTGGATCATGTTGATCAGGCTTTGTGTAAAGGTGTCCACCTGGCCAGGGGATACACCCAGCCGGGGGAGTTCATGAATCCTGGTTTGGACATTATCTGCCAGCTCCTGTAGTTTATCGTCCGGTACTATCCAATGATTGGCCTTGGGTACTCGGTCCAGATCTCCCTGGATTGGAATGACTATTCGTAATGTCTCATGATCTGAGGTGCACTGAAGTGCATCATTGACTGAGGCTTCAGCCATGGGGACATCAGAGAACACCAGATCTAGTACATTTCCGTCATCATGTGTCGGGACATCTGGTTCAGAAATCAGATCCAGTCCGTGGTCTGCCATAGTTTGTGCAAGTATAGTACCACCATGATATCCTGGATTGCTTGAGTCCCAGGATGTGTCGCCAGCATTGAAATCTCCAGCTATAACGCAGCCAAAAGGTGGAGTCCATACTTCCAGAATGTCATCCACTTCCTGTGGGTTGTCACATGGCCGGTAGACACTGGCAAATGTAATGCCTTGTACCTTGACCCAGGTGATGTCTCGTGTAGCATAGGGCCGAAGTTGATCCGCTTGAAGGTATTTTCTCACATAGATGAGAGATCTGGGCCGTGTACTGTCGCTGTCCCAGGAATCCACTGGGGAGTATATATCGTAATTGGGGTGTGTCTTTACTCCCATTCTCCTGCCTGGTGGTATGCCAACCCAGGGCTCTTGCATCAGAATGATGTCTGCTTGTTCTCCTTTATAGTCAGCCAGATTGATGGCTAACTCTGTAGGGCCTGCACTCTTTTGTCCCCCTGCTGTATTCACAGAATGGATGACTAGATGCCCGTGTCGATGTGTTTCGTTTGATGTACCTAACATTGACTGACAACAATGGTATCGGCATCTCTGGGATGAGTTGTATCTGTTGTGTCGATTTGCATTGTGGTGTCTTTGTTATTATTGCTAGGTGTTGACCCAGCTTGGTTTCTGCCTGCTTCGTTGAAGGCCTTGGATCTGGCTCTTTCTCCGGCTAGCCTTATTTCCTGGATTTGCTCCCATGTGTGCTTATGGATGGTACCTTTCACAACCTTGGGGCGGGCAGGGCATTTGTCGAAGTTGGCAGCATGAGGTCCTTTGCAGTTGACACACTTTGGGATTGGTTTTTTGCACTCTCCCTGGTGTACTGTGTTGGCGCAGTGTGCACATACTTGCTTTTCGCATCGGTAATTCCTACCATGGTATCTGAAGCAGCTTGCACACTGGTGAACCTTGGGGGTGTGTTGAATATGCCTTGAGGTCATTGAGTGGGCAAAAAGCGTGAATGGTTTCCTTGCTGCACTGGGCAGAGAGATTATCCATGTAGTTTCTGGATCAGAATCAATCGTGTTCTTTGAGAGTATGCACCTCAGAGGTCTGTCGCCTGTTTGGGCTTCAACTTCATCGGCAACAACAGTGTCAGTAATATCGATTGTGAACCCTTCTGCACTGATGACCTTTCTTGGGCATCCATTGACCTTGTAATGATGCCAGACTGTGTGGGTCTCAATCTTTTGTGCCTTGAGAATGTCGGCAATTTCTTCTTGGAAAGCCAGAAGCTTAGCCTGAGTTGGCTTGTCCCTTGGGTGTAAGGTAAAACCAGAAGGACATCGTGTCACTTCTCTAAGCTCCTGAGGGTGGAGCTTAAGTCTTCTGTTCAGTGTAGACTTGATTCCATAAGGCTCTAGGTGGCTATTATCCATGCGGACAAAGACCCGGAGATCATCCTGTTTCTTCTTCAGTTGGTTGGCAGTGATGAGGGCGCCAGGCTGTGTTTTCTTCATGGTAGTGTTGACTGTCCATGGATGCTGTCGTTGGCCAGAGGAGACAGCTTGGGCGAAGGTCATGGTGGGCTTCCCTATCCCTATCCCGCCAGGAGTGGTCTTTCTTTTGGGCAGATCTCGGGTTTCCAGCCACTCGTTCAGGCATTTGGAGAAGAAAGCGCTGAACTCCTTGGCATGAGAGTATAGTTCGGTTCCAGCTTTTTCCAGTGTCTTATCGACTGCTGTAGCACACTCTTGAAACATTGTCATCCTGGCTTCATAGAGATGCTTGTCTTTAGCCAGTATTTTGGCTACTTGGTCCTGGCACTTTGAGGAAGAGACCTTGTTCCCTGTATCGCCTCCAATGGCTTGGTCTGTAGAGATTTCGTTTGATTGAGGTACTTCCATATCAATGATGCTGCTAGTATTAATATTTCGGGATTTTCCTTTCAGAGGGGAAACAATGGTGAAGTCAGCCTCAGAGACTTGTGACGGGCTGCTGTTGATGTCGTCGAGCAGTGCCTGGCGGAGCTTGCTTGGGGTTGCCGGGCCATATGTTCTTTTAGGGACCGGGGATTTGAGCACGCCGCCAGTAGTCGTCTTTGGGACGGCCACTGGCGTATTTGGGGGCCTATCGTGAAGGGGTGCCATCCAACTTGTGAGAAAAATTTTCTGCGCCTTGGCAAGGATAGTCAGGTACTGAAATAAATGCCTGTTTTAGTGCAGATATAGAGGTTGCGCCCTAACAGCGGGGCGCCAAGAAAAATAGTTGTTTTTGGTAAGAGTGTGTGGCTTGTGAGGCTTGTACAAGGTCAATAAGCCTTATCCAATCAACAGACCTTGTTAGGTTCACAAGCCTCGTAAGTTTCACAAGAGCAGACTGTTCCACTGTAAACCTTCCCTGAGACGACTATATTCACTAAGCTGCCACATGGCCGAGCCCACTCCCATTACGTCAACGCTACTAGGTGAACATGCTTTTTTACAACAACATTAGCCTTCCGGTTAAGCTACATAACAGAAGAACGAAAGTGCCGTGTCTAACTCTCTCAGACGACACTGATCTCTGTCGTCTTCATGATCCCAGGGACCGCCGGATTAGATCCATGCTGACCTGCGTCGCGATCTTGCTGTCCGTGTTGCAGCAGACGGAGAGAGTCGCGATCAGTCCCTCTAGAAGTCCCGCGGAGGGGCTGGTAAGACTCAAGGCTATAGGAGTACTGCTGGTTCGAGTTGCCGGTGAACTGACTGGGTTGGTCGTCCTTAGTGTCGATTGTCGACGCCAAGCTCTTGCCAAAGACGTAGGAGGCGACGCGTGTGAAGTTCTCCCAGTTGGTCACGATCAGGGGCTTGATGGTCGGCACGCATGCGCAGATGATGATGATCCAGTTCTCTGCCAGGAACCAATAGACGAGCTCCACCGCATCCCAGGTGAAATCCATGGTTGCCAGGTTGTTGAGCTCTACTGTCTTAACGGCAGCCGCTACCGTTGCACTAGATATTACAGCAGTCAGAATTGATTGTTGAAGAGCAGTGGGGTTTTGATGGTGAGAGCAAGGGGAGGGTTCAAGGCTTACACAACACCTAAAGACATCAAAAACCCGATGACAAGCTTGGAACGGAATGGTAATTGAAGGTTCCAGAGGATCGTGATCGGGAACAAGGCCAATACCAAGTCACTGAAAGCCGAGAATGCTCCTTGGAAGTAACCGTAGTCTTGCTGCACAGTAGGCGACCAGCAAGTCCCATGGGCAACTGTACCGACTCGATCCCAGAGAAAGGTGACGGGACGGCATTCGGCAAAGGTGATAATGATAAGGAGCATATTGACGATAATGAGAAGGGCAATGAGGGTCCAGAGGAAAGCCTCGCGCCGACGATCGCGATTCATGAGACGCATGAGGAGAAAGGCGATGGATATCTTCCCCACGGCAGCGCTACCGGGTGAGAAGGGCACCGAGAGCCAGATGTAGAAGACGGCTCTGACTCGCTGCTCCTCAGTGAGAAAGACCGTATGACGGCCAACACCATAGTGAACCATTAGAGTGACGACGATATTGGTGATCAGAGCCAAGATCTATGTAGCTAGTTAGCACTGATTGAAGTTATCATAATTTGGAGACCGAGCTATACCACAGATAGGACCATAGTCCAGTCATCCCGACCAATCTTCCTGACAATGAAGGCGCGGGTGTACATGCGCATAGACAGCAGTATGGTGCCGGCAGCACCTAGAGCCCATGCCGTCACCACGAGGCCGACGCCTTTGTCGTCGTCGGGTGGAAGTCCGGCGAAGGCTGGGTCCATTGCGATGTATGAGGCTGAGAGATGGCAGGTACTGTTGTAGGCGACACGTAGATGAGTTGTGTTTGCATGACACGAACCATATGTCGGACATAGCAATGCCCTTCCAAAGCGTCCGCCACCTAGCCTTTAAACACCTGAGACCTGCATAGTGTGGTTTTTGTTGGTGTTCAGCATATCTCGTCAAGCAAGGCCGCATACCAGGCGCATGACCGGGGCCCCGTGTTGCGGCGCAGAAGCCTCCACTGCTCCAGGACTTGCTCATCGTCGCAGGTTCGGCGATCATCGTTTCTTCAGCGGGCAGCCTGCTTGAAAAGATAGCAATACTCGGAGGATATGCATCGGTCGAGCCTGTTCGAGCAGAGCCTTGCCTGAAGACTACCTGGGCATCGCTCGCAAAGTGACATTTCAGGATAAGCAGCTGAAGCGAATCCTCCGTCGCAAGCCACGGCTAAGAGACACACGCATGCCCATCCGGCAGGGGATTTACTCTCAATCGGCTCATCTAGCCAGCATTCATACCGTCAGTTACTTCAGGGCGTGTTGGATAGGAACCCGGCAGTTAGGCCAAACTTGCGTAAGGGTACAGCTAGTCTTTGTTTTTTTACATTGTAAATTGCTAATCGGTATATAAACGCGCGCATATTCGCTAAGGCCTAAATATCGGTGAGAAAATAACAAAGAAAACTAAGAAAAACATAAAAGCCGTAAAATTATCTACTTTTTTTTTAATAATTAAGGGTATTTTTTATATAATTTTAAATATAATTTTATCTATTATTAATTGAAGTAATATTCGTATTATTAGTATTAAAAATTCATAAACATTATTGAAATTAGGAAAAACTATATAAATAACTTATAAAATAAAACGTATTTAAAATAGTTTAATAACATAGATAACAACGAACGGCAACTTTTTACCAGCCACCTAACCTTTTCATCAAGGCTCTTAATTAATCAACCAATAATAAAGGCATTGCGTTATGATGAATCAGACTTACAGCTTGCTGTCCAAGCTAAATTTCGTGATCCTCATATTACTATTGGCAAACTTTTTAAGACTTTCTACGTCCCATATAATACCTTAAAGGCTAGAATCGCTGGCCAACTATCACGGCGCGATAACATAGCCAATATTTTGAAACTTATGGTTTCCGAAGAGAATGCCATTTGCTTCTTCATATTCGACCAAGATGAGTGAGTATTACTATCCCGGCACGGTTATATTAAAGATATGACAAATCAATTGTTGGCAACTCGTGGGGCTGGACGCGTCAGAAAGAACTGAACGGCAAACTTCATCAAACGTACACTAGGCCTCTGGACGCGTTTTTATCACAATGGATTACTCAAGGGTCTTAAATAAAGACCTAAACATATATCATGCATAGTTTTGCTAAGTTGCGGCGACAGTCGCAAAATATAGCATCCAATATGCCGATATTTACAACTTTGATGAGACTGGGTTTATGATGGGCATTATTAAGTCCGGCATAATCATTATAAGTACTAAAAGACATGACAGGCTTAAACAAGCTCAGCCTAGCAATAGAGAATGGTCTATAGTAATCTCTGTTATTAATACTGATGGTTGGAAGATCCTGCCATTTATTATTTTACAGGGCAAAACCTACCTTACGTCATGATATTGCGATATAACATTACTACGCAATTAGAAGGTGGCCGTGTCTGACAATAGGTGGACTACGAATGAGCTTGGTTTGAAGTGAATTCAGCATTTCGATTAGTATACCAGACCGCGTATGACCGCCAGTAAATACCTCATTATCCTAGATGGCCACAAAGGCCACTATTCCCAGGTCTTTAAAAATTATTATCAGAATAATGGCATTATTACCCTTTGTATGCCTGTCCACTTATCATACATGCTCCAATCTTAGATGTCAGCTGTTTTAGCCCGCTCAAACGAGCTTATGATTGCATGATTGAGGATCTCATCCGGCGTTATATAACCCACGTTTCAAAGAAGGACTTCCTTACAGTGTTTTGTGAAGCACATAACACTGTTATAATACCAGGAAATATTCAAGCAGGTTTCAGTACTACTGAGCTTGTTCCATTTGACCCAGAAAGTGTCTTTTTGAAGCTGGATATTGTCGCTGTCGTACGAACACCGTTGTCAGACCCCAATCTGCCACCCGCTACTTGGACTTTTGAGAGGTCTATTACCATTAATAAAGCGGTAAACTAATCAGTTTATATCCAGAATCAAGTCAGAAACCACTAGGGAAGTTCACCTACTTTAATAATTGATATGTTGAGCTCGTTTTTAAACGCTACATACGGTCTTATACATAAGGTCGCTTTGGTTGATTCCCCGGTCCGCAAGCTAGAGGAGGCCAATCACTTGTTAAGTAAATGCTAGAGAATAAAAAATAAATATCTAACAAAAGGAGAAATATTTTCTATTAAAGATATAATAGGTTTTTAGGCTGCAAAGGATTGTGCTTAGCTGGCAAGACAGGAAATATGGGAAGATAGTCATCGTCCAAAAAGGGCGGCAGCGCGTAAGCGACGGTGTGGCATTTGCGGCAACCCTAGCCATAATGCGCAAATTTGTACAATAGAAATAGAAATGTCTAAGAAAGGGGAATCTGATTGCTTGAATTGAATTGAATACGTTGTGATTAAGTTATTTGACATGACAGTTAAGAGGTTGGTAAGAAGTTGCCATTCGCTTGTAACTGCCGCTTGCTTGTTATTTACATTAATAAAATTATTTGAAAGATTAGTACTTTTTATAGTTTTTATTCCAGTTGTTTTTGTCGTATAAGACACTATGTTTTATAATTAGATATGAAACTATAACTAATTATTATAATTTAATTATTAAAATAAATATAATTTAGATAATAATATAACTATTAATTCTAATGTTCATTTTTTAGTTCAATAATTCATATAATAATATTATAAGCGTTAATATAAATATAAAAGCTTATGTTATCCCTTTTTTTTTATCTTTTCTGATAAATGTAGTCGTGGTCCAAGGAGGACGGCAGCGCGTGAGCGACGTTGTAGCGTTTGCGGCAACACTGGCCATAATGCGCGAACTTGTACAATAGAAATAGAAACGTCTGAAGAAGAAGAATCCAATTGATTAGGTTGTGCGAGAATTCGTTGTGCGAAATATTCAGTTCAAGATCCTTGCTTGTTTGTTGTTCTAAGTCTACCTGGTACGGACGGATTCACACCTAATTACGTGTGCAGCGCGACTATCCGCGGTGGTAGCGGAGCTGTAGGTCAACCATCCCCCCCACAGCGCACAGACCACCTTGGGACACACCATGAGCCACCACACCATCTGACAGATTGAAGTGAATGCGACGTGATCGAGTCATTTGACATGTTGCTTGAAAGGTTAGTGAAAAGTTGCCTTTCGCTTGTTATGTATGTTAAAATTAAAAATAATTAGCATTGTTAATAGAAATTTTGATAAAATATATTTGAACATTTTATTAAATAACTTATCATCATAACATATAAAAAAGACTATGTTTTAAATATAAAATATACTTCAACTTTGTTTATGAAATAAAAGTCATTATTACTTGAATTATAAATCGATATTTATTATAAAATATATCACTTTATAAGTATACAGATTAATAATTAATGAGGTTGATAAATTTCAAAATTAGTTACAAGGTATATGATAAATGATATTAAAATAAATAAAGTGATTTTTAATTGTCTTGTCTTTAATATATCATATTTGAACAAATTAGGCTTAAACTTTAATAAAAATGAAATTTGTTTAAACTAAATAATTGTAAGTGTTTAACTTTTTAAAATAAAATATAGAAGGTTAAGAAACCTTTTATGGAAAGGGTTAAGATACTTCAAAATATTGTTAAATTAATGACATAAAAATGAATGATTTCAAAATCAAATAAATCTCTTAATAAAATAAAAACTTAATAAAAACTTAATAAAACTAAATATATTTTAATTTTAAACCCATAAAGTTAAAATATATCGATAAAAAAACTTTACTGCTTAGATTACTTTAGCGATAACTAATAAAAGTTTTACTTAGAAAATATTATTTTAAAACATTACTTTGTAACCTGTATTTTTACAAAATTAATAAGTTAAAAAATATAAATAAGAAATAGCGTTTTAAAAGGCTTTTAATGAGGAAAAGTACGTAATTAGAAAAGAGAATTAATTATAATGAAGTATTAATTAATATCAAAATTTTAAAATTATATATTTTAAATAAATCTTTAAAAAAAAGAAAGGTTTCCCTTCATAACTAACATTATATAAAACTATAAGCGTTGTAAGTTTTATACCTTTAATTATATATTCTTTCCTTTTATAGGACTAAAATTTATTTTAAGTTATATTTTATTAAAAATATCGTACAAATTCTAATTTATTATTTGATATTGTCAGATGTTGGATCCCAGATATGGTGCCCTTAGGTGCAGTACCCACTAGGGGGCTGTCAAGGGAACAGTGGATCCATCCTGGCATGGTGCAGTATAGTATTTAGCTGTAGATTAGCCCTGCAGAGTATACTTCGTTCTTATTATTAGAAATGATATTATTACTTCCGTGACTTCCTTTATATTACGCATTTATAATAATATAATTAGTATTTATATTTTTGTCGTATTTTTCAATATATCTAAATATTTAATATCCTTATTTTGACTTTTATTTACCCATGTAAAAAGTCGACTAAAATATTGATAACGTCTTTTTATTAGCCCCTTATTTTATAAACATGTAAGTTTAAATTGTAATTTATCGTTCAAGTATTTGAAAATAGATAATTAAAAATAAAATTGTTAAAGTTCACTTATTACGTCGTTCTAAAGAATCAAAGTTTTTATTACGGGTTATTATTACGGGTTTTTATGCGATTTTTCCCTTTTTTATATATCTTTTTTAACTGTTTTTATAGTTAACCTTATGATCATTTTTTAAATTTTTAAAATTTCAATTCTTATAATAAGACGCTTTTTTTT